ACACGTGCTGTAGTTCGACAAACCCCTAAAGTTCGACTCTGTCAAACTACCTTAACTTTAGTTCGACACGTACTGAAGTTTGACAAAAGAACTTTGACTGGGTAAAAGGAATATTCATAAATATTGTATAATCAATTGTCTATGTGATCCGATAGTAGCAACAGTTACATGATCTGAATTTTTACGTAAGCTGTTGGATCACAAGCAGAAAATGGAGGGAAAATATTTGTCGAACTAAAGTACGCTACCTTGACTCTAGTTCGACACGTACCGATGTTTGACATTGGTGATTCCTGGCGAACTTTAGTTGTCGAACTAGAGTACGTGTCGAACTAAAGTACGTAAATCGGATGCACTTTTTATGTAAAATTATAATAAGATAATAATACGTGTTATATTCGTTATCATTTTTTGACGTAACCTTGTAAGTTAGATAATAGGTACCTTATCGGACCTTATTTGGACGGACATTACATGAACGGACATAATTATGAACGGACATTAATATGAACACTCGAAGGCATTCAAAACCATCAAAAATCCGAATTTTTTCAATTTTTTTGACGTTTTTTAAATTTCAGCAAATGATTTTTAAATCCATTTTTTATACAGTAAGTAAGAAAAGCAGTCATTGAGCAGTAAAAATGTTAAAATATGTGTACATGATCAGTGTCTAATATCACATATCATCTTCATCAAATGGGTTTTCGTGCATGAAATAGTCCATGCTTAAAGCATCAGTGATTTCTAGCTTTATGGAAACCTTTTTTTTATCAAACTACCCCGGTCCTGCATTTCAGTGTTAACTTTTACAAGCCATTCGGCGTGAAGTGGTTTTATCTTAGACAACTTAGGTTAACCTTAACATCACGTGGAGCTTTCCTAGCACTGTTTCATGACCGCCCCCGAGTAATATGAACTATAACAACGTCGGACAATGTCCTTGGAAACACGATTTACGGTAATATCTAGAGGCTGGAACAAGTTTGTCATGTTGGTGGGGACTAGTTCATGAACTATGTTGCTGAGTGCCATAATTTCGTTGACTTTTTTCCGCCAAGTGACCCTTGAAAATATATAGTATAATATACTAGTAGAGTTTTCTGTGCCTCCGGCAGACCAAGGAGAACCTTTCCATCGTTAACTTACGGCACAATAAAGTTCTCAAAGTTGTCATATTCTGGACAAAAAGTTCGAAATGAAAAAATTTTTGAAAAAATTTCAACGGACTTTAACTTGGACGGACATTAATTGAACGGACTTTATTTGAAAGGACATTAAGATGAACGCTAGGGCCTCCAGCGTTCAAGTAATGTCCGTCCAAATAAGGTCCGATAAGGTATGTTATATCAATATGACAATTAATATTTAATAATTCTTAATCATCTGAAAAAGTCGGCAAGTTTCCATAAACGATATTTTATTATCGGCGCCAATAATCGCTTATTAGGCGCTTTCTCGGCGCTTTTTTAAAAAAAAAACCGTTTACAATCGATTTTTTTACGATTATAAACGGTTCAAAAAAAATCGCTTATAATCGACTATAATTGATGTCATAATTCAAAAAAGCGCTTTTTTGAATTTAAAAGCGCTTATAAGCGCTTTTAAGCGCTTATGAGCGTCGCTGAGCGATTTGAAAGCGGTTTTCCAGTAGGATTGGCGCCAAAAACGGGTGGATAAGCGGTTGGCCGGATAAGCGATTCGTATGCGCTTTTTTGAACCATTTATAAGCGATTATAAGCGCTTATAATTGGGGTGCAATTTAGCTTTTTGAATTATGACATCAATTATAGTCGATTATAAGCGATTTTTTTTGAACCGTTTATAATCGTAAAAAAATCGATTGTAAACGATTTTTTTTTTAAAAGCGCCGAGAAAGCGCCCAATAAGCGATTATTGTCGCCGATAATAAAATATCGTTTATGGAAACTTGCCAAAAAGTCAACCTTTCAATTGAACTGACAATTTTTCAAAAGAAACTATTGTTATCGAAAATAAAAGTTTCAATACTCCAAAATTAAAATGCACATAAGCACATAGTCCACAACCATGATAAAACCATCGATCACATTGCACAATAGTCAGTGAAACTTAAGTCTCAAATTAAATTGGTTCTAATCTGCCCTAATGTAATGGGCTTTAAACAAAAATCATCCTAACAATAGCTTTGGTCGTGATTTTATAACAAAAAAGCAATTCAGGAATACGGAACTCAGCCATTATTTGCCATGCACCGCGTATATCGGCGATATTAACAATATACTTATTAGTGTTTTAGTGCTCCTTTATCAAGGAACAACTAGATGATGTCGATATTCTGATGACCCCTGCAAGGCTGGTGTTGTTCCTTTTTTAAGAACAGTATTGATTGTAAATCATAGATAGATAGCGTAATTTAATGATATGGATAGGTCATTCGTCTGCAGGGTGGCTGAGTGGTTGAGCTCCGATTTAATTGTTTTTAAATTATCAAAGACATTATATATGTTTAGATTAAATATTAAAGTTATACTATTATTGAAAGGTTCCTTTTATAGTAACAGACAAAGTTATACTAGAAATATAAATAGTCTGTAATCTGCTAAAGACTAAAGTAGTATCTGTTTCAAGTTCAAAAATGCAATTGAGTAATAATCATAACCAAAAAATATTAATTGAAAAATCGGAAACATTGAAGAAATGGTATAAATTTGGTATAAATTATACCAAAACCCAAATTCGCTTTTCTCATCTACAATTGATGATAGGATGCAGTACTCAACACAAAAGTTTGTTACAATTTGAAGGACGTGACGAATGGGAAAATTGAGCGACTGATTCCATCCTTGGTATCATTTTGCGTTTGGGTGCAGTAACAGAAACTTTGTTATTATGTAAATAAAGACTGTTACGGAAATTACCCTTATTGCATCGATCTAGACTTTAATTTTACTTCACAGACAAAACATTAAAGATGATAAATCATACGGAGAATAATAAGTTAGATGATGAAATACAATAATGTACCTCTTTCTGCGATGACATCCGATATGATACTTACTTGTTCTAGCTACAACATAGTCTATATATTCATTTGTAAATTATGTCCATCTCCTTTCTGCTATGTTGGACGTACCATTAGGACTTTGCATGAAAGAGTAACCGAACATAGAGCTAACTATTATAAATTATTGAAAGACCCTTCCTTAAAACATAGTGATGATTTTTTATCTGATGATAGTGACACTTACAGTTTAGCAGCTCACCTAATAGACTCACATAACCTTTCCAATAGACCTGATTTTGATGCTTCTTATAATGTTTTTATCCTAAAGAATTCTAGCCCTAGTAATTTAGAAGTTAACGAACATCTATTTATACAAAAACTCAGAACTTTGAAACCATATGGTATTAATTCATGTGATCCTTTTGGTATGCCACTTTTATTTGAAAATAAAACTTTTGATAATGGTCCTTAAATTATTTCACCCTTAATGCAGGGACTAGTATATTTTTTCCGACTAGTTGGGGCCTCACAACCCCCCATACCCGAGTGCTTCCCATTCCATTTTTGAGAGTTTGGCTTCTTTTTACAGCTAACATCCTTTAGTTCAAATTAAAATTTTCTGATATAATTGGAGTATTAACCCTTATCTTTATTAGGTACTGAAGATGTCCGAAAATGTTTTACCAATGATGTTATAAAGATTTTGTTGGAATTTTTAAACTCATTCGTTGTCTGACTGTGGGAACTATTGATTCTTGAACATCCGATATGATCAGTTATCCTTTTATGCAGATACGTCGTGAATTTAAAATTGCAGCGGCGCGCGTGACAAAAACATATATGTAAAAACTTGACATGTCCTCAAGCAAATATGGTACTTAAAGAATGTCACAAATCTGCAATTTATTGACGTCCAACAAAAGTTCATTAAAAATTCCATCTCTAAGTTATCATATGGGTAATGATTAATCACTCTGCACTCGCTGTCACATAACTAACTTTATTAACCCGTTCTATAAACTTGCAGCTTATATGACGGATAATCCCAACATTACATCTGTGCAGTGCGAAATAATTATTATAATCATTGTACATTTATAGGAATCAGAAGGTTTGTGTACACCATTTCTCCAGGGATAAGAGGGATTATCGGGGTTATTTTGAAGTGAGTTAAACTTTGAATTTATCTGGATCTCATTTTTATACCTGAGATTTTTTATTTTTTCTTCAGTCAAGTAACATTCCATTCAAGCTGATGAAAATCATAACTAATTTACATTTTACATTTGGAGAGAAAATCAGACTCAATGAGATTGGAACTAATTCTTCAATTCTTGGTATGAATCATCGTGAAACTGAAATAATATCCTGCAATTTCTGAAGCAATACGCTAAAATTCTTCGAATAATTCGAGAGAAATAAAACACTTTTTAATGGTTGCCACTAAAAAGGTACCTGCTATTCAAAGTTAAATCTGGATCTAGGTATGTATAATTAAAATTTACATCAATCGAATGTGAACTGCTTATACAGAAAAATCAAGCAGAACGTATAATATCTAATGAATAACGACTTTGATGAGGGTCAATGATAAAGAGAAAAATTATCAAATGCGTAGAGGGGGAAACGGTCGTGTTTCCCAGCACTCATGTGAATCCCGTTTTTGATTCTCAACTTTTTAGTGCATGATAATTATAATATTGGCAACACATTTAACAAGGTTCGAGAACACCTCATAATTATAAAATCTGGTCCACACAAACAGCAAATTATTTACGCCACCTCTTCAGAAAAATAACCCCTAAAAAGAGTAAAGCAGGTAGGAGAAGAACATCTAGATAGAGGTACTCATACCAAGGTTGATATCCGGGTAAGAAGTTGTTTCCCGACACCACCGCATCAAGATGTCCCAGGATCTGCTCATTAGTAAGCTTCGTTGCCAGCATCTGCCGTCGAACTGTCCTCAGGATCTTATCATATCTCCCGTCAGTCAGGTTCAATATTTTCTGTTGTATCACTTCCACTGAGGTGCCTGACAAATCCAATAAATTATCTCCGACTCCAATCTCAGCGGTTCTTTTAGCGTTGTAGAACTGGTCCTTTGCAACTGTGGGACCACCAACATGGGCTTCCCAGCACAAGCTATTTCTTCTTTGCTGGCGTGTCCTCCGTGAGTGATGAAGAGCTTGAAGTTTGGATGTTGCAGGATGGACTGTTGTGGTAACCAGTTGAAAAGCTGGACATTATGAGGTAACTCTTTTATCGGGTTTTGTTTCCAGATAACTTTGTATGGGAGCTCTTTAAAAGCATCCAGCCATTTCTTTTGTTCAATCGCAGGTATATCCATCTGCACGGACCCGAATGACATGAAGATAAACCCCTCCACTGCACCATCCATAAACTCAGCCAACCCAGCATACCTGGACACCTCCTCCTTGTTGTATTCTGTACACAACGATCCTCCCAAAGCGAGCATCCCTGGTCCAAATGGAGTGGGTCCATCTATCAGAGGGTGGTGGTGGATGTTCATCAACATGAGCTTCACAGTTTTGTAAGACTCCTTGTACCCTGGGTACCCTGGGATGTTGTTGTAGAGAACAGGTTCAATGTACCAGTTTACAGCTGCTTTATGTAGTAACTCGAACATGTTCCTCTGGAAGAGGTTGAAAATTCGGGCAGACATAGAGTCAGTGAGTTGTTGATGGTCTTTACCCTTGAGAAGGATGTCGTCTATCTTAACGCTAGCTGCGTAAAGTGGGAGACCTAGTCGGCTTATGTGTAGAGGGAGGACGTACGGGGCGGTCACGTGGAGGATTGAGTTTCTGATTCCAAGGTGGTGAGCGAGTCAAGTCCAAAAAAAGGGGGGGGTTATCGTAGTAAGCGGAGAAAGTGAAGAAGAGAACAAACTTCTTCCCAGATTCCATTAGCTTCTTCACGTTAGGTTCGTTGTAGAACCGTTCACAGGCTCCCAACGATTTATCCATTTTGTCTGCCAGTTTTCTAAATTTCCCCATTAGCGAGTCATCTTGTGTTCCATTACGTCCGCTCCCGTACCCATTCACTAAAGCCTCACATTCAGGTATCTTGAGTTTTTCAGCGTCAATGGAAAGGTATCCTGGTATGTTGGTGCTCATGTAGGTTACACGATGACCCTCCTTTAGGAGAAGATTAGCTAGAGGCCCGGAGACTGTTTGGTGGGATCCCGAACTGAAGACGCTCACGAAGAGCACATCCCAAGAGAGGGTTTGAGGGTAGAGCATCCCCAGGAGGAATAGTTGTAAGTACGTCATATTTTACCTGAAATAGAGTGATGTTGATAAACAACCGTATCATAACATATAATAGACAAGAACTCACTGGTTGCTAAATTGAGAAGGTTCAAATAAAAGGCATTTAACAGATAAACGGGCACAATCCTAAAGCAAACTTGATTTAAATAAAATAGCGGACTGATTTATATTTCACACACCCAAGATAAATTTGGCATCACTTGAAAATCGTCCGTTTGAAACAATGCACCGTTTTAATCAAAATGATCGAGATTATAAAAAATTTTTACCTTTCGTTCACAAGGCAAGCTTGAAACAAATTAGCCAGTACTCTCCTTATCTGAAGCAATTAAGATTTGATTAAAACTTGAGGTGTATTGTGACAGAATTCGAGTGTCAAATGTAACTAAATTATATTTTATCTTTACCCAATTCTATTATTTGATTAGCAATGCATATATTGTCAGCATGACAAAGCATACCGATTACTGAATATATTTTTAATGACGAACATCAATTTATATTATCCACATTGGCTCCATCACAATCTCTTTTCTTTTAAGACTGGATCTGGACGAGTCATCTTAAGGCCTACGAGAAAATTCCACGGTATTTGGTGAGTGACATCTGCACCCTTGAACATCCTGATGTGCTTGAATCTCAAAATTCCAGCTTGCGGCCAGTATTACCAGATTCTATTTTTTTTTTGACGTTATCAGAGCTATTCAAGCTGATGGATTATGTCAAAGTTAATAGATTCAAAATAATTTTAGTTCCCCACTCTTGAAAAGTTGAAATAACGGCTAGCAAACGTGGGGGAACCAAGTGATCAGGCTGCAGGAAATTCTTTTCTTACCGGTCATCAATAGAACAAAAATATTTTTAGCACGTTCACTGTTCACATTTAAATATGACTGACCTATTATACCCGATAAAAACCACGGAAGCGTTTGTCGTACCTAGAATTGAGCTTAAATTTAGTTTTTATCTTATCTTCAGTGGAAATTAGGAAATTTAAGTAATTTTCCGTCCGTTCATAATCCAACTCAAGTTATAACGTTTCCTTTTTCAGTTGCAAGACGTCACCTTTCAAAAGCGAAAGAAGATGACCAAGGAATATTTAAAGTTATCTCGCTGTGGCGTTGTAAATCTGAGAAGTAAATGTGACCAATTATTAGCCCAATTACAAAATGAGAACCACTCAAGAATAAACAACCGCGGCTGTATTTACAAAGTGGATTGAATATGACATTGAATTTCAGGTGAGACAAGTGGCCATAATTGTGCTCATGTAATCAAAATTAAATTTCAAAGTCGACCTCTAGGTCATTTAATCTCATGTTTCTGCGAGTCTGTTCGTTATAATTATTTATGGTTTTGATCCAATCATAGATAATGATACAATATATTAAGTAATGAATTCCGCTAAATTCGGGGGGAAAGTTCAGATGTAGAATATATATTCTTTATACATTTAATAGTTGGACGTTTCACCTTAAATACTGAGCAGTGAGCCTTAAACGTGACTTTGCACCAAAACCTAATTATATCATGAAGTACATTTGATCCTGCAACCTCACCATAAGCATACAGCGACAAAAAGAACTTGCAGTCACCCTAGCCCACAAAACCTTGTTTAAAGGAAAATAAATAGATCGTTCAATCTGTCTGAATATTGACGGAACCAACCTGTTTTTGATTCTAAACCATGTCGAATATTTCCAAGAATGATCTGGCAAATGTCACTGCAATTCCCATTGTTAAAGTTTAATCTCCATTCTCCATGACAACACCTCATGACAAGGCCGGGTATTAACACTTCGGTATCTGATCGTGCTTTAAATCATTTATTTGATCTCAGCGCAGAAGCGTGGGAGCAAGTAACCTTATCTTATATTTAGTCTGTCCTGGAGCAATAAAACTGTGACGTACTGGGTGATTGTTGGAGTCATGTGACTCTAGCGTATCCCTAGCAACGCGTTCCCAGAATGCGAGCTGCGTTATCACCATGAGATGGTATTCAAATACCGCGGTGTTTTTCACGTATTCTCCTAGAAGTTGATATTGAATTTTCGTTCGGATCTATCGATTCATATTTACGGGACGGTCGTTCTTTCGATATCGATATCATTATATTGGAAAGTCCATAGATCTGCTGTTTTATTTTATTGTATAGGATACTATCCATTAAAAAGATCTTGCTAGCTGTTTTATTCAATTTTAATTGAATAGTTTTGAACTTAAAAACCACCACTGACGCAATAACTTTTAGGATTCTAAATTGAAAGGAGCTGAAACAAACCCTCCGAAATGCAAGGGACAAGTGAGCGTGCAGTTCTCACAATTGTCTTCTGCTTTTCAATTCTGGTGGGTCACGATTCTTTTTCATTTAATTTCTTAAAGTTAAGCTTCGGTTATAGTTAATTTTAAAATTAATTAATTAAGTCATCTATAATTTAAAAGATGGAACAAAATTTTAACTACGAGAGCTACAAGTGTTCATGGGCTAAAACTAAACAAAATACAAATTCCCCCTTCTTCTAAAAGAACCTACTTGTTACAGGTAATCAGTGCACAAAGCTACGATTTCGGTAGTTGTCCGAAACTCCTAGACCCAGTTGGCATCCACCCAAGTTCTGGACAAGTGATCAAAGCAGGACGATTTGACGTGACGAAGAATGCTGATGAAATAGTTGTAACCACGATCTGCGATGAGAGCTTGGGTTGGATCCTTGCTGACACTCGTTTTAAGGAAGTTAGGTAAGTCTTGCATTCCAACAAGGAGGACACTTTGGTTACTATCAGACTATCTAGCTATCATTCCATGAGTCGTTTTATTTTCTCCGAAGTTGCTGTTTTGGTGAGCTATACAGTTGGTAACCTGTACAGAAACTTGTGGCAGAATGTCTAGAGCTACGGACTATCTTTCTTCCTCATTATTTTAGATAACGTGAATAAAAGTCGGTCCATATTCTACCACCGTATGGTTACACTATACCTTATTCCCAAAAATTTTTGGGAACTGAGGTACATTTAAACGTAATTACAATATACCAGCTGTTAATCTGTTTATTAATATTTGAATTTAGGTGTTCTAACGACGAGAGAAGACGAGTTTGGTCATGGAGTCACCAACACCGGAGCCAGATTACTCCTCCTCAAATCAGATGCGCTAGTGAGTAATTTTGTTGCGTTTTTTTGACATCTAATTTTCACTCAAATTGATCACGCTTCTGTTTAATTCGTTAAACTTGAATAAATCTTACTCGAGATGAATGATTTTAATAAGGTATGTTTTATACCCATGGTCGTAGTCATTAGACAGTCGTCCGACAAAGCCTAACTCAGTAACTCCCATAATTTAAAGTCAATATACCGACGTCTCTTTCGTCGCTTTGTATGATGGGAATCGTGTTACTTTTCAATCAATACCATTAACCTTGAATGTCCTAATATTACATTGAAAATTGTCTCGCCATGCATAATACGCTATTAGGTTATCTAATGCTACGGTACAATCCATGAATGTAATCAACAGCTCTCTTTAAGTCTAATATAAAAATGGTAACAACACACTCCAAATCATAAAATATCAGCACTCAAACTTGCCCAGGTTTCTCCCCGAAACCCCTGGAACAGAGCTACACACTCCACAACTACCAAGGATGCAGCTCAGCTGACATCCGAGCATCCCTCACTTCACAAGTAGCCGCACAGTTGGAGAAAGAACTTCCATGTGTAGTTAGCAAGGAGTGTGTAGTGCCGTCAGTGCGCTGTCGGGGGGAGGGGACTAGCAGCAAGTTGTCTGTTGTTGTTGAGCCTACAATGTTGGGTAGCTTGGAGCAACAGAAACAGATGTTGGAGGATGCGGCTCAGTTCTTGAGGGATACCTTCAAACCTGTCTTTTCCAGCGTAAGGGGTTTAGACTATAGTTTTCTTAAGGTTACGTGGATATCAAATAAAGTTAGGACTTTAAGATTTTCACTGGTCCATTTTCAACTACTGTCTCAATTTGAACCGCAAACATCCTCAAATGTTAATTATGTTGACTGTTAATGACTCTACAGGGTGGTATTAGTAAGCGGGACGCTGACCCAAATCCATTCCCTGACGGTGATCCTGATGATTCAACGACAACTGACTGTCTGGACGGGCAGAAAACCATGAAGATAAACGACACTTGCGTCGACTGTACCGCAGGTAAGCGGTGTTTCCCTCAGTGGATGATTATAGTTTTGTCTGGAAGATCAAACATATCAAATATATGAATTAACTTTTCAAACTTGAGTTAATTCCTATTTCCACCGATGCAACGGATAGCTTCGGAAGCTGCTCAGATAACTTATCCAAGTTTAGTAGCATCCACTAACTATACCCTGTACTTCAGGAACATTCGCGAACAAAACAGATCCCAATAATGAGATTTGTGAGCCATGTGATTACGACAGTTACAGTGAAAATAAAACAAACTCACAGTGCACCCACTGTGCGGCTCAAAAGGGCACTCTTACTCCTGGATCTGATTCTAAGGATGATTGTACAGGTATGTTATCATACACTCTCCTCAAGTTCATCAATGGCGCTTCTCTCATGACGTTAATATGCATCATTGGGTTTTTTTATAATTTGGTAAATTTATAACGATGAATATTTTATTCTAAGGAGCACCATTTATATTATATTTTGAATATTTTTACCTACATTGAATTAATATAAGACTTCATGGTTCCTTCTTAACCTGCTTCAGTATTCCACACGAAAACTCCCCAGATATCTGCGAAGTGCCTCAAGTAGATTACACCTCCTTAATGGAACCAGCTGCTGGGGGAAGAGTCCTTGAGGGGGAGGTGGTAACCTTACACTGTAACCAGGGGTTCTACTATGGCAACATGGCCGCATCTGAGGTTACCTGTAACGATGATAAAGATAACAACAACAATTTCCCGGCTTCCTGCAGAGGTTATTGTGGTGGATAATGCTATACGCAGTGTATTTAATGTTTAACCCAGAGGTCTTTGGTGCCGAAAATTTAGGTTCTTCAATGTTCAGACGAATCGACAAAATTTGAACATTTTCAAATTTAAAATAAGAATTTGTCACATTTTTATTCATTTTAAACTTGTGTCCTCGCTTTTAATTCTTAAATCTTGCATAATAATTCATGAACATTTTATTGAACAGGTATAACCGTGAAAACTGAGAAAACCTCGATAAAAGAAGGCTCGGATATGAGTTTGACATGTGTGGTGAACACTACTGGTACAATTCCTAAATTTACATGGTACAAGGCCCCAGTTGACAAACCGGATCAAACGAAAAAGTTATTAATAGACGGTATGTTTGTATTTTATCATTTATATTAGTCATGTTTATAATTTAATACTGGGTCATATTGTTAAAAACTTCGCAGGATTTGTGTTATAATTTCTAATTTCTAATTTCTAATTTCTAATTTCTAATTTCTAATTTCTAATTTCTAATTTCTAATTTCTAATTTCTAATTTCTAATTTCTAATTTCTAATTTCTAATTTCTAATTTCTAATTTCTAAGCCGTTCTGACATCGGTAATTTATATTTCCAATACCCATATTGGATATCAGCAGGATATAAATACTTTGCTTCATTCCAGTAAGTAGAGTTTAAACTGATATTTGAAACTATTTATCATTCTTTCAGGCGTTTTTCTGTGGTCCTCTCCAGTCTTCAACATCACAAGTTTTAATGGAGATGATAATGGACATTACTACTGCCAACCTGAATATAAGGAACCTATATTGGATGACTTGTCAAAACCTGTCACACTTTCTGTACTCGGTAGGCATTTGAACCTTATTTTGAACCTTATTTTGAACCTTATTTGAACCTTATTTGAACCTTATTTGAACCTTTGGTTTTGTGATTGGCCGATTGTTTTAGCTGAGGAATTGTAAAGTGGGCCGATTTAAATTATAATTAGTTTTTAACGTGCTATTCGGAAACTCAGTTTGAGACTTGTAACATTATGATTCGTATATTGATTTACATATTATCCTCAGTCATAAATAGACCATCGAGATATATATAATAATTATCTTCTAGACGTTAAAATGAATCCTGTGGAACGTACACATGCTTACGTTGGATACCAAGTAAATTTCACATGTACCATGAGGATTGACCCCAGCTATCCCAAACGAACAATCGAATGGACGAAGAATACTACTAAAGAGAAGGTATGGTTTACTGAAAGATCCAAAAATGTGATCGACTTCGTTTAGGCGATTAGATATTATATAGTCTTGATCATTTTCATGCAGCAATACTTTTTTAAACTTTTCATAATTATACCGTAAAACCACGATATTTACTGCTGAGTTTGCCAAAAACATTTAACCGCATATATCAACATATACCCATAATACATGGGTCTCAGACTACTAAAACACAGTTTTAATAAAACGATTATTTAAATTTAACAGAAAAAGTCTTTATAAATCATACACCCGCAGATAACGACAGGCATGACAACAAGTCAAACAGACCAGTTCTACCATAGTGTCCTGACTCTATCGGACCTGAACCTGGAGGATACTGACATTTACAAATGCTCAGGTTTGTAAATCTGGATAGTATAGAGTAATCGCGTGTAATCCTGCATACCACTTAACTTAACTTAAAGTTAATGTAACTTTAACACTTAACTTAAAGTAAAATGTTAAAGTGCAGACGTACGTAGGAATTTAAAAGCCACCGCTGCAGTACTGCAGGATGGACACAATTTATTGTAGAGTAGAAGATACTCCACTGTGTTTAACATGTAGAGTAGTACTATAAGTAGATACTCCATTGTGTTTAACAGTGCTGTGACAGAGATTTTGTGGATGACGAGTTGCTGAATTTATATTATCGCTTAATAAGTTACTCAATCAACTAATTTACCAACTAAGTTAACTAAATCAACTAAGTTACCAACTAAGTTAACTAAATCAACTAATTTACCAACTAAGTTAACTAAATCAACTAAGTTACCAACTAAGTCAACTAAATCAAGTAAGTTAACTAAGTCAACTAAGTCAATTGATTCAGGAACCTACACGAACACTGTGGGGAACGAGACTGTTTCATTGGCGGAACAAGTAGAAGTCACTGTGCGAGGTTTTGTGAAGCAGCTAGAGAATGTTTCGGTTCTTGTGGGCAAGGATTTCCGCTTGGATTGCGAATTCTTCGTCGGTTCAGATATAGGCCGGAATGATGATGAGTCAGAATTAAGCTGGTAAGTGTGCTTGTAACGATTCAGTTCGAATTCCGATCACTCGCACTGATCAATATTCATATTTATTAAGTCTAAATATTTGTCAAAAACCTGTGGGTCACCACTTGTTATCTTATGCTATAATGAACGATGAAATTGCAGCATACACCGCGGGTAAAACTAAAGGATGGTTCTTGTTACCTGTAAATAATATTACCATCATATAACCACTTAATAGATTCATAGTTATTCTCCTTCAGGAAAAGATACGAGAATGGTTATTGGGCCGACATTAACAACGACACCAGATTTACCATAACCAAGGAATTCAACGACACCACCTCATATCCTCTTCTACTCTGAAAGTGATGAATACAACTCTTAACGATACTGGGCGGTACAGTTGTAGAACTGAGTTTCAGAGAAGAACTGGAGAGTACATTGAGTCCCTCGCTTCAGTCACCACTTATAGTGAGTACACGTAGTGTTTAACTGTTGGAGATACGGTCACCACTTATAGTGAGTTGCGTTGCCTTTTTGACGTACTTTTCGTATGCCATTTTTAGTCTTATAACCAATAAAATATATATCAAAGTTTGTTTTATTTTGATTGACTCCCTTGTAATTGTAATAAGCAGTTGGAACAGATTGTCCCTTATTTTAGCAGTGAATTATTGAATTCTAATTATTTAATCATTCAGATCTGGGGGTAAAAGAAGGACCTGAAGATGCAGCGTATCTGGTTGGAGAAAAGGCCGAGCTGACTTGTGAAGTTACCCTTCCCGGCACTGACTCGGATCACTTGTCAGTAAGATGGGTGAAAATCTCCAACAATCTGGAGGAATCAGTTCCAGACGATAGGACCTTCTTTAATCCCAACCCTGGGAACTCTACCACTGGAAATTCCACTCTTACGTTACGCAAGTACGCGGTGCCCTAATTGAGCCATAATTGAGCCCTTATCCTGAATACTTCATACTTTTATTCATTATTATTGCTCCCAAACCTCTTTACTTCTGAGACGGTTGTCTTTATGATAATGATTTTAATTTGATTTTTTTGTTAATATTGATGCAGGAATCTTGAAGATTTCTAATCGATATTCAATAGCGTTATTAATTTTATAAAATTCAATTTTTTTGTGATCATAAATATTATTCAGTGTCTCAATGAGCGATGCGGCTGATTACAAATGCATGGCATCCTATGTTGTGGATGGGAAGTCCTTTAAGAAAAATAGCTCCGTAGCAACAATTTACGTTAGAGGTATGTAGTGGGGCTTCAGTTTCACCATATTCAATATAAATAATTGTTTGAAGAGCAAGTTATAATAGGCAAAATCATTTCAAAGAATGATTGATAACGTCTTTAAAGTGGTTTACCTATGATAAAAACTTAAGGTCTGTGAACTGAAAGATGACATGATATTAAACTAGGCCAAAACCAATCCTTGTTCTTTGGTATTATAAATATCTCCGGGATTTCGACGCGGGATCATATTATCACTCAGCCCGGCCCGCTGTTAGATAAACATCTCAAGGTGATATCATCCCGCCCCGGAAATTTGTATAAACCCGGCCCGCTTTTTAGTCGTAACTGATGTTTATGATTCAATTCTCCGACTTACAATAATCAATGATACTGCTGATTAGAACTCGATAATAGTAGAACAGTTAGACGCGCGATCACGTGAGCGCGTCACGTGCGTACCACGTGCCACCAATAGCATACGCCGAGTCTATACCACGTGACACGAAAGCGCACCACGTGATATGAAACATCGTAACCGTCCACTTCTTTTACACGCAAATTCCTGGGAACGTTGCCAAAGCAGCTAATTCTTGGAATTTCTCCAACGCGTGGCGTGAGAAGTTGGCGACTAGCCAGCTACCCTTGTCCGTGCCCTAAAATAGTATTGTTTTGCTTGCTCTCCTTCCAGCTCTTGTTCCTGCTAACGTTCAAGCTATTGCTCCACTATGACAGATCGGTTTGACATTCAGATTGATGAACTGCTTTTATCACTCTCTTCTAAAGTATAAATCCCTTGTCGAAATCGCCGGAGATAATTATAATCCATAAACACTTCACGCTCAGGGCTAAATAAATGTAAAGCCGTAGTACATACATATTGCATTACTTTAAAACCGACTTTACATGGAAACCGTCATAGACGCGCGCGCGCGTTTTTCGCGCGAAGAATCATTTAATCTTCGCGCTGGCGCTTCGGGATTACATATTAACACAAAACTCGTGCGCTGCGCGCACTCGTACTATGTGTTTATCAGATCATCCCGCTAGCGCAGGATGATCTGTTATATAAACCCTTTGCGTGGCGGGTTTATGTTATTATAAAGCAGATTTTGTAAAAACACTATCTCCCTTCTAGAGTTTAGCAGATATCTGGACGAATTCTCGTTATTCCACATCCCCTTCCATTACGATCCTGCCAATGGTTCCATGTACGATGAAAATGCCCCCCACAATTACAATGATACTGACAGTTGGGTAGATTCGCATGGTTTTTCCTGTGAGTACCACGGAGACGACAGTGTTGAAGATGTTTTTTGGTCGGTGGTATTTTGGAATGGAACTGTAGATGCTGAACTTCTGAATAATAATGAGACTGTTTTCCAAAAGGTAAATTTAACCTTCTTTTCGAATTCAGTAAGTATTCTCAGGCCTCATTTAACTTCTTAGCTGTTTTATAATGATGTATTGGATCTTATTACTGCTATCTGTAAATACCTGGAAAATACTGTATTTCAGCTGGGGGAGTGTGGGAGGGTTCTGGTCTCGCCCGTGAAAGCCAAGAGACTAACATATTAATTTATTCTATTTGAATATATGCTATTTCAATTTCACAACTTAATGAACTTCTTTTATAGGGATCGTATGAAAGCAGCAACAACACATGGTCAACAACACTGTTTTTGTCTCGAAAATACATAACCACCAACTACAACGCATCCCTAACTTGCCACTTTAACTTTACGACTGTTGGCAAACCGATCACTTCAACGACCGCCTTCTCTGTTCGCGGTAGGATTCTATATATAGATATTATTTTAATTTTTAATTTGAAAACTTCAGTGAAGTATTTACTATAAGATATTGAAGCACAAGCTTTTCCATCAGCTTTACATTTTTTGTTTTTTTGTATTTATTCGGTCTTTAATTTGGCTGCAACTATAGGAAACGTGTACAAAGGAAACTAAGTTATTGAAATTAAGATATTAGTAAGTGATATAAAATGTAAATCACACGCATAACATTAAGAATAAGACAAAAAATGTACGAATACATTTGCAGTGCATGAATTATTTGCAATCCCTAATTTGTTGATTCTGATGTTTTAAGATAATCCTATAATCCTTCTCAACCCTCAGCGATAAGACCCCTAGTCTCCGAGACTCAGACCAGTAACTCGACAGAAAATATCACGTGCAGCTATGTGGGCACTGATTCACCACATTCTATCACATGGATAGTGGAGGGTGCTATCATTGTTGATGATAGTGAGGATTATCACATTCACGATGAATACCAAATAGGGAAACAGAGGTTGGTAACTTTGTTTTTGAAAGATTGTTTTTTGTTAAGTGTTCTCACTTCCAGATCAAATATGTATATGTCATATGATAATACGGATTGCAGACTTACGGTAATCTTTCAGATCATATTTTCATCACTTTAATATCAGTGGTTTTAACTTGCCAACTTCCACAGCACGTTATATTCCATTTAGTGTTCTGTAAGGTATCGATAACCCATTAAAATGCCCATTATTTCACCAGATTTGATGTACTGACAGTGGCTGACCGTACATACTCCGATTCTGACAGGAACATTACCTGCAAATACACATTTACTAGTCCCACTGATGAAATGGCATCATCCACTCTTCTCGTCTACAGAGGTAGCTGTTAATTAGTTAATTGGGCATCAACCCAATTAATGAGCAATATTCAGTCATATAAAAATGAAAAACTATTGTATCGGGATGGCAAATGTGATCGGTTTTGATATCGTTAAATATTGTTTTTCGTCACTTAAAACGATCCTGCAATCATATTTTGACCATCCTCAGGATTACACTCCAGACTACAGCCGAATTACTATCTTACAAGGGACCAGCAGGGTCTTGTGAATCCTCTTGTGATGGAATGTCAACTGGGGGTAGGGGCTGACGGGCCTGCCCCAGACTATACTACCTGGTAAATTAGAGTTCTTTAGATTCCAGACTATACTACCTGGTAAATTAGAGTTCTTTAGATTCCAGACTATACTATCTGGTAAATTAGAGTTATTCCGTAATCCGTATTATCTCTTACCCGCTTAGACAAAATACTTTCTACCTTCAAGTACATTTATCAGTATCATGATGAATACATCTGTTTCCACTGTATACTATCCATGTTGGACTGGTATGGGAATTATCGTGTGATTCTCATACTTTCCAACGCCGCACAGTCCTCTGCCGTAGTGTCTAATACCCGCTGGTACAACTTGAACTCGAATTTTGTTACATTATTTTGCTGTAACAGAGTTAATACAAAAACAAGCCACTAACACACCACCTGATCATGGTTCCCTTGATAGGTATTTCAAGTACTATGAAGGACTATACTTGGACACCGTGGATCTCAGCAGTAATCAACAGTTCCAAGAACTATTCACCATTTCTACAGACACAGTTCCGACTAACGGTCTCTTCAAATCAACTGTAACTCTAAAGGCTGATCTGCCTCTGCAACAATACAGTCAAATCCCGCTCGGGGGATCTGGCAAATTTGGAAACTATTCTTGCTCTTTTGAGTTTAATGATGATTCTCAACAGAAAATAACCTCGGAAACAATATTGCACAACAGAATGGTAGCGGTTGGAGACATGTCTGGAGACCTCACCAATGCCACAATCAGCTATGGATACAGTCCTAACTTTTTCATTCTAACCTGTTATGTTCATCCTTACGAAGATTCAGATGTTTTTAACGTAACTTGGTCAGGTCCATCTGACATTGTAGAAAACTCGGAGACGAGTGAGGAAAGAAGGAAAATTTCTGAAGGCATTTACTTAACATCTCATTATCTAAACCTGACCCTACCAACGAAGGATGACAGCGGATCTTACTCTTGCGAATTCGAATTTCTATCCGGCCCCTCCGTTCAAGGAAACTTCCCGGAATTGAAGTTCAACGACATCAAGATAACAAATCCAAACCGTGTGTACGTAACAGCAAGTGGTATAGAGGTTAAGCTGGAGTGCCGAGTGGACTCTCCTGAGAGACTGGAACTAGGGTGGTACGATGTTGATCACGCAGATTGGATTACTCCTTCCAATATTACCCACGATGGTGCGACCACTTTGGCAACTTACTTGTTAGAGGTAATTTCGCGAGATTGAATAAATGTTTTTGGTGAAACAATTAAAGCGGCTAGCTATAATATGCCGATAAAATCAATTTGCTGGCTTAGCCGGCTGGTATATTATGCTCTCAATCTTAACAAAATATTTTGTAAACACAACATATCTATGCCAGGTAAACTCAACAGACGACAGAGGTAACTTTAAGTGCGTGCTTGACGAGAACCAGTACAGTAAGGAGAACGTCAGTGTCATCGTCCTGGACCTCTATCCGAGCTTTTCCGGGGTGGTTGTCGGTAACGAGAATGATGAGGTGAGACTTTGAAACTTTGAAACTTCGAAACTCTTTTCCTGTTCAATAATATTGTAATTTGTCCGAAGTTTAGTCCAGTTAAAATTGATTTGACTTGACGGTGTGTATGGTTTTTAAAGATAAGTGTTAATAATAATACCATCCAAACACCTGTGTACACCTGGTATGGAGGGGGATTATTTAAAACAAATCGTCTTCAGCTGTGTACACTTATCCCCTAATCCCTACAGGTAATCCTTACGTGTACTTTGGACTACAATAAGGACCTGAACATACCTACCATTGAGTGGTATAAAGATGGTATACTCTACAACACAGGCATCACCAGTAAATTGAAGTATGTAAAGCTAAAATTATTACTGTTTAGATTTGCAATTTTTGTTGTATCTATTCCATTTTTTTGGGATTTATAGTCGGCTAATAGCCATAACGAAACACACTACCCTCGTTAGGACCACAATTTATATTGGCACTGTTGTTAAATCTTAAATAGTCACATAATCTGGTCAGCAAATATTCCGACTGGCTGTTAGCCGGTTATTATCGTAACAGCCTTCTAACATCCGGTTAATAGCCAGTTAATAGCCAGTTAATCGCCAGTTAATAGCCAGTTGATAGCCAGTTAATAGCCAGTTAATAGCCAGTTGATAGCCATAACGAATCACAAGTAAGCATCGGCTATTAACCGATTGTTAAATATTCCCTTTCAGTGACGAAGGAGACAAATTTGTGAGTGAACTGAAAATGACAGTTGACTCCAGTGTTGCAGACAAGGACTATTACTGTGTGGGCAGATACTCTGATGTGGTGGCATCCTCACCTCTCACCAGCGAGAATGTTACCATACTAATGACACGTGAGTCTCATACCATTTCAACCTAGTTTTAAGAATTCTATGTTTGGAACTTTCTCCTGCAAAATAAATATAATTGAACTTTCAGTGATTTGAAATTTTCCCCAATCTGACAAACTAATGAAGTTATGATATTATGATTATTAGCCAAGATTTAAACTTTTCGTTTTTTGCATGCGGGGCTCAATCAGTCTAATTCTTTTGCCTTATTCAATTAAATTTTATAATGCTTTTGGACACGAAGGGAAACACACAACGTAAGGCTTAAAATCTTGGTAACACTACATCATTAGAACCTCAAATTATTTGTTATATAGTAGTGTTGAAAGTATTAAAATAACTAAATATTTTTCAGAGATGATCGCTGAAAGAAACTACATGATCGCAGCGGTAGGAGACAACATTACCCTTAGTTGTACAGCCTACAGTAAACAACCAGAGGACATCTTCTGGCGCATAGGGGATAAAAATATAACTGAAAATGCTGAGAGAGTTGACACGTCATCCTTATATGTCAGTAAAAGTGTTTTGAGGTTTACAAATTTAACCGCTGACGATTCTGCGGATATTATCGAGTGTTGGTTCAAGCCTCAAGAAGGTGAAGAGAAGTCCACAAGGATCACTTTGGAAGTTCTCGGTGAGTCTTTTAAGATTGTTGAAAACTGTTAGTGCGGGGACCCTATAGTGGGGACAATATATTTCACCCCCTCGACATTTCACTACCTGCCAAGGTTATTTTGTTTTGGTCAGTGGCAGAGTTAGTAAACTCTTAAGATTCTTGTGCGGGATGACGATACATAGAGGCCGCAGAATTATGAGGACTACCACTTACCAGATCCTGGTGGAACCTAAGCTATCCATGATATCACGACAGGCCCTATAGTATTTAGGCCATCTCGATTTGTCAAAGGATTAAGCTTTTGCCTTTTCGTTTTACAAGAGTTACAATTAAGTTAGGATTGTCATTAGGTGTGGTTTTAAAATTTCGTCATAAGTTAAGTCTTGGGGAGTAAAACGTGGTGAGATGAAGATCAGGTAACAACTCATTATATTCAGATGTACAGACGATTGGAAGAGAAGTAAAAAGAGGAGAAATTGCCAATCTGACCTGTACAGCAACACCTACAGCTTTCGCTACGTACGATTTATAGGAATCTGGAATCATATTGTTATCTATTTATGCTATCTTCTTTCATCATCCTGCCATGTTGCCACAATTTAAAGTTAACTCAGAATTACTGTCACGTGTCAAAGAAAATTTGGTTCACTAGTATTAACTTATTAAGTACATTATACATTATACATTATACATTATACACTAGTATTAACTTATTAAGTACATTATACATTATACGTTATACATTATACACTAGTATTAACGTATTAAGTACATTATACATTATACATTATACACTAGTATTAACTTATTAAGTATTTATATCTATACCTTAACTTGCTCATTGTTCTTTGACCGCGACTAAATGCGACTATATCAGTATATAAGCATAAAACAAATAAACTTACATTGTAATTCTCGTACAGAAAGAGCGACCTCGCATTCAACTGGTTCTACATAAATATCAGTACCGGAATGGAAGTGGAAGTGCCGAAGAACGAGACGTACTTGGTAGCTGAGGGAGAGTCTCAACTAATGGTGACACGGACCAATGATACTGAGTACAGATGTGCTGTGTACTCTACTATTCACCAAGACAGTGGTTACGCTAGCAGTAACGTCTCGTTCTACGTATTCGGTAGGAATTTAAGTCTTATATTTGTTTTGATGAGAATCGTTTCAACTTACAAGCCAACATATACGTAAACATTTTCATGCATTATGTACCAATACCATTTGTCTGAAATTTTAGGTTTTTCGCAAACTGAACTAGACAAAAACGATCGCCTTCTTCTAAATTCTAACAACCCTGTCCAGATCTAACAAATCCAAGCGACACCATAGTGCATGCGGGAGATAAGGTCACACTAAGTTGTGGAGTTTCCAACAACAACGGAACACCCTCCTTCAACTGGTACAAAGACGGAAACTCGCAATCCTTGCACCAGAATAATGGGAATAATGACTACGATTACATTTTGTCAAGATATACCTTTGCACCTGAAAGTTTTGGAGATTCGGGGTCTTATTATTGTGAGGTAACGATGGAGTTTGATGGTGAAGATAACGGCCCGTTTAAATCAGAGATGGCTTCACTCATTGTGCGAGGTAAGAGAGATTACAGATTTATGGAGCCAATTTTAATTTTAATTAATGCATAATTATGATTTATACTCATACTTGTGAATTTTAATGACAGGACCTTTTGCCAGTGTTAATTTATTCAAGTCTCGTATCCGATCCAATGTAAAATTTTTTCCAGAAATTCGACCCTCATTCAAGAACGTAACCCTGGTACACAACAACAGAGGAGAAAGAGCAATGGAGAAGTTGGAATGTAAATATTACGGAGATAAGGAAAGTGTCCTGTCAGTATATTGGGAGACGCCCGCAGGAAGGTACTCTGATGGGGATTATGCTGAATCTATAAAGGTAGGTCCTGACTCGTGACTCGTGACTCGTGACTCGTGACTCGTGACTCGTGACTCGTGACTCGTGACTCGTGACTCGTGACTCGTGACTCGTGACTCGTGACTCGTGACTCGTGACTCGTGACTCGTGACTCGTGACTCGTGACTCGTGACTCGTGACTCCTGACTCCTGACTCCTGACTCCTGACTCCTGACTCCTGACTCCTGACTCCTGACTCCTGACTCCTGACTCCTGACTCCTGACTCCTGACTCCTGACTCCTGACTCCTGACTCCTGACTCCTGACTCCTGACTCCTGACTCCTGACTCCTGACTCCTGACTCCTGACTCCTGACTCCTGACTCCTGACTCCTGACTCCTGACTCCTGACTCCTGACTCCTGACTCCTGACTCCTGACTCCTGACTCCTGACTCCTGACTCCTGACTCCTGACTCCTGACTCCTGACTCCTGACTCCTGACTCCTGACTTCTGACTCCTGACTCCTGACTCCTGACTCCTGAATCCTGACCACAAGCAATAGATTCAGTTTAATAAGGTCCAAATTACAGTTGAAATAACAAAATCACTACATGTTTAATGTAATGATTTGTTAAATTGTATTGACAGCAAAGAAATTTCCCATCAGGTTGAGGATGATGCCAGTAGCAATGATAGTTATACTAGTGTTCTGTCATATTCCCGAAATGCAAACAACAGCGATGAATTCTCCTGTTATTTCGAATTAGGACCATATGGAGAGTTAATGGTGAAGAAAACACAAGCATCTGTCTTCAGTAAGAGCTAGTTTTCTTGGGCGAAAAATCACGAACATTTTTGTGACGTTAACATACGATTGAGTGGCCGGGCATTACTTCTTTACTTTGAGCGGCAAAGTTCGCTTTTAAAAAGTGCCCTGGACGTGACTTCACAGATCCTTTCAAGAATTTTTAACTGTTACATTTTTGTGAACTCATTCTAAATTGTATGGTTATATGATATACTAGGAGAAAGAATTGATCTCAACAAAACAATGGGGTTGAACTGTTAAAATATTAAATCACCCTCGCCTTAACTCTCTCCTCAGGTTACACAGACCTATACAAATTCACCTACAACCCAACCCAAATCAATTACACTTACAACGGAGACGTAGAATCCCAGGTCACGTGGATAATAGATGGGGATATGTATGATGAGGGCAAGCATACACAGGTTAATTTTTTAGATTTATTTTTATAGCTTTCTTTCGATTTTCCTGAATTATTATTTTTCTGTACTACCAAGACGAGCTCGTTAGTGTTCTCCTTGGTCATTTCATGTTTAATTCCTGTTTAATTCCTGTTTAATTCCTGTTTAATTCCTGTTTAATTCCTGTTTAATTCCTGTTTAATTCCTGTTTAATTCCACAGTTCACACCTACTACGGAGGTGAACAAAACGTCCAGAAAGTTCCTGTTAGCAGTTGACATGACTAAGTTTGCTGCGGGAGCTAAACCTGTTGAAGTGAAGGGAAAGATCGGGTTTGAAAGCGAGAATGTTACTGTTCCGTATCCGGAGAAAAACGTGAATACTACTATCTATAAACGAGGTTTGTAGAAATTATTTCTAGTGTTTTCTATAGTACATTCTATAAATTTCATACATTATGTATTATACATTCTGTACATACTATACAATTTATACAATTTATACAATTTATACATTCTATACATCCCGAATGCATATATTAAAATCATTCAAATACACAGTACAGACATCCTACTGACTTAGAAATTCAAGAAAAATGATTCAGATTTCTTGCTATCCACAAAGCAGTAATTTTATCCAATTTAATCCCCACCTCCTCGAGAATGACATGCAGACATTTCAGGTTAACCTTTTCCGTTTCTCAGATTTTACAACAGAGCTTGACGTTAAAATTTTAAAGGCTCATGATGAAGCAGAGGGAACGTTTACCTGTGTGGTTGCAGGAGAAAACAAGGACTTTACTTTCTCTTGGTTCATTGGTTTGCATCCTAGTTTATCTTATATCGTGTACAATTCCAATTCACATGTTTCTTAATCGTAAACTTAAGACTCTCAATTCAACCACCATAGTTCTCGATTCCTCTCCTATTACTGCTTTTACTCCATATAGTTTATGATTCAAGTAAATTACCGCCCATCTCTTTAAGGCAACACCCAACTTGTTGATGCCGACGATAACATCGCCTTCACGGACGAAGCAAACCCCACAGACTCCAAATATCAACGGAAATCAGTCCTGACAATTAGTAACCTCAATTCGTCTCCCCTTTACAACGACGCGTTAAGATGTGTAGCAAGCTGGGAGCAACCTGAAACCTTTTCTGTTGAGTCCGTTGCTGATCTGGACACGGTCGGAGCGAGTATGGAGCCTAGTTTCTACACGGAGTTAGACGGAAGTGCAGTCCTGACCTGTCTTGTTTGGGGCAATGAGCCTCCGAAAGAAATTGTGTGGACAGATAAGGATCAAGTGGAGGTGGAGCAAGATGACAACAGGGTACGAGACTTTTAATATTTTTGGTCACCAATTGTACATCAACAACATCATAGGGATTCGTTCGCATATTACGAGTAATGCCCCCGGCCGGTATAAGTGCTCTTCAATCAATCAATCAAAGGTATAACTTAACGGCTTTAAGTTTAAGTGTTAAACAGGGATTCAGTCAATGTAGAAAAGTTATAAGAAAATATTGTACATTTGATTGCTTCGTCCACTTTTTTAATTCAATTTCAGATCGAGATGGGACATGATACGATTAAGACGGGAATGAACGACGTGCACCTGTACACTCTTAAATTTGTTTCTCTTCAACAAGCTAACGAGGGTCAATACACTTGCTATGTTAAATTCGATGACGACTCGGATAAATCTATGGTGACTGAAGTGAACTTCATAGGTACATTTCATAGATATCCTTAAGGCCTTAATTAATATGAACTGTTAAAGTACGTAAAGGAGGTCATCATCGTGGTGTAATGATATTGATTCCTAATTTCTAAGACTTCTCGATAAGATTTCAAGAAAAGAATGTGCGATCAACATATCTCACTTTCTGAGTATAAGCCTGGGCGCACTTATTCTATTTTCGATTGTTCCCCTCTTCCTTTTATTCATTGTTGGGAGCTGCCTATAATCCAAAATCATCCCAGGTGCTTCATTTGAGCCAGAGTCCCCTTACTTTATACACGATCTGTTGGAAACTATTCAATTTACTTGCAATTATAAAGGATTTAGAGAGCCTAAAGGTGTTACCTGGTTCAAAGTAAGTATATGTTTAATCGCATTTGAACGTACAAATCAAATACGCTTCTGGCTTTGGATAATAATCATAATACGTCCTTTGCGTATATTATACGATGATATAACAATCTTGTAGTGCGGTTCGGCAACTATTTCCACCGAAGGAATAATCAAACATACGAGCTCTTGACGAGTAACCATGATTATTGGCCTAATCGCACATCAGTGTGATGATGAGTGAAAATAACACCACTAATAACACTGCATTTGCAGGACTCTGATATACAGCTATTTTACACACCAATCACTCGATATTCTTCCTAGGATTCAAAGGAAGACGGAAATAAGCTATCAAACACAAGTGTCCTGTACGATATCGAGACAGGAACATTTAAAAATGATTTTAACACTCAAAAGAGTGTTCTAACAATAAAAACAAATAATATTGATGCTAGTGGAGATTATATCTGCGAATGGGAGACCAAAGAAGGACTTACTGTTTCTGCGACCATGATGCTAGCTGTAAGAAGTATGTAAACTTGCTAGTTCTTTGAACTGTCTTTGCAAATATCTTTATTTTGGAGTGTTTAAAAACTGACCATTGAAAATGGTTATTGATTTGTATATTATTATCTATATTCTATATATTATCTGTATATTGAATATTAACAACCTTTCAGCATTACAACCAAAAACTGAGTTGTACTTCAGCACAGATAAAATGATATCACTGGAGTGTGAATATAAGGGCCAAGAGGAGGGAGAAATGAAATGGTTTAACGAATCCAGACTCATCACCGAAGAAAACGAAAGAACATCCTTTGCAAATGGAAACTTCGAGAACAACGCCCAAACGTTCCAACTACAAATCTCCAAGGTAACGAGAGAGGACGCAGGAAGATACACCTGCGTCCTCTCATTCGAAGACGGGGACGAGATAACAGCTACCACTAAAGCTGTTGTGAGAGAAAGTAGGGTTATGAGTGAGCACATGAGCCTCTCTGATGAGGGGACACTGGTGTACGTGGAGGATGATGTGTTAGAGATGCAGTGTGCGCTGGAGGGGGATAAGATTCCTGATAACGTGCAGTGGTTCTATGAAGATAACGAGATCTACTTTGATGGAAGAATGAAGACCGTAGTGAATGCAGTTTTAAGTCAGGAGAGTTGGGGAGTTAGATTCTTCAGCAATGCCACTTTCAAGGGGCAGGATAGCATTTCAGATGGTAATTACACGTGCAAGTTCTCCTTCTTAGACGAGGAATCTGCGGGAACTGAAAAGACTTCCTCGACGAAAACTTACGCAAGGGTCTTGGCCATCGAAGTGGATGCTGATAAAACTTGTACATTTGTCGATTTCGAAAAAGAGGCAGATGCTTCCCTGGGATGTTCACTTGAGGGTGATATTGAATCTGTTGGAGTTGAGATAAAAGCTGCTGTGATGTCCCTCCCAGATGATGGTTCAACAAGGTTATTGGAGGTCTCAAAGAACCCTGATTATACGGTCGTCAATGTGACATCAGAGAATGACGGGATTTACAAATGTGGTTTTATAATGGACTCAGAGGGTCATCCAGAATTTTCTGCGACTCAGCGATTGACGGCAAGAAGTAACTATTTTTGAGTTATTTTGTAAACAATCATTCAGGACCCTTCTTAGACTCTTTCATTGAATCTTGAAAGTGAAATATATGTCTTTTGACGGCAATTATTATTTTGGATTATCTACTATCGAGTGTTAGGACATAGGTCATTAACACACAACATCTATTTTCTAGGGGTACCTCTAGATTTGATAGGTCATTAACAGTTAACACAAAACATCTATTTTCTAGGGGCACTTCTAGATTTGATAAGCTCCAGCAGAATGGTGGTCTCTGGGACAACGCTCACTCTCGAGTGTTACATCGAGGGAGGAGCCAAATCTATCTCCTGGTCAGATCAAAACAGCATCTTTGTTTTTTACTTTGTGCTTTACGACTTTTAGATAATCGTTAGATGTATTCAAAATCGATTCTTGCATCTGCATAACAAGCAACCGTGAGGGGGATTTAGGAGTGGGAGCAATCTAAAAGTAAAACATAAACCTCTCCATACAGGTACGAGGACGATGTTGAGATCCGTAATTTCGAAGAGCGCTACACCGATCACTTGGAGAATGGTCACATCGAACAGATGTCTATCTCCTTCCAAGTACCCAGCACCGACAGTAACACCACTAAAAGTTACAAGTGTAGGGGGATGATATATGACGAATTCTGTCCTCGACAAAAAGAGTTTGACTCTGCAGTATCACCGATTGAAGTGATCCCAGCTAAACCCCTTCAGAATCCTTCAAATGGGTCCGTTACCCCGCTCTTACACCGTTATTAATTATAATTTATAGATTATAGACCCTTTGATTGAAGTAAAACTGTTCTGCCTTGGTAAAGTATGTATAACTATAAAGGGTGTTCACGATACATCGAAACGGTTTCAGACATCAACCAGCTATGATTTACCCTTATTTTCTTTGTTAATATATTGAAATATTTCTTTAAAGACTTTGTAACCTGCACCCCTGACCGTCCCCAGATTCGCTTACGAAGGAGAGAGTCACGTGTTCACCTGTAGGTTCCCTGACGCAGGGGATGGGGGACTTTACAATGTTTACTGGATGTTCAACGACCAGGTACGATAACCTTGTAATACTTATAGTAGAGCTTACTTATCTCGAACCGTATCACTGCGGCCGCTCCGAAGGTCACCGATGAGGACATAAAAGCCCAGAATAGAACACGTCACATATCGGAAGGTGATGTAGCATCCCTTAAAGCGATCAACACCGATGGGAAGCTACTACAGTACGAAAGGTATCAGATCCAGGGCCAAGGCCTCCATAAATGTGACGGTCATTCCTTTGAACTGAGTGATCGATCTTTTTTTGAAGGTTCCGAAATCTCAATTGATTCCGTGCAGTCAGAAATCAAAGTTGCCCTTCGTGAAGTTTCACCAGAAATCACGCCGGGCCAAGCCAAATCAAGCTGCACCGAATTGTTCTGGCGACCCAGTGTTGTGAAAGCACTGTGCAATGATCTTACTTCAGGTCTACCGCCAAATACACCCAGTCCTGGCCACCCTGAGGAAAAAAACTCCCTTAAAACCTTGCTCGCAACCATAAACAACCGTGTTGGAGCTCTAACAAACAAAAATACCTTGTTCAACGGGCTCAGAATTATATATTCATTTGACAGGACATCCAGAATGCCTCTGAAGAACACTCATAAAGATGACAATATGCCTCTTGTTATTCTACATATAGGAAAACCTAGAGACCTCAGTATCACCCCTCTCAGGTTTAACCCAGCCGTAGAAGACACCGAAGTCTGTGATGTCAGTCTAGGTAACTTTAGCCTCGTTACTCTATACCCAGATTCCATTAAACATCTACACTGCTATTTCTCTCCTGAGCTAAAGAAAAATGAGGGCGGTGACGAACAAGTCCTGATCATCCCGTATGTCGAAAACGTAGTAGAAGCTATTGATGAACCAGAAACTCTTCAAGCAACGGAATCGCAACCGGACGAAACTGAGCCTCCTGCTGCCGACGTAACCACACCAGCATCAGCTAAAGAAACAGCCGTCAGTCTATCTGCGTTTACCAATGAAACAGCTCACCATATCTCAAACAGTGTTCCACCTCCTCCTGACCCTTGTTTCATCAAACACAGTGAGGACCAAACAAGTGTCACCAACTCCCCAGTTGCAGTCTTCGACCCAAGAAGCAATTTGAACGAGCATTCCAACATCTGCGTAAAGCCTGCTAGAATTACATCGGGTAAAGAGAAGGTTCTCGGAGTACCTAATCTGGACAATAGCGCCTCCATCGTGTTTAGATACATCACACTCGATCTCCTTAAAAACGCAGCAAACACATACAAAAAGAGCGCACTGATGTCATTAGCATCGTCTCTCGGATTGAAAGGCTCCAACAAAAAGAAGCTCTGTGACCTTCTCGAAACCTGTGAGACCACTGGTTCTAAGGAAACCGCAAAACTAGTCACACACCTTATAAACAAACTGGAGGACACCGTGATCAAATTTGAGCTCCTAGCAAACAGCCTCCCACTGAGCAATTCAGCCAGGGAAAGGAAAACTGACCTGGTTACGTTCTGCACAAACCGACACGTAAGCAGCGAAATTACTAGGCTAGTGTTCGATAGTCCAAATGAGGAAGCACCTGGAAACTCGATTTGTAGTAACGTCATACAGTCGCAGAATACGGAACATTTTGATAGCGAGCCAAGTCCACACGACCCGGGCGATTACATAACCCCTGGCGGACCGTTATCCGGCAGCTCCGACACAAAATTTGATTTCTTAACACCCCAGGCACAACAATGCCCTAAAATTCCGAAAAAGAAAAAGGGGAAGAGCAACAAAAAGAAAAAGAGAGGGAAACGCACCGATGATCAAAGCTTATCCATCTCAGGTGACACTCAGAAATCTCACCGAAAAACCTCTGATGCCTCCGTTACAAATGATGCTAGGATTATCACCAATGAGCTTACTACGGAAGCCAGCGATGGAAACCAACCAACTCGTGATGATAACCCTGAGGATCACCTGACCCTGAACGGTTGCAATAACTGCTCAGACCTGAAACATTCGATGTCTGTACTTCAAGACAGTCTACTCGAACTCAAAGAAGAGATGCTTCAACAAAAAGCATTCTCTGACCTCATCCTATCATCCCCAACCACATCTGAAAAATGTGTGTTATCCATCTTTAAAAAGAAAGTTGGCCCAATAGAGACCAAGCTTAATGGAATTCGGGCTGACCTCGACCAACTTTGATCAGCAGTAGACGAGCAGAACTTAATTCTCGAGAGACTGATCAACTTCAAAGCTCAGTTCTCGGACGAACTAAACACGATACAAAGTACGACTCTGAAAGTATTGTCATCTGCCAATTCCGCTAACAAACAGAGGATCGAGACCCTCGAGATCGGCCAAGAAAACTTGACGAAAGCCACGAAAGGAATTGCCAAGTCTGCACTCAATCAATCACATGCCTCAACCCAAGAACTTAAACATGAGCTTCGCCCTATCGTCGAGGCAATTGAAACCACAAGCGCATCGAACAGTTTCAGAATTGAAACCCTGGAGATCAACTTAGAGGACACGATACAAGCTCTAAACGCTGCTGAACAACCCGCAGTGAATAATATACCAGCGGCACTCAATAGTCCTTCCACAGGGAACTCCAAGCCAACACTCAAACGCAAGAAATTCAGAGTACACCGTAACAGCTCCAGCGATGCCACAGCACGTTCAGGTGAAAGCGAGCTCAAGCAAGCAGAGATGTCCTGGGCAGAGAGGGTTGATCAAAGCAACAAGACGCCATTCACGGTGGCAAACAAGCAGAACATGAAAAACCACAATGAAAGGGGCTCTAGAGGCGATCGACCCTCTAGCGAAATGAGGCGAGGTCGGGAGAACCTCAACACTAGAAGCCGCCAATATGACCTCGGTAACAGAATAGAACATACTAACCCCCCCCCCCCCCCCCCCCCCCCCCCCCCGATCGGGGTTCCAGTGAAACAAACTCTGCCGCTGAAGCTAAGGTTAGCTACAGGCGTCACACAGTTCTTCTCATCCATGATGAGAGCTTTGACGAGTTTGACCCGAGGCGCTTTAACAGTCAGTTTAATGTTCACTGTTTTAAAGCAGATAGTTACTCAGATATGCTAAAAAAATCAAAGAAGCTCAACAACACTATAAAAAGACTAAGACCTGAGTGCATTTACATTCACACAGGGAGCAATGATTTCCTTAAAAAGAAATCAAGTCTTGTAAGCAATGTAAAGGAACTCTACGAACATTTACTGAACACCACAAAGGCTCAAATATGCTTTTCAGCGCTGATACCCTCCTCCAACAACTCTAGCATCAATGAAAGAATACAAGTCGTCAATGAGGAGACCAGAAACCATGTTAGCTGGCTCCACAAACACAGGCCGGATGTCAAAGATAGGATCTTCACCTTTTCAAACGATAAAATTGGCGATCAAAATTCTTATTCGTTCAACACTGGATTCGAGCTAAGGCAGAGAGGTCAAAAGATGCTTTGGCTTCGCCTCCGGGAGGGTCTGAGGAAGACCCTGCGACTCCCCCGAATAAGCTACCACGACAATGATAAAAATAAGACGCAGCACCAACAGGTTTAGCAATGACTAAACCCACATCAACGAGGTCCCGCCACTCCCTTAAGTTTCTGTGCTGGAATATCAACCACTCTCGGGACAAAATTATAGGAGCCAAGGTTGATATAACCGAAATTCGTGAACTACTTGACAACCACGATATTTTTGCTCTGCAAGAAACAAAAGGGGAGATCAACTTAAGTAACTACTGTTGCTTTAACTCTAACAGGAAGGAATCAAATTCAGGCGGAGTATGTATCGGAGTTCACAAAAGCTTAAAAGCTGGTGTAACCAACGTTCGTATGAATTCCACGGAAGATATCGTTGTAGTTAAGCTTAAAGCTAACTACTTCAACCTAGACCGAAACACCTATATTATCAATGTCTATGACTCACCCAAAAATGGATCCTACAAGAAGCGAAGAAAAGGTCTGGAAACTGAAGACAGTATGTCAACTCTAAAGGATCTTCAAGAATTCCTGGCTGGAGTTCCTCTGAACGAGGATATCATTCTTCTCGGGGATTTCAATGCTAGAACTGGCACTCTGGACGACATGTTATCAGACCATAGTCTAATGAAGGATACAGATCTCGACGCTCATTTCTCTAAAAAGCTGGCTAAACGCAATAACTCAGACCCAAAGCTAAACACGAATGGGCGACCCTTCATCGAACTCCTTCAGATGACAGGCCTAGTCATCCTAAATGGCAGAACTCTCGGCGACATATTCGGTGAACCCACCTGTATTCAGCGGCATGGTGTCAGCACAGTTGATTACATTTGCGTCTCGACGAGTCTTCATGACAGAGTCCGCCACCTGAAAATTGAGAGCATCTCTCAATATTCCGATCACAGAGCGCTGTCAATGTCAATATCGACAAACCCTTTAAGAAGGATTTCTAACAGTCTTGAATCGCCAGATATCCAAGATGCACCTAAAGCTTTCAAATGGAACTTATCAGAGAACCTCTCTGCAGACACAGCAACTAAGTTCCGGCTGGCACAGAATGATCAGTCATTCAAAGACAAAATGGACTGCCTCCTTGATCAACCAGTGAACACAGCAAATGACGCTGCTCAGCTTAATGAAGACGTGGTTGCAACATACCACAATCTTGCGAATTTTGTTACTACGACCAAAAGTGGCAAACGCACCAGTAAGAAAAAGTGGTTTGACCAAAGCTGTAGACATGCTAAAAGGGAGGCCAACAGAGCCGACAGAAATGCCAACAGTAACCCACACAGCAACTTCCTTCGTGACCAGCACTTCCTCAGAAAAAAGGAATACCGAGCTATTAAGAGGATGAAAAAGGGGAAATTCCTGTATGAGATGAACCAGAAGATAAACGAAAGTGGAGATGTAAACTGGGCAGCACTCAAACGGCTATCTGACCAGTACAAAGATGAAGAACCATTCGACATTTACGATCTCATCCTCTTCCACAAATTCTTTAATGATCTCTACAACCGGAAGTGTGGTAGGAACGATCACTCAAGGGACGATGTCACCTCTACTCCATTGTCCAACAACTCGCAGCTCACCAAGGAACTGGTCGATGAACTGAATCGCGACTTCATGTTACAGGAAATCAAAGATGCAACTAAAAAACTCAAAAACAATAAGAGTGTGTCCGATGATCTGATATCCAACGAAATGTTGAAAAACTCCAACGAGAAACTCCAACTCGTCGTGGTAAAACTCTTCAACTCCTGCCTCCAGCATGGAACTTACCCCTGGAACAACTCCCTCACAACTCCCCTCCATAAGAAGGGTGACCGGCAAAACCCTGATAACTATCGGGCCATAACAATTGGGAGCTGTCTCGGTAAACTCTTTTCGAATCTACTCCTCAAACGGTTAATCGAATTCAGAGAAAGAGCCTGTCCTGACCGACCCTATCAACTTGGATTCAGGAGTGGAGCCCAATGTAATGACCACATACTCACCCTAAATACAATCATAGAGAAATACGCCAAGAAAGAGAAGAAGCGACTATTCGCATGCTTTGTTGACTATCGCAAGGCTTTCGATAGTGTATGTAGGGAAGCACTTCTGTTCAAGTTGAGCAACATGGGAATAGCAGGCAAATTCTTCGAATGCATCAGTCACATGTACAACAACTCTTCAACCCGAGTCAAGCTGATCCAAAAGCTCTCCGCAGCCATTGACGTCACGATCGGTACAGAACGAGGGCATCCAATGTCCCCTGAGCTCTTCAAACTTTATATCCACGAGCTCTCCATCAGGCTGGAACAAATTGAGGAATTGGATGTACCTCTTCTAAACGGTGTTAAAATAAGCCACCTCCTTTGGGCAGATGACCTGGTCCTCTTAGCGCTGGATGCGGACAGCTTACAGAAACTGCTGAACTGCTTGCATGACTATGCCGTAAAGTGGGAGTTGTCTGTGAACATCAACAAAACCAGTGTGATGGTATTTAACACAAGCTCACGAATACTCAAATGTGCTTACGGATTTAAACTAGGAAACTTGGACATCGCACCAGTAAGAAAATACTGCTACCTTGGAATCCAATTCTCTCTGAACGGTTCCTTCAAACAAGCAATCGACGAGCTTAGGAAAAAAGCTCTACGCTCGTTCTTCTCTATGAGACGAATTATTGACACGAGAGCACTCTCCACTAGCACGATGCTAAAACTCATCGATAGCTTAGTCAAGCCAGCAGCTACATACGGATGCCCTGTTTGGCTGCCATCGACCAACATCAAGCCATTCTCTCAAAAAACCAAGAAGTGAGTCTCCCAAAAGCAGCAGCAAAAGATGCTCTCGAATCTACTCACCTAAAAATTCTTAAATGGATATTGGGTGTCCACAAAAAGGCAAATAACAACTTCTGTTACGGCGACACAGGAAGAACCCCCTGGACAGTGACCGTCCTCCCTCAATGTATTGCCTACTTCTATAGAGCATCACAAGCGGTAGTAGGTAACGTGAACACACTTCTGCACCATACATTTCAGGAGCAGAAACAACTGAACCTTACCTGGTATGACACTTGGTCCACTATCATCAAGATGAGCACCTCCGCTAAACCAAACCTACACCCCGCTCTTGCAGCACGTGAGCACATACACGAAACCTTTGTGAACCACTGGAAAAAGGATCTTCACAACCAGCCGAAGATGTCATTCTACACCGCGGTCAAACCTGAGTTTGGTGAAGAACAGTACTTACAGATTCCGTGCAGGCTTAAGAAAGCTAACATTGCTAAACTTCGCTCTAGCAGTCACGATCTGAGAGTAGAGAAAGGTCGATATACTAGTGATCGATACAACACAGCATTGAAAACGTGTCGTTTTTGCTGCTCTCCAGACACAGACGTCATTCGCTTTTTCGAAGAGCTACCTTTCTTTGAAACACCTATCCTAGAAACTGAGGATCATGTCATAACTGAATGCCCTGGATACCACTCCCTCCGCTCAAAGCTTTCTGATAACCTGAAAAGCCTTGTAATGCTAAAAGAGTATAGGACCATAATGAACTCTTGTCACACAAAAGAATTCGGGAAATACCTAACAGACTCTTCAAACCTTCGAAATCCTAAAAATAAGTCCTAATCCTCGTACTCGAACTTTATTTACTGTATTACCTTAAATTATTATAGACGTTCTTCTTTTATTTTCGTGAAATTGTAAACGGTTAAATTTTAATAATTTTTAAATGATTCAGTTTTAATAATTTTATTTATTGATTTATTTATTCATCCTTGTATAGCCAAGACGAGTCCGTTAGTGTTCTCTCTGGTAATTTCATGTTTAATCCTGTTTAATCCTGTTTACAGATTACAGAACTAGAAAGGCCGTGGTAACAGGGATGAAGCTAGTAGTTTTCTATTTCTTACGATAACGTACCTAAGTAAGACTATAAGTATAACGTTGCTATACTTATAGTATTACTTATACATATTGGCTCTCAAAAGTTGCACTTTTATTTTATTCATTTAAATATGATTTTTAAACTATTGTCAATATCTATAAATTGTGTCATGATTATTAATACTTTAACTTACTTGCCACTTTTTAGAGAATCCTCAATAACGGAGACTACTATGACAATGGGAAGCGTGTGATAAATGGAGAAATAGAAACGTTTGCCAACAGATCTGGAAATGAGTTGGATCAGATTGATACTCGTTACAGAATCCACTCAGTAAGTCTTAAATAATCCCCCTCCACACTCAGTAAGTCTTAAATAATCCCCCTCCACACTAAGTAAGTCTTAAATAATCCCCCTCCACACTCAGTAAGTCTTAAATAATACCCCTCCACACTCAGTATGTCTTAATTAATCCCCCTCCACACTAAGTAAGTCTTAAATAATCCCCCTCCACACTCAGTAAGTCTTAAATAATCCCCCTCCAAACTCAGTAAGTCTTAAATAATCCCCCTCCACACTCAGTAAGTCTTAAATAATCCCCCTCCACACTCAGTAAGTCTTAAATAATCCCCCTCCACACTCAGTTAGTCTTAAATAATCCCCCTCCACACTCAGTAAGTCTTAAATAATCCCCCTACACACTCAGTAAGTCTTAAATAATCCCCCTCCACACTCAGTAAGTCTTAAATAATACCCCTCCACACTCAGTATGTCTTAATTAATCCCCATCCACACTCAGTAAGTCTTAAATAATCCCCCTCAACACTCAATAAGTCTTAAATAATCCCCCTCCACACTCAGTATGTAACTGATTATCAATAACTACTGATCTTATTTTATCAACCAACTGATCGAAGTAAATAATTCTCCGCAAAAGTTTAAAGATTATACCGCTGAAATAACTAGATTCACAACAAATATGCTTAAGCTGACTGGCATATTCTACTAGATTGATTCTAAAGCTAAAGGGAAGTACAAGTGCGGGATTAGCTGGAGAAACGGTGTTTCTATCAAATCAGACTCCGCCATCCTGGAAATTCGTGAAATCTCACAACCTCCGCACGTTGTTAATGTAGTTTTCAACGCTGACGCTAAATTAAACTGCAGTGCAGCAGCTGACAAAGCGGCCAACATCACATTCTACAAGTTGGGCGAGGGAAGTGATAACTCAACATTGGTTGATGGAACAACTCAAACAGACAACGCAGACCAAAACCCCGACATTGTGGTAACCGAGGGTGAGGTTATTCTATCTTCGGTTGATGATACCAGTCCGGGTTATTACTACTGTAATGTCACGTGGGGTAATAAGAGTCTGACGTCAGACCCAGTTTATCTGAATGTGTTTGAGACCTATGAAGATGGGAATGACACGTGGGGTGCCCAGGGTAACGTGGTTAGGTTAGTGATGATCTAGTTTTATTAGTTGTCTAAATTAATGCAAACCTTTTAGATATACTTGCTTTCGAGTTTTCTTCCGTTAGTACAGCTCAAACTTCCAAAATCTGTTTGTTGAAATGTAGTTGAAATACCTCCGTGTTTCACTTTAGATTCTGAATAGGTCTGATAGTTTAAAATCTAGATGCTTGAATCCGAACATTTAAAAAGGTTTAATTTTAAGTTCAAAATACAATTTAATCAGGCTTGAGTGTCAGTCTGACGCTGCATTGAGGACAGACGGAAACAAAACATCTTATCTGGACGAGAAAAATAAAGTTGTGTTCGCTGAAGCCAGTGTAAATTGGAAGTACAAAGGGCCCTCTGAAGCTAACTTCAAAGATATCGATGAAAATATTCAGTAAGTTATACTTATATACAATTTTCCATTGTTGTTAAGTTATTGCTGGAGGCAAGGATTATTCCCGAAACGCATGGCTAATAATAAACTATTTTTCATCGAGCTAAGTAGAAATATAATATTTTTGGATTTAAGCTGTCAGTTCCTAAAATCGTTTTTTTGTCATGACATTGGATATTATTTAAACTTTACTCGCAGGCATACCACAGAGAATTCCTGGATCGGATTTGACGGCTACAGAAGAAGTGAAATTATCATCGGTCCGATTAAACGGGAGTACAACGACCTCGAATTCGCGTGCTCTGTGGAGTATCAGGACGACGAAAAACACAATTTCTATGGAGGAACCACTATGTCCAAACCAACTAAGCTGAGGATTTCAAGTATTCAATCATTCACATCTTCTCAAAACGAAATTATTGTCGGTGAAACCTTCGAGCTCACTTGTACAGTGATCGGAAAAGAAGTACCAGACTTCCGTATAACGAACGACGGCAGATTCCTGGACGCATCCAGATACAATATCATCAGCAAATCAGTTGAAAGTCCGAATGAGTTGCTTCATCTTGCTAAGTTCAAAATTACAACAAAGGTAGCGACAGTGATCCAAGGAGGACAAGACTTTTATTGTTCGGTGAGAGCATACTTACAATTATTTAATCTTTATCGGCCAGTTGGTAGATCACCGACCGGCTATAAGCCGGCTACTAACCGGCTATAAGCCGGCTTATAGCCGGCTACAATTTTTATAGCCGGCTATAAGCTGGCTTATAGCCAGTTAGTAGCCGCTTACATTTGTTGTTGAGCGACGGCTATTAGCCGGTTATAAGCCTGCTATTAGCCGTTTTGGTATTAAAAGTGGTTATAAGCCGGCTAGGGAAATTGGTAGATCACCGACCGGCTATAAGCCGGTTATAAGCCGGCTATAAACCGGCTTATAGCCGGCTACAATTTTTATAGCCGGCTATAAGCCGGCTTATAGCCGGTTAGTAGCCGCTTACATTTGTTGTTGAGCGACGGTTATTAGCCGGTTATAAGCCTGCTATTAGCCGTTTTGGTATTAAAAGTGGTTATAAGCCGGCTATAAGCCGGTTATAAGATATTAACTCAACTACATCGTACTGAACGATAGTCAGGAGCCGGCTATAAGAAATTCAGTGAAAACGGCTATTAGCCGGTTATAAGCCGGCTTTTAGCCGTTTAGGTATCGAAAGTGGTTATAAGCCGGTTATAAGATATTAACTCAGTTCAGTACGACGAAGTTAAGTTAATATCTTATAGCCGGCTTATAGCCGGCTTATAACCACTTTCGATACCTAAACGGCTAATAGCCGGCTTATAACCGGCTAATAGCCGTTTTCGCTGAATTTCTTATAGCCGGCTCCTGACTATCGTTCAGTACGATGAAGTTGAGTTAATATCTTATAACCGGCTTATAGCCGGCTTATAACCACTTTCGATACCTAAACGGCTAATAGCCGGCTTATAACCGGCTAATAGCCGTTTTCACTGAATTTCTTATAGCCGATACCTAAACGGCTAATAGCCGGCTTATAACCGGCTAATAGCCGTCGCTCAACAACAAATGTAAGCGGCTACTAACCGGCTATAAGCCGGCTTATAGCCGGCTATAAAAATTGTAGCCGGCTATAAGCCGGTTTATAGCCGGCTTATAACCGGCTTATAGCCGGTCGGTGATCTACCAATTTCCCTCTTTATCAAACAATTAACAAATACAATTACAATACCCCAGTTCCTCCTAATTTATTTTGTATCTAATGTGGTTTCTGTCCCTTATAGATGACAATTAATGTAAGAATTAGAAATTAGAAATTGTAGTGAAATCCGTATTATAGGTTGTTCACAATAAGTGTAACTATAACAACCTAAATGAGAATAAGGTTCTTTTCCTAAGAACATAATAAGAAAAACCAACAATTATCATTCAACTTAGGTTGACTTTGGAACCAGTACCCCTGAGCTGAGAGAGAAGATAACTATCACCACTAACTACGATTGTAGGAAGGCTAAGATCAGTGTACTGGGGAGACGTGCGTACTGATTTGCTAACTTATTAACTGTTGATATAATAACTTATTAACTATTATTAAGTAATTTATACTGCAGTAATATTTACTATCAAGTAATTATTATTTACAATATGCGGAAGTCTCATTGATCTCATAACACCTAATCTAGCTGTTTTTTAATCTTTATGCCAAAATTTCTCATGAGCAAAGTATAACAACATATTTATTTGTTAGAACCTGACGGTCAGACGATAACCTACAAGGATGAAGAAGGAGACAGAAAAGCGACAGTGCAATGTCCTGCTGACACTGCTGACACTAAATACTCTGTATACGGTGAGTTTATTAATAATGTCCTGCTGATTAAACTTATTAAACATGTTTAGGAGTAGCCAAATTCTCGCCACATTAAGTTGTCCCCTGACAAATGCAGCTTCATTTTTAAATGATTAAAATCAATGTGCTACAGCCCAGACACAAGGGGAATTAACATTACAAATGAACTTTTTGTTATTGATTAACTGTTATTGAATAACTGCAACTTTACACTGTTGATGGAATTAAATAATGCTATGCTTCATGTGAAATCTTAAATAAAATTAAAAGCGCTCTCCTCTCCCAGAGAGCGCACAAGCGAAGAAGGAGTCAGAATGTAGAAAAGAGACAGGTTTCTACGATCCACCCTACCTTGGAACCTGTTTAGAGACCCATGCGTTCGAGAGTGGCAGATTTGAACAAGTCTGGAGTTTATCAAGTGCTGGAGGAACTGTAAGTTCAACTTTTATAAGTTTACGTTAGGTCGGTAACACGACTTTCGTCCGACAGTGAGCGTTGTCCGAAGCAAAAGAGTTGCTGTCGAACAGAAGTCGCCGAAACGGTTAGGTCAGCTTTGAGCTTACCTGTACTAATATTTATATAGTGCTCATCTTTCAAGATGACAACTCGTTAACTCTAAATCTTATCCCTCAGTATTGTACAGACAGTGTGCAAGGACAGTTTTCCAAAAAGGAGATGACAGAGGCTTTGACAACAGACAATAGTCTATGTGGACCCTACCCTATTGTACCATGCTTGCAAAATAGTAGTACGTAAAATAACAGTAGCATTATAATATAGTTTATCAGAATGCTTTATATTATGATAAGTTCTGCAGTTTCCAAGCTTGGATATCATAATGAAAATTATCTTAATCCATAAACTTTGTAGCCCTGAATTTCATTAACAACAACAGATCCTCTTGAAAATGCAAACATTATATTCCCTTAACAACTCAAACGTTACTTCTCAGAGTGCACGCTGGACGTGTCCAACACCGGCTGCAGATGGGACGACTCTACTAAGAAGCTGTACGTGTTCTACCAAGTGGACTTCAATGATCCCGTTTGGAAAATACAAGAGAGGAAGGACCTGACAAACCCACAATCCGGAACTAAAATTAAGTTCTGGGACTGTCCCGATACTTTGCTGAATCCTAAAAAGAGGACCATATCAAAACGGGGCAAGCTTTTCGAGAGAATGGTCGCTGACCAGGACTCCGACATGGTGATCGTATTGAATTTGGATGGTAAGAATAAAAGATAAAACTTAATAACCATCATAAAATTAATCATAAATGACACTCATAATATTATAAGCTTTTAAGTTATAGTTATAACAGTCACTAATTTTACATGTTGTTATATAATGTAAAATATGACTGATCTCGATTGCTTTGCATACAATATGTCTCTTAAAGTCTTAATGAATCTCTGCCACATACAACAAGTTTGGTAGAGTTTAACAGGTATTATTCCTTCGCAGATCAAGGAAGAAGCTACAGCACATTGGGGATTGGTATTGCTGGGTTTATTGTGGCAGCTGTTCTTGTTGGCGCATTCTTGTACAGGAGGTTATTAGTTGTTTTGAAATTTAATTTTGATTTATTATTCATAATATAATAGCGTCTGTGTATCATGTGCATGGGTATCCGGCATATTTATAATGTTTTCGCAAGATGAAACAGGTAGGAGTGCGGAGTTTTATTGTTAGCATCATAGATGATCAGTGAGTTTGACTGCTTTAAGGCCTAAGGGGTTATTCATATTGGCACTCACATATTACGTAATCAGCCGAGGGGGAGGGGTTTCCAAAAGTGTAATTTTGACACAATAGCTATGTGTAAAACTGATTACGGAAGGGGATCAGAGGGGGTTAAAAATGGTCCACAAATTGATTCCGTAATATGTTCGAACGACCCCTATACAATTAAATGAACGATAATGTTATAACATTACATTGTTATTTGGCCGTAATTGATCAAATTAACAAAATCCCACAGAAGGTACACGAAAGAAAACCCGAATATGGTTGTTGGAACGGAACAGTTCGAGATGACAAACAGATCAGTGGTGGTGACAAATCCTTACAGCTTGTGATTTAGTTGCAGCTACGATACTGGTCGGTAAGTCGCGCGACACCTGGTCGGTACGTCGCGCGACACATCCCGCAGTATGATCAATTTGATAAACTTAAAGAGAGACATGGTACAGGCTTTATTGCGTGAAAAATCTTGTTGCTAGTGGCAGTGTCTGTCAGCCTCTAAGTCATAATCTGTAGTATACCCAAATGATTTTATTAAGTCTCAAGACTTCGATGACAAAACGTTTTAATTTCAGGCACAATAAACTGTTCAATTCATACTTGAGTTTAAAATTCACATCCGTTTTATAACTTAAAATTCGAATTTAATTTGAGTTATAATTAAATTCATATATATATATATAGGGGGGCCAAAAGTCAATACCCATACGTTGGGATGATGATTAATCCCTAAACTGAAGCATATGCTGAAACCTAACGAAAAATTAAACAAACTTCCTTATATGGTCATATCACGTGATCGAAACAGTTTTCCGCCGATATCTCGCTAGGGGAGCATTTTAACCCTATGTCATGTGGGGTGATTCGGAATCAGCGTTCGAAAATACATCGAAGCAGGTAGATTTCAACTGTCAGGGGCCCTAAGCCCTTTTAGAAAAATCTCGAAGATCGACTGTAGAGTGATTTAGCACGCTCGTACTCAATGATTACCCAATTACGACACCGTAATTGGGCTCTCTGCACGATTCCCATGTAATAATGCGGATCTACTAGCCTCAACCTAATCACCAGATCACACGTAACACGTAATGAACATAATAACAGACTTGTTATGCTTCATATCTCGGTCATCTGAAAAGCTAAAACTCTCATTTTTTCAGGACAAACGTAATTTAAGTAATCTGACCAAACACCATTATATATATATAAATTTTAGCCGTGCTACACGTCACTTATTTTGTGCCTTGTGGTAAAAGTGTTGTTATCTTCAAAATTAATATTTTTACCTCCTGATTGTGAGTATTAATTGTTTCCACGTAAATTATTGCTTTGATTGATTTTAAAATTCTTGTTTACTTTATCAAGTGGACGTTATACCGGGTAAAAATGTAAAAATGTGGACTGTTATAATTAAAGCAATTTACAATTTAGCTTGAGGCTGAGTCATGGTCGCTGCAATCTAATTGTTAAAGGTGAAGTTAAAGGTGAAGTTAAAGCCAAAGGTGAAGTTAAAGCCAAAGGTGAAGTTAAAGGTGAAGTTAAAGGTGAAGTTAAAGGTAAAGTTAAAGGTGAAGTTAAAGGTGAAGTTGTCCAGCTTCTCAAGCACACTGTTCAGGTTGTGTGGGTCTTCTCTTTCAAAAGTAAATATTGAGGCCATTACAATGCCATAGTCGAAACCCATGGTGTCCCAACAAGCAGTCATTTTATTTTTGCATCCATTTAAAAACGCTCATTCTTTATATAATACATAAAGCTGTACATCAAACGGGATCAATACACATTTACACACAAGAATACATAAGTGGTAAGACTTTAATGCGAAATGCTGAGGTAAAAGATGTAATCACCATTATTAAGTTTGATCTTCTTTCAGTTTTGTAATTGTCATACTACTACTAATTGCTAGTTTTCAATTTTAATCATCAATAAGACACGGTCCATTATTATTATCGTTTTTATAATTTTTACACCGACGTGAAGTACAAAGTTTTAAATAGAAATATTCTTTTTAGAAATAAAGAAGTATCTTGAAAAATAGAAATCAGCCAAAAACCAAAAATAAAATCTCTCGATTGACTGGCACCGGGTTTAATTCAAATACCTTGTTATTATCCACGGGGACACTCGCATACAAAGGGTCGCTTTACTTTGCCAAACTCGTCGTCAAATTCGCCCCATTTGGAAATGCTCAAGCTGTTCTGGCCTCCTCCTTTACTTTCTCCGTTATCACCCCCTGCTTTTGTAATCCACGGGAAGCCTTCATACTCAACATCAGTGCCGTCTAACCATTTAAAGTGACCCTCCGATCCCTCACCCCATTTATCATTTCCGCCTATCCAAGCCCAATGTTCAGGGGCCCATCTTCCATCTAGAACGGAACAATTTTCTACCTGTTCTTTAGTTACCAGCAGTGCCGGGTTTACCTTTCCTCCTTTAAATGTTTTGTGTCCGAATATACCTTTGCAAGGTGCGAATGTGGAAGCACCCAAAAAGTATTCAAGCGCTTGCAGTAGTTCTTCTGTTTCTTCCGGAGATTTCACAGAAGCTAATGTCAAGCCTGCTGCTTCGCATGCTTTCTTGGCGTCATCCCACTTCATCTTCTCCGCAGAACAGATGAATCTGCCACGGTAATCACAGGCGTACGGGTGTTCCTCGAATGCATATGCATCGTCCCATCTTCCATCGTTGCTCATCCTCATTTGATTCTGCCGACACGTTGTTTCTTCACAGGTCGCACCAAGCTCCTCTCCTCCCACGTCACTTTTCTCGCCCTTCTTCAGTGGTCTTTGATCTGGTTGTCCTCTGTGCCAGTTGTGCCAATCTTCGGGATGAGAATCATCGTGCCAGGACCAATCCTCAGGCTTGTATGGAGCCCTATTCTTAATCCTTTTAATGTGTTTCGCATTAGTGTTCTTTGTCTTTCTCAACCCGGTCCATACCCAGCGCGAGGCTGAATATTTGTAAAGGTCTTGATCATCTTTTGGAAGTGCAATGTTCAAAAGCATCCTCAGGTAGTCGTTCTTTTCCTTATCGTTGACGGTCGCTAGATTACCCTCTTCTCGGCTTGTGGCTGCTAGGTTGAACGTCCTACATTTCTCTCCAGCGGTTTTGTAATCTGCCAACTCGGCAAAGAGGATAAGATCACAAGTAGGGAAAGTGTGGTTAGCCAGAGTCTTCACCAGGCGTTTTATCCCCTTAACTCTCTTTCTCAACGTCAGTTCTTGATCTTCTGCGGCTGCTGCAGCAACACATCCTGCTACCACACAAATGAAAACCAGCGAGGCTTTCATCGTCGTGTTCTTCAAGTTCAACGAATCCTTTGGTAGTGGTGACGATTGTAAAAAGCTAATGATTGACTGCGAGTTGACCAGGGCTATTTAAGGGTCGGTGACCTTCCGCATGCAGTAATGTCGCGCTAGTCAGAATAATGGATGTTTCGAGTTTGAGGAACTTATCGGGCAACGAGAACCAACAAGAACCACTCGTTGTTTTACATTTGTCACGAGGGGTGTAGCTGTAACAGGGTGTCACACCCTCGGGTTACCCAATTGTTGTATCATGTGACATTGGAACATGTGGCATTGGTACAGCGACACTAAAATTGACAAAGTTAATATAGTTGAGTTACCGTCAACCTTGATAATTTGGTAAAATAGAAAGGGGTAGTAGGCGCATGGGAGTATAAACCCTTATTGTTTCAGGGTGAGTGATGAAACAATGATATTAATAATTGATGTAGCTGTGTCAATAATTATGATATATTATAATGTTTCTTAACCTATAATACGATGTTTCACCCTGCGCAGTACTAATATTTATTTAATATTTTGTATTGTGTCGACTCTCCTTATCCATTATTATCATTATTCAATTCTAAAGGTATTAGTGCATTATAGTGACCATTATCTTACATTGTATGGGAAATGGTCTTTATTATTTAAAGTACAGTGGTGACCTTATTCACTTTTGAAAATTGATAATAATTAGGCTTCAGCTTAGAGCTGTGATTACAAGCACACTTCATCACACAATACCTACATAATTAGAGCTGTGATTACAAGCACACTTCATCGCACAATACCTACATAATTAGAGCTGTGACTACAAGCACACTTCATCGCACAATACCTACATAATTAGAGCTGTGATTACAAGCACACTTCATCGCACAATACCTACATAATTAGAGCTGTGACTACAAGCACACTTCATCACACAATACCTACATAATTAGAGCTGTGACTACAAGCACACTTCATCGCACAATACCTACATAATTAGAGCTGTGATTACAAGCACACTTCATCGCACAATACCTACATAATTAGAGCTGTGACTACAAGCACACTTCATCACACAATACCTACATAATTAGAGCTGTGATTACAAGCACACTTCATCGCACAATACCTACATAATTAGAGCTGTGATTACAAGCACACTTCATCGCACAATACCTACATAATTAGAGCTGTGATTACAAGCACACTTCATCACACAATACCTACATAATTAGAGCTGTGACTACAAGCACACTTCATCACACAATACCTACATAATTAGAGCTGTGACTACAAGCACACTTCATCGCACAATACCTTCATAATTAGAGCTGTGATTACAAGCACACTTCATCACACAATACCTACATAATTAGAGCTGTGATTACAAGCACACTTCATCGCACAATACCTTCATAATTAGAGCTGTGATTACAAGCACACTTCATCGCACAATACCTACATAATTAGAGCTGTGATTACAAGCACACTTCATCGCACAATACCTACATAATTAGAGCTGTGATTACAAGCACACTTCATCGCACAATACCTACATAATTAGAGCTGTGATTACAAGCACACTTCATCGCACAATACCTACATAATTAGAGCTGTGATTACAAGCACACTTCATCGCACAATACCTACATAATTAGAGCTGTGATTACAAGCACACTTCATCACACAATACCTACATAATTAGAGCTGTGATTACAAGCACACTTCATCACACAATACCTACATAATTAGAGCTGTGACTACAAGCACACTTCATCGCACAATACCTACATAATTAGAGCTGTGATTACAAGCACACTTCATCGCACAATACCTACATAATTAGAGCTGTGATTACAAGCACACTTCATCGCACAATACCTACATAATTAGAGCTGTGATTACAAGCACACTTCATCGCACAATACCTACATAATTAGAGCTGTGACTACAAGCACACTTCATCGCACAATACCTACATAATTAGAGCTGTGACTACAAGCACACTTCATCGCACAATACCTACATAATTAGAGCTGTGACTACAAGCACACTTCATCGCACAATACCTACATAATTAGAGCTGTGACTACAAGCACACTTCATCGCACAATACCTACATAATTAGAGCTGTGATTACAAGCACACTTCATCGCACAATACCTACATAATTAGAGCTGTTTTTACGAGTATCACCCGTTATTCGTTAACTGACTGCTGCTAACTGCTGCTGTCGCGCGCGCGCCATTTGCAGCAGTTAGCAGCACTCAGTTAGCAGCAGTCTCTTTGCACTTTAGCCCTCCTGTGAAAGTAGTCTTCTCTGACAAGAAATAGTGATTGTCCTAGTAACTCCCATAATCATCGTCACGTGTAAAGATAATTTTTGATCACCTCCGAACTGCAATAAATAATATTGGTCCGAAGACAGAATATTTAGTATTTTCCGAATATTGCAATATTAATATTAACAATATTAACGTCAATAAGAGAAATAAAAGAGTCGTATTGCGTTAAAACGATAAATGAAAGTCAACACATTTATTACAAGAATAACCTAGCTACACATTTAAGTAGGCACAACCCATATTCCTAATATATCTCAAATTTTACTGCTGTACAAAACTTAAAATCAGCCCTCAATTGTGAATCCAAAAAATATTCCATAATTATTGTCTATATAATAACAGTATTACAACAAGTAAAAACGTTAATTGAACCGTTAAAAAGGTTAGATTCTCAATTTCATTCCTCAAATCAAAACAACCTAGTTTAAAATCAACATTAAGAAAACAAATGAAATCATATGGGAATTATAAACTACTGAGGACATTATAAGGACACCAAACCACTTAAAGACAAAAACCCAAAACTATCACTACTTGACTTTAAGGAAATTAGAGGGCACAAAACCCTGCCGACGCCCAGCCTTAACGAACCACCAGTCCTTGTCTGAAGAGTCTACCAGAATAACAATCTGACGGACACTGAGGGAGAGTTCAGCTGGACTCCGAGCTCTGTAGTTGTACTGAGCCTGGGAAAGGAGGGGAGATTAAGATATATTGTGGAGGGCGCAGAAGTACCACTGTTTATGTATTTGACTCGTGATTATTTTATCTGTGTTAATTGGATTGGAATAAAAATGGGACATTCCATAGATTTGGAAGATGAACCGTATTTATTTCTGATATCGGTTTCGACCGATCGAAGAACAAATATGGTATTTAAATCTAGTGTTTGAAATAAAGCAATATTCGAACAAATATAACACCAAATTATTATACAAAATCGTATTTTGTGTTTATTATATTATAAGCCAATTAAATTTGACTACTAGTAAAATTTTTCCCGACAAACAAAGAAATTTTGATGACTACATTTACAACATTGACAAAATATTATGTACCTCTTGATCGGTTTGTTACACCTGTATTTTAAAAAAATGTTTAGTTTTGAAGTTTGTCATAATCATTAATCACTGGGGGGGGGGGGGGGGTTCCAAATAATTACGCTATTGTAATTTTAACACTGTGTAATGTTCACTAAAACTGATTACGGAGGAGCTGGGGGAGTTAAAATTGGCCAAAAAGTGATTACGTAATACTATACGTAATGATTACGTAATACGCTGTTTTATTTAAGCTGACTAGGTCACGTTACCTCGTAGTTAGTAGGTGTTTCTTTTTTCCGGACAGCAGACATTTCCATGGGACACTCATCAAACATAGGGCTGGATTTCCTGGAATTAAAATAGCTGAAGCGATCCAAATTTATAGGTTAAAATATCTTAGTCTTAGAGCTGTAGCTTCAAATAACGACACCGAGCATCTTCGATTAAGGGGGGGGGCCAATGGATATTTTTTTGTGAAACTTGATTTCGAGATAGTAGTTGACCAACAAACAAAGACCAGTGACCGAACTTTTGAGGGGGTCCCGGACCCCAACCGCCAAACGGTGCGCGCAGGGCAGCCACGCCCATATTTGGTCCAAATTAGGCCCAATTTAGCCAAATACCCTGAACATGCCCAAAACCAAGGTTTATGGTGCTCTACTTGTAGCTAGTGGTCTCCTGAACTCGTATATGAAATTTCATCAAGATTGGACGAAAAATGACTGAGTTATGAGCCAAAAACCATATGCCCATATTTGGGCATACGCACCAAATTTGGTAGATTTCGGCCCATAAATTGGCCAAATATCAATATTTTTGAATGAAACTTACTTTATATGAAAGGTAAGCCTAAACTACATATTATCTGTAAGTTATAGCTTTATATCTGTTTAAATGTGGATACTAAGGCGAAAAAACCACAAAAAATGAACTAAATTGCCCATATCTCGGTTCGCGATATTTGCGGAATTGATCTCATTAAAATTGTAACAACTCAATCAGTTTTCAAAATTTTTGCATGAAATTTTCGGAATCGACTCGAAATTGCATTTCCACCTTATTTTAAATACGGATTTTTGATTTAGGCCTCCAAAAAAATTTGGCGGCCAAATTCCAAAATAATCTCACAAAAATTCAGAATTTGGCCGCCAAATTTTTTTGGAGGCCTAAATCAAAAATCCGTATTTAAAATAAGGTGGAAATGCGATTTCGAGTCGATTCCGAAAATTTCATGCAAAAATTTTGAAAACTGATTGAGTTGTTACAATTTTAATGAGATCAATTCCGCAAATATCGCGAACCGAGATATGGGCAATTTAGTTCATTTTTTGTGGTTTTTTCGCCTTAGTATCCACATTTAAACAGATATAAAGCTACAACTTACAGATAATATGTAGTTTAGGCTTACCTTTCATATAAAGTAAGTTTCATTCAAAAATATTGATATTTGACCAATTTATGGGACGAAATCTACCAAATTTGGTGCGTATGCCCAAATATGGGCATATGGTTTTTGGCTCATAACTCAGTCATTTTTTGTCCAATCTTGATGAAATTTCATATACGAGTTCAGGAGACCACTAGCTACAAGTAGAGCACCATAAACCTTGGTTTTGGGCATGTTCAGGGTATTTGGCTAAATTGGGCCTAATTTGGACCAAATATGGGCGTGGCTGCCATGCGCGCACCGTTTGGCGGTTGGGGTCCGGGACCCCCTCAAAAGTTCGGTCACTGGTCTTAGTTTGTTGGTCAATTGCTATCTCGAAATCAAGTTTCACAAAAAAATACCCATTGGCCCCCCCCCTTAATTGACACCCACAATCCACATTCAAATGCATAAAAATACACAGAAACATACTTTTCCTTGTTTTTAGACGGCTGTTTAGGAACTGGAGAGTTGGGAACAACAGGGCCACTTTTAAGCTGAGCTCCGGACTGCAACGCTGGGCCTGTCTTGGTTGGTGTCGCAGAATCGGGCACTTTGCCAGACTTGCGGGTAATACCAGAGAGAGGCATACTAATGGAAGCTGATCTGACAGCATAGTCAGTCAGGGAGGGTCTGTGAGGGGTTGAGGAGACAGAGCTAGATCGGGAGGAAACTTTAGAAGTTGGAGCGATGGTGCATGGTTCAGCAATGTGATTCTTTGTAGGCTGAGAATTTTCTTTGGGTTGCATAGAGTCAATCCGAACATTGGTTTGAATAACAGTTTCAGCTGACATAGTTTCTGTTGGCTGGGGTGCAATGTCTGGTGCAGCCTCAGGTGCTACTTCAGGTGCAGCTTCGGGTGCTACTTCAGGTGCAGCTTCAGGTGCAGCTTCAGGTGCAGCATCAGGTGCTACTGCAGGTGCAGCCTCAGGTGCAGCATCAGGTGCTACTTCAGGTGCAGCTTCGGGTACAGCCTCATGTGCAGCTTCGGGTGCAATGATTTCATCTAGAAGAACTGGGAATGATTCGATCGGAGAAGAGGAAACTTCTACAGGAGGCGTAATTACGTCACGAGGAGGTGTCATGGCGTCATGAGGAGGCTCGTCAGGAGGAGGTGGTAAACTCTCGTACTCTGACGAAGTTTCAGAGTCAATAACTTCATAATACGGCTCAGGAGACAGAGACTCAGACTTCAAAGGTATCGGTACTGGAATCAGGAGAGGTCTGTTGTTTGAAACAGGCTCCGGACTGATTGTCTGATCAAGAGACTGATAAATGTGATCTGAAAAGCTTTGGTTCCAACCACCCTGCTCCACAGCAGAAGAAGGACTAGGCCCACCCAGGAGATCAACATCATCTAAATTGGAAGAAAGATCTAGAATATCACGATCCTGAATAGTATCTAGAATATCACGATCCTGAATACTGTCTCTTGGTTCTTCCTCTATGACTTCAGTTTGATGTTCCGGTAATGTGTTCAACATTCCGCCGCCAGAGGAATCATTAGTATCTGTTAAGTTCGATATATGGTCAAGATTTGGTCCCTTGTGAATGAACACAGGTGCTGTGTTTCTTCGTGACATGGGTGGGGGTGGGGCGTGACGCTTTGGTTGAGTTCTAGTAGTTTTGTTATCGGAGATTGGCCGAACCACCAAATCAAGACGGGCTGGTGGAAGTGGTGCAAGAGAAGCTGTAGTTTTAGCAACTGTCGTATAAGAAGGTATCTGGGGTGACGGTTGTGGCTCTGGGTCTAAAACAGGAGGTGTTACTTGTGCAGGTTCTCGGTGGAGTGGTAGTGAGACTTCAGGTACACGTTTAGGGGGCGGCGGTGCAGGCCGTGAATATGGTTCTGCTACAGGTGGTGTGATTTGTACAGGTTCTTCAGGAGCTGGAAGTGAGACAGTAGATAGGACAGGCTCTCTGAAAGTTGTGAGTGAAACTTCGGTTAGTGCTCGTTTTGGGGCCGGCGGTGCACGTCTCTTGATAGATTTGCCCCTGGAAATACATCAATTAGAACGTCCCAGCGAGCGAGCGACGTTATTGAATTGTTGCATACCTACAATAATGATCAAGTAGACTGTAAATTAGATACTTACTTGTCTTGATTCGCTTTAGAGGGAGGTAACGGTGCCGGTTTATTCTTTAACGTTCCAGATAAAGTCAGATAAGACTTTGGCACGTATCCTTTCACTTCCCCTGAAATTCCCGTTCAGAATTCCTGGTTCTCTTTTTGTACACACACATTTTCACTCTACATTCTACGCAGAGCGTAGACTATTAAATGGTCATGTCACGTGTTGTGACGTCATGTCACGTGACATGGCAGAAATGTTAATTCCTCGAAAGTTAATCTTCTTCCGTTGAACATCACGAATAGTTTTAACGTTGTTACGATGCGCGCGCTAATTTTGAGCGCTATCTCTACGCTAAAACTGCATGCTACCAATGAAGTTATGGTTTGGCGTTGGCGCGTCACGTCAAGTAGGAGAATTTTCCGAGTAAGGAACGTAGGTCCGGTGTAAAAACTAGATAATGTGTACTTATACTAGGTAAGGATACAAATGATATTATTATATCTACTTACCACATTTAACGTATGCCCAAGTGTCGCTTATCGAACAATCTGACAGCAATGTTACTGTGTAATCAGTCTTTACGTTCAGCATGCTGTCGGAGGTTGCCACGAAATCGTACAGAATACGACAGTTTGTACCAGTTTGAACATTTTCTATCATTCCAGGCTTTTCAAATACATCCTCAGCAGCGTCAGCTTCGTTTTCATCCGAAGAAAGTCCTGTTATATCTGGAAATCCAACGAGATCATTAAAGAAGACTGCTCCAACTATTCAGAATCAAATGTACATATTATCATAATTGACAGTGAATTTAATTGCGGTAATATGTCAAAAACTGAATAAAATAGTGACTATATAAAAGCTTTACCGTCAGGTTGGTTCTCCAGCCACTTGCCCACATCATATGAAGCTTGTTGGTCCTCTTCACACGTTTCAGCCTCATAGAACTTGCTGGTAGTTGGCTTTACCGTGCTACCTGGACCAACATTGTAGTAATTAAATCAGATGAAATACCAGTTGTAAGTGATGTCATAACTGTAAGAGTCTGTAGTATTATCTCAGTGCAGTTGTTGTCACGACTCAAGACAAATTATAATTTATGAGAATTCGTTCAATTCAACGACTAATTCATGTCGAATATGTTGGAACTGTGCATATACAATAATACATGATACTTATACAATTTACATAATGAATACAATATACATGATACAGAACAGAGTTAAAAGAAGCTCGTTTATTTTACCTAGCACAATAGCCTGTGTGACTTCTTTATCAAAGGAGGAGATAGTGAGTAAGGTCGCACAGCAGGTTTTCATTCTATCCATGTGGTAAAGATGTATAGAGTCGGGGGGCTCCTCCAACTCCAGCGACATTTTATCCTGAGGGGTATGTCACGTGATATTAGGTTTACTTTGAGCTAGAGGTGTTAATTGTTAAATCATTGCTAGATAATTTCTGTTGGGTATAATTTTAATTTGTAAGGAATTCATGAGTTAAAATATAAGGAACTATAGAAAATGCTGTAGAAATTAAGCGAGTAAGTAAGTTTAATGGTTACGATAATGCTTAAATTGAATAGTTTGAACAGTAAAGATTGTTGTGTACACGGTACAAGATTGAATCAGTTTTTAATCGAGATTTAAGAACGACACAAATGGCACCTACATAACCCGCAATGGTATTTTTCTGAAACAAAACATAAAAGTTGGTTAAGTATCCCCTATTTTGAACATAAAACAAAAAATTTCAGCATGAATATAAAATAGCGTCATGTTATGATAAGTAAAATTTGTAAGTATGTTTAATGTAAGTGGTAAGTAATTGTAAGTATGTTTAATGTAAGTGGTAAGTAATTGTAAGTGATTGTAAGTAGTGATGGTACTGACCAGGGCTCTAATGTAAGTGGTAAGTAATTGTAAGTGATTGTAAGTAGTGATAGTACTGACCAGGGCTCTAATGTAAGTGGTAAGTTATTGTAAGTGATTGTAAGTAGTGATAGTACTGACCAGGGCTCTAATGTAAGTGGTAAGTAATTGTGAGTGATTGTAAGTAGTGATGGTACTGACCAGGGCTCTTCGGAACTCATCGTGACAGGCGTGTGAATACTGACAGAACAAGGCTAGGACTGAGTATGCTGACTTCTTAACCACTTCAGCTCCTGACAAAATGTAACATTAGAAGTACTCAACAACAGGATATACTCGTATACACATTATATAATATTATATACGTGGGTTAGATATATAATACATCTAACTTATATAATACATCTAACTTATAATTCGAAAGATTATTTTTGTCTGTATGTTTGTGCAAATTGAACGAAAGATAGGTGCATAGTAACCATGGTAGCGAGGGTTGTTACACACACGGGCTTTCTAGTCTAACTTATAATTAGACTAGAAAGAGAGAGACTTAGAGAGAGAGAGAGAGAGAGAGAGAGAGAGAGAGAGAGAGAGAGAGATACTTAGAGAGAGAGAGAGACTTAGAGAGAGAGAGAGAGAGAGAGAGAGAGAGAGAGAGAGAGAGAGAGAGAGAGAGAGAGAGAGAGAGAGAGAGAGAGAGAGAGAGAGAGAGAGAGAGAGAGAGAGAGAGAGAGAGAGAGAGAGAGAGAGAGAGAGAGAGAGAGAGAGAGAGAGAGAGAAAGAGAGATAGAGAGAGAGAGAGAGAGAGAGGGAGAGAGAGAGAGAGAGAGAAAGGGGGGGGGGGGTGCTTGAGTAACAAATTTTGATAATCTAGATAGTAAAGATTTTGAATAAAATTTCAAGAAATTTTGTGAATATGTCAGCAGAAAATGATGAGAATGTCAGGCGTGGAATCAGGTCATCATCCTCCTATCATATATCACGTGACATTGATATGGAAATGGGCCAGAAGTGCATCCTATGCAAATTGAACGAAAAATAGATGCATTTTGTGAATATGTCAGCAGAAAATGATGAGAATGTCAGGCGTGGAATCAGGTCATCATCCTCCTATCATATATCACGTGACATTGATATGGAAATGGGCCAGAAGTGCATCCTATGCAAATTGAACGAAAAATAGATGCATAGTAACCATGGTAACGAGGGTTGTTACACACACGTACACGTGCAAAGATTCGCCAGTGACATTTTGATCGGTTTTGTGGTAATTACGTTGTGTTCAGTGCACAGTGTGAGCTACATTTTAATCGGCCGTATCTTCGGTTGTGGCGGATATTTTTTGATGCGACGAAAATTGACTACCATAGAATACTATTAGCTTTCTCCCTGTGACCACAGGCTTTCTAGTCTAACTTATAGTATGTTTGTCTGTTTGACCGCCAACGTGGAATTAGGGTAAGGGGAGAGGGAGAGGGAGAGGGAGAGGACAGGGAGAGAAGTTTGGGTAAAAGGAACCCAACTTTCCTTGGTGAGTAGATAAATCTCAACACTACAGGGTCACATGATCAAGGGGCGGCCAAGATAGTTGATGACGCTGCTACAACGCGCTAAAGCAAAAGGAAGTAAATAACTTATATAAGGCTGGTCAGACTCAATATAACTCATATTTCGAGATCCGTCGTTGTTTTGTGGGTTTACATTTTACAAGTTTTCCAGGCATCTCATATTTTTCAAAATTTACATTTAGCCGTGACTATCAATCTACATTGTAAAAATGTGGAAAATGAACTTGAATGGATGTTCAATTTTCTATTTTTCAAATAACTGGTAATATAAATAATAATTATATTATAATTTTACAATATTATAAAATAATAAGTTGTTTGTCAAACGTTGTATCTTTCCAGTAACTAGCTTAGTTAGCATGTAAAAATGATTTTAGATAACGTTTAATCGTACGGTCTACACTCTTCCAGTTAGGCCCGTTACATTTAACGATTAAATGATTTAACCCCTTTAATCCACCGTTCCCAAAGTATCCCGTGATTAATGATTTTATCTTTTATATATTATATCTATATATAATAATCATATTTTAAACTTGACGAAATCTCCCGACCAAAAACCAACCCTCTGGTGTGGCCAATTTCAGCTCGCAAAAGGAGTTTAAACCTCGCCATTTTTAGAAGGATTGTAAAAAAAGGATAGGAATAGGATACAGCATTCTTAGCAACATCAAGAGATTGCACGTGCGCGAGCAAGAAAATATTAGCTTGAATTAATTATGATACGTCACGAGTCATGACTCTAGCTTACATTTAGGCTCACGCTATGACTATTCATAACTTTGGTTGTGATCGATATTTTTTGATGCGGTAAAAAGTATCGTTTAGGGAATCCAAATACTATATCAACGTTGTCGTCGTTGCCAAATAAAAGCCATACTTTCTACAGTATAACAGAGCCTAGACGATATAAAGAAATTAAAACATATCAGGGCATTCACTGTTTTACTGATGGAGTTCAAGCTCTTTCTTGTCGTCATAACAATTTCATCGTGTTTCTCACTTAAACGATGTATAAGGAGGCAAAGTAGATTTGATGAGGTGTGGCCTGAATGTCAGGGCCATCGTACATCACGTAGACAACCCGACTGGAGGTTCCAGTCTATAAGAGAGTTGCTGCAGACAGCAGTGTAGCTTGCTGTTGGAGGATTATCAGGGCAGTATTCACAGATATTTATATTCAATCGATAGTGTTCACAGATTTTGGTAGTAGGTTTTCCAAATTTTAGTAAATTTTTCAAATTTTAGTAAATTTTCGAGAGCATAGCCATAAAAATGAAATTATTTCAATAAATAAAGATCTGCCGACCCTGAAACACTGACTCGCCCCACATAATATCACTATTGCGGTAATTTTACACAACTGAGTGTCTTTTTTTTACGGTAATTACGAGTTTTTGAAGTGCCGACATAACTCCTTAGGCGCCTGGAGAAAATTTGTTCTCGATTTCTTTCCCCATCAGATCCAGATTTAAAACTCTTTGGAGTGGTTCCTGATGGACAACAAATTCCACATGTCGCAAATTTTTCCCAGACATTATTATTATTATGCATAATTCCCTATAAATATCAACTCTATCACTCACCCTCGTGTATGAGAACAGGTAACATTATGTATAATTCCCTATAAATATCAACTCTATCACTCACCCTCGTGTATGAGAATAGGTAACATTATGTATAATTCCCTATAAATATCAACTCTATCACTCACCCTAGTGTATGAGAATAGGTAACATTATGTTTAATTCCCTATAAATATCAACTCTATCACTCACCCTCGTGTATGAGAATAGGTAACATAATGTATAATTCCCTATAAATACCAACTCTATCACTCACCCTTGTGTATGAGAATAGGTAACATTATGTATAATTCCCTATAAATATCAACTCTATCACTCACCCTCGTGTATGAGAATAGGTAACATAATGTATAATTCCCTATAAATACAACTCTATCACTCACCCTAGTGTATGAGAATAGGTAACATTATGTATAATTCCCTATAAATATCAACTCTATCACTCACCCTCGTGTATGAGAATAGGTAACATTATGTATAATTCCCTATAAATATCAACTCTATCACTCACCCTAGTGTATGAGAATAGGTAACATTATGTATAATTCCCTATAAATATCAACTCTATCACTCACCCTAGTGTATGAGAATAGGTAACATTATGTATAATTCCCTATAAATATCAACTCTATCACTCACCCTCGTGTATGAGAATAGGTAACATTATGTATAATTCCCTATAAATATCAACTCTATCACTCACCCTCGTGTATGAGAATAGGTAACATTATGTATAATTCCCTATAAATATCAACTCTATCACTCACCCTCGTGTATGAGAATAGGTAACATTATGTATAATTCCCTATAAATATCAACTCTATCACTCACCCTAGTGTATGAGAATAGGTAACATTATGTATAATTCCCTATAAATATCAACTCTATCACTCACCCTAGTGTATGAGAATAGGTAACATTATGTATAATTCCCTATAAATATCAACTCTATCACTCACCCTAGTGTATGAGAATAGGTAACATTATGTATAATTCCCTATAAATATCAACTCTATCACTCACCCTCGTGTATGAGAATAGGTAACATTATGTATAATTCCCTATAAATATCAACTCTATCACTCACCCTCGTGTATGAGAATAGGTAACATTATGTATAATTCCCTATAAATATCAACTCTATCACTCACCCTCGTGTATGAGAATAGGTAACATTATGTATAATTCCCTATAAATATCAACTCTATCACTCACCCTCGTGTATGAGAATAGGTAACATTATGTATAATTCCCTATAAATATGAACTCTATCACTCACCCTAGTGTATGAGAATAGGTAACATTATGTATAATTCCCTATAAATACCAACTCTATCACTCACCCTCGTGTATGAGAATAGGTAACATAATGTATAATTCCCTATAAATATCAACTCTATCACTCACCCTCGTGTATGAGAATAGGTAACATTATGTATAATTCCCTATAAATATCAACTCTATCACTCACCCCTCGTGTATGAGAATAGGTAACATTATGTATAATTCCCTATAAATATCAACTCTATCACTCACCCCTCGTGTATGAGAATAGGTAACATTATGTATAATTCCCTATAAATATCAACTCTATCACTCACCCCTCGTGTATGAGAATAGGTAACATTATGTATAATTCCCTATAAATATCAACTCTATCACTCACCCTCGTGTATGAGAATAGGTAACATTATGTATAATTCCCTATAAATATCAACTCTATCACTCACCCTCGTGTATGAGAATAGGTAACATTATGTATAATTCCCTATAAATATCAACTCTATCACTCACCCTCGTGTATGAGAATAGGTAACATTATGTATAATTCCCTATAAATATCAACTCTATCACTCACCCTCGTGTATGAGAATAGGTAACATTATGTATAATTCCCTATAAATATCAACTCTATCACTCACCCTCGTGTATGAGAATAGGTAACATTATGTATAATTCCCTATAAATATCAACTCTATCACTCACCCTCGTGTATGAGAATAGGTAACATTATGTATAATTCCCTATAAATATCAACTCTATCACTCACCCTCGTGTATGAGAATAGGTAACATTATGTATAATTCCCTATAAATATCAACTCTATCACTCACCCTCGTGTATGAGAATAGGTAAGACATTATGTATAATTCCCTATAAATATCAACTCTATCACTCATCGTCTTGTATGAGAATAGGTAACATAATGTATAATTCCCTATAAATATCAACTCTATCACTCACCCTCGTGTATGAGAATAGGTAAGACATTATGTATAATTCCCTATAAATATCAACTCTATCACTCACCCTAGTGTATGAGAATAGGTAACATTATGTATAATTCCCTATAAATATCAACTCTATCACTCACCCTCGTGTATGAGAATAGGTAACATTATGTATAATTCCCTATAAATATCAACTCTATCACTCACCCTAGTGTATGAGAATAGGTAACATTATGTATAATTCCCTATAAATATCAACTCTATCACTCACCCTCGTGTATGAGAATAGGTAAGTCGTCCAGGAGTTGTTTGTTAAGAGCTTCAAACTCACCACGAGCTATTTTAAAATTCTCAGTTGCCTGAATTGACAATAGAGTTATAAGGTACATATTATATGAAGAACATTTAATAAACAATTTAAATAATGAGACCATATAATATTATGTAGATATTCAAATTCTCATTGGAACCAATGTATAATTGTCCAAAAAAAATGCGGTGTGATTACTGACTCGGCAAGTAATTAGTGTAATTCTCTAAACTTCTCAACAATCATGAATGCCTTAATTCAAATCTAAAGTAAATTTGATATTTAAATCAATCTGAAATTAAATATCTGCGGCAGGGACAAAAGGAAATCGCGGCATGTACGGAATCGCGATTTTTCCCATTATTTGCAACAAATTTTATGTATAGTTTAATGTTAAAATTCGCGGTATAGCGAGTTTTTGCCGAAATAATCGCGAAATCCTTTTGTCCCTAATCTGCGGGTACTTACAAGTGAACCTTCAGCACACAGGTTGTCATAATCCAGGATCTTACTGTTCCTTTTGTCAATAAAGTATTGTGGAGCTGTGAACACTGTTATAAGATCAGATAAAGTTCCCAGGGGTCCTCCTTCGAGATCTTTTATCTGGAATTTAAGGAATTTTATTGGAATGTCATGTAGTTTTTTGATGTGGAATGTGCTGGAAACATTATAATACGATTTACAACTTTCTACCATATCTTATGACATCATAAAGTTCATCTTTACTACCGGTGATAACATGAAATTGTACGATACATGTCTTCATTAGATTATTAAAAGTTAACTACTCATTGAAGTGATACCTAATCTAAGATAAGATTCTTGTAAGGTACGTTATACTGTAGTCTGTAGTCTTCACAATGTACGTGTATTATAACATTAAAGTTGTATATTATAACATTAAAGAACACACTTTTAATGTACAGTATCGCATGTAGTAATTGTAAAGAAGTAGACAAAGAACAATTCACACACTCTTCTGCAATCTTTAATAACACACGATAAAAGTTTTCTGCTTGTCACTATCTACATTCTACATTATATTGTATAATATTGTCTACATTGTATACAGTACTATAAATATTAAGTTGACGTTCAATTAATGGGCTATTAATGATTAAGAGTGTACCTTCTAATCAGCCCATAACTCATAACTGGTCATGTGTAACGATATAATTTACCGTTCAACAAATTAACAAATTAACAAATTAGCTTAATAAACTACTCACAGAACACAAGCACTATCTAATAGACTTACGAATCTGGGAGTGAAGTTCTGGGCTATTTTTAGAGCAGCACCGTGGTACAAAAACACGTTCTTTTGGGTTTCCAGATTGTCGTAGAAATTGTGTATGTTGGCACACAGATCGTCCATTTCAGCTTGTACTTTCTGAAATGTGGTCCTGCTTATTGCCTGCAAGTAATCGGTTTTATTTCGTCCTTTTTGATTTTTTGTGGGAAGTTAATAATCAGTAACATCAGAAGCACAAAACTGTCATTAACACTCGCTGATGCCAGATCAATATCTCGTTGGAACTGGACACCAGTAAATTACTAAAATGTAATATCCGTACTGTTGTATTATTAAGTAATACATTAAGGTCGTGTTATAAGGGAGAACTGCTATCATGATAATGTGAAATTCGACACTACAAAGTATAGGGAGAAATTGTATAGGGTGCTAGAAAGTGTATTACACATAACTAGAAAGCTCGTGGTCACAGGGAGGAAGCTAATGACTTATTCTTTGGTAATCAGTTTTTATCGCATCAAAAAATATCCAAAAGATAATTCTTTGAATTATAATAATGATATGTGTGGTATTATACAAAATATTTGTGGTATTATACATAATATGTGTGGTATTATACATAATATTATATGTGTGGTATTATACATAATATGTGTGGGTTCTACCTTCAGTAAGTCAGTAAAGTTGGTAGCTTCCCGTATCAGTGTTTTTATGATCAAAACCAAAGATGCAAACTTCTCTGACAGCTCCCCAAATGTGCTATCTTCAACCACCTAAAATAGTATAATTATTGTAACTTTAAACTTTTCGCAATTTTAAATGTGTTATGTAGAATACAGGGAGTTTTAAAGATATATTGCAACTTAAAAGTATTGTTCATGTTGTGTCATGATCGCCGGAAGCGCAAATCTAGATTTAGATGACAAGTATGCTGCACTGTTGTTATGTTACAGCAAAGTCCAGAAATAAACAATAAAAAACTTACAATCAAATTTTTTTATTAAAAATAAACTGTAGATAATGGGAAACACAGTTTGGTACGAACCCAAAAAAAGAACTTATAAAATTAGATTATTATGCTGTCAGGTGTCCATGTGAAAAAGGAAGAATTAAAAATAACTTATCAACCATAGTCCGTACCTGAAGCAGCTTCATGTTTTACCTGTCATGTTCAGGGCCAATTTCAATGAAAAATCCCTCAGTTAATTATACGTTAATAACAGTAATCACCACTAAACTATGCAATTATATGATCGTCTAATTAACTAATTAACTAATTAACTGATTAACTAATTAACTAATTAACTAATTATAAATTACTCACAGAAGATGTGATGTTGAGAGAGTGAGTGAGAGTAGTAGTCAGTCTCTTACTCTTCTTCTTCAGACTGTGAAGTGTTAGTTTTGGGAGAAGAGAGCTCTCCGTTACCTCCTCGTTATACCGCTTTACTGCGGACATGTCACGTGTTATTGTACCGCTTTACTGCGGACATGTCACGTGTTATTGTACCGCTTTACTGCGGACATGTCACGTGTTATTGTACCGCTTTACTGCGGACATGTCACGTGTTATTGTAGATTGTACCGCTTTACTGCGGAAATGTCACGTGTTATTGTACCGCTTTACTGCGGACATGTCACGTGTTATTGTACCGCTTTACTGCGGACATGTCACGTGTTATTGTAGATTGTACCGTGGTGGATCTTACGGTAAATATCTAGAGGGGCAATGCCATTAAATGGACAAAATTTCTATGGACAAAATGGAAAAACCTTGGGTAATTCTCCATTTTCTCCGTTTTATGCCATGAATTTTGGTCATCGAATTACATAGGTATGTAACACCTAAATTCTAACATGTTTATTTAAGCATACCATGCTACTCAAAGCTCATGAAAAGCTACTAGAGGCTCATACCAAACTACTAGAGGCTCATACCAAACTACTAGAGGCTCATACCAAACTACTAGAGGCATCATCTGGTAGACTTTGATAATAGTCCTATTTAATAATAGTCCTCCCCTCAACATTGTTTATTCTCTGCCATCTTTCTCAACTGCAACCGAACAGGATCTTTTAAAAGATTTGAATAAAACCCCCAGTAAACTGCATTTTCGAATTTACTTAAAATATGTTAGTCTCAAATAACTGCACAGTTAACTAATTGTGCGAAGCTCGATGCACAGTAGACACGATTATGCTATTTCTGTATTAACATCGTTACACACATAATATTACTTCAAAATGGTTAAACTGTCGCATTTAAACTACCATTTGAATATTAATTAGCTTCATTAATAGTTTGCTTACATGTTTACATCAATCTGGTGCAATTAGTTACCTTATTTTAATGGAAGATAGCCATTAAATAAACATTTAAAAAAACACAGCTTATACCAAAGTTGATATGTTTCAACATAATCGTATATTATATGGGAGTGATGAAAAATGGCTAATTAGTAATTATTGGTGCCTAATCGATACAAAATATTCTTGGAAATTAAAATGGCAACTTACTAAGTTCATCTTTACGTTTGTTCTCATTTGCGAAAACAACAATGTTATCTACAATATCTGTAGCTGATACTAGATAAGGCCTGCAAAATAAATTCAATTATAATTTGTGCAAGAAAATAAAGAAAGAATTCAATGTTATGATCAGCAAGAAAGATTGCTCTTGGAATCAAACTGACGGTAAATCTAAGCACGGCCAGGACCGTTCCCAGAAATATTCAGTGCAAAATATAGTATTTTTACTAGTCCTGATGAAACTAGATCAGTATGATAATTATGAAACTGTATTAAAACACAAAATAACACATTACCTGTCCTGCCAATGAGCCGGGGTATTGACGAGCATGTCCCGTAAAAATAGGGGGTATTTCATTATTCTCTGCACTGGTCTAATAAGAAAACTCTGGAGGTCCCAACATGTTGTCTCAACTCTGAACAGCAAGTTTAAGTTATGGTCCTGAATAGAACTTCAGGGATTTTATATAATATGATGAATTTATAACGGGATCGTAATTCATCAGGGTCCATAACAACATTTATCATGGCTAAATTGTACAATTCAATTTTTAATGATGTTTAATACATTTTGTAGTGTACAAATGTACGGCGTACGAATATGTATTTCTCAAGGGTGAAGCTAGGTCAGGGTTCCCGGGGGTACAGATGGGGGTTTGGGGGCGCAGCTCAATGGATACTTTTCAGGATTTTATGAGTACATTATGTAATGAGCACATTATGTAATGAATACATTATGTACACATTATGTAATGAGTACATTATGTACTCCACTGCTTAATGTACCGCACATTATGTACACATTATGTAGTGAGTGCATTATGTAATGAGTACATTATGTAATGAGTACATTATGTAATCCACTGCTTAATGTACCGCACATTACGTACATATATTATTATGTAATGAGTATATTATGTCCTCCGCTGCTTAATGTACCGCACATGTACACATTATGTGATGAGTACATTACGTAATGAGTACATTATGTAATGAGTAAATTACGTAATGAGTACATTATGTAATGAGTACATTATGTAATGAGTACATTATGTAATGAGTACATTATGTAATGAGTACATTATGTAATGAGTACATTATGTAATGAGTACATTATGTAATGAGTACATTATGTAATGAGTACATTATGTAATGAGTACATTATGTAATGAGTACATTATGTAATGAGTACATTATGTAATGAGTACATTATGTAATGAGTACATTATGTAATGAGTACATTATGTAATGAGTACATTATGTAATGAGTACATTATGTAATGAGTACATTATGTAATGAGTACATTATGTAATGAGTTATTAAATCAAAGTTCTAAACAAGGGATAGTTAAAAAACAACGCCCAAGTCTAATCTTTCCCTAAAACAAAAACTAAAAATAAAGAACTTCATTGCAATTTCCGCCAATATCTCTTGTCATAACTCAAATTACGGAGATAATGCAGGTCAAAGATATTATTCAAATAAAGATTTCTTTTACATAAATCATGCACAATCAGCGAGAATAGATTGCTTTGGGGTCTTCCTCTTCTCCCTGGTAAGTCCAGTGTATTGATGGCAAAAATGAGGGAAGAAAACGCTGGTCCGTCAATAGGACCCCGCAAAACATGTCCTAACATTCTCCACCGACTACGGGCCACTTTTTCTGACAATGGCTCAGCATTGCAGCGTTTATACAAGTTTTTTTTTTTTTTTTTTTTTTTTTTTTTTTGTGGTTGGAGATGACTCCTGGGTACTTTATATTCAAAATAGTGCGAAGATGTCTGCGGTGAACAAAATGTAATGAGTAAATTATGTAATGAGTACATTATGTAATGAGTACATTATGTAATGAGTACATTATATACTCCACTGCTTAATAGGCCACAGGGGGGGTCCGAGGTAGAAAAAACATTTTTTGCCAGTTGGCAGAGCACGTACTATCTGACGCTTGCACACCACCCTTAGCCCCCCAGAACGCCTAGTTTGTCATAAAATTGAGGTTAACTATTGCCTTTTTTATCAGTTATGAGTTAACCTCATTAATAACCAGTTCTTAACATTTTGTTGCTCTCATCACAGTTTAAACTTATAAATAGGTATCAATTGGCCATCCAATGTGAACAGAACTATTTTATGCCCTTTATTTGTTGAAAATTGAGGTTAACATATTTTCTCAGAATCAGTCTTTTGGCTCTCCTGAACAATTTATTTACCACCTCAAAAACCTATCTTCTCCTAGAGCTTTTATCCTTTTCACCTCAAATTTGGAACTTATGTTCCTGACATAAATTTGATAATTTGTTATGTAACGATTTTTGTAATTTTGCTCCTAGCTCTTTTTATGAGGGTAACCGTTTTAAGGTTTGTAACCCGCACTCATGGTTAACCTCATATCTCAGCTTTGGAGCAAGATATCAAAAATCGTTACATAACAACTAAACCCAAAATACCTTGACGAACATTGTTGCCACTTAGTTACAAGGTTCTAAGTCTTAAACTGTAAAAGAAGGAAACTTTGTTTTCGGTAAGGACAAAAGCATTTGAAAATTTAGATCGAGCTCTACAAAATATCTCAAAATCTCAAAATCGACCTCGGACCCCCCCCCCCCCCCCCCCTGTGGCCTTAATGTACCGCACCTCGCCTACTTTTGTAAACCTTTATTTCCATAGAACTATAGAAGGATGTAGTTTGGTTGCTACATTTTGTGCAATGAGAATTGTAACATTTATATCTTTGTTCCAGAACAATTTCTATGTAATTGTGAGGCTTGTTAGAAGCTAAACCGTCCTGTGAGTAGGATGACAATATGGCGCCACCAGTCACCACTAAAATTTCTAGCCTGAGGAAAGAAGGTTCTCACCTGACCGGATGAAGAAAGAAGGTGCTGTACCTCTTAAGCTTAATTTTCTCTATTTAGTCAGTTCTTAAGAATAAGAAGCTGTCCTGTGATCTGCTGGCTTAAGACCAAGGAGCCAAGGGAGCAAATCTTTATTTTGAGTATATTTTTTACCCCATGGCTTTCCCTTAGGAGGTCACAAGATTACTTTCAAGATCGCTGCTTGGTTTTTATTTCTGGTTTTCACTTAATCCCAAACTCTTTAGTTCTGACCACCCTTTTTAAGGATTTTATGTTAATTTTAGAGCGCCCCCAGTAAGTATTTTGCGAATACGTTTATTGCAAGAAATATGTGCTTATTCGGAAAAAATTTAACATCAACAATTTTTTTGATGCCGCAAAATGTTGCTGTACTTCACGTATTTCTTAGAACCAACGAAATATTCAAACGGTCAAGATTTACTCAACTACGATTCAAAGTTTTTACTGACCTTATTTTTTGAAGACAGCTGTCCAACAAGTCCTTGTTTATCTTATCTTTCTGATACTAAAACAAGGATGTAAATAAAACCGACATTTAACTCAGAAAATTCAAACAATGATTGCATCGATTTGCCGATATATGATATAATTTTACTCCACACGTGTCCTAAGGTAAGCGCATACAGTAATCCTGCTAATTTTGAGAGTTATACACACAATTACCTGAGCTATTAGGTCCATGACAGAGGCTTGGTTCTCAAGATAGAACGTGTATTCTCTGTGTAGGTCCTCTTCCAGATGTGTGAAGCAACGACCTGGGATCACGTGACTATAATTATAATTACGTGACTATAACTATAATTACTTGGATCACGTGATTATAATTGAAGAAGGAATCTTACGATCAGTATGTTATATAATGTGAAAATAAGAACAAAACTTTTATTTCGAAAAACCTTCAAAAAATCATCGATAAACTAATTAATAGATAAAATATTGATTAGACTAATTATTGTTTAAATTTTCGTATTTATAAAACTAACCGATCATTTGTTCATGTGACATGAGAGTCTGCTGTCCTTTCAGCATCATGAGCAGCTTATCAGCCACCTCTGCTAACTTCTCAATATTCAGAAACATCATGTCTATATCCATCATGTGCGTCTGGAAAATTAAATAGAGAATTAATATAATAGTTATTAATGTAATAGCAATTAATATAAATACAATGATAATTATTATAATATGTTTTGTAGTCCTATGAAAGACACAATAATAAAGCAGTAAAACATGTCTGAAGACGTTTATTTTATTCACAGAACCAATTAACGATTTAGTGAGCTTAAAGCTGCACACTACATTATATATCACACGTCAATCTTACAGTGTCATTACGGAGAGTCTGTAAGAAACCACTGATACACAGTTTGAGTTGTTTCAGATTACTCTCCTCAGTCTGTATCAGCTCAATTACCACCTTGTCTCTCTTCTCTATACCGTCCAGCTTATCTGATTTCTCTAAAATATGTTGTTTTAAAATTTACATCATTAAAAGGTACTATCAAGGCGGTAGAAATTCAAATATTTTGTTAGCACGTACTGTAACTGTGTAGATAAGGCTAAGTGTGGCAGCGAAATATCGAAAAAAAATGGAGTGACAGCTAAATATAAATATAAATAAAATGCTTTATCGCAGTTCTTTTTATTTACTACACTAACGTTTGAATTAAACACAAATTCTTACAACTGTTATATTTTGTTGGTATTTCGTGTACGCAGTTCTTTTTAGTCCATGAAACGTTTTCACTTTTCAGCGTCATGTGTTTGTTTACCGAGTAAAAATCGTACAAAGTTGTCCTTAAAAACGAATTAATAAATTTATCCTGTAACTTCCTTGTGTTCTTGGTTAATCATAATATGAACGGGATATAAATACCTCATTTCATTTAAACTTATAGGTACGTTAAAGGGAATGGTTTTATTTATTTCGTTCAGACTGTTGTCATATTATAATTATAGTGGTCCTATGTTTTACAGGCAATTATCTTATAATCTGTGACACGTACAATCTGGTAAACTTAATTTCAAAATACTGTGGATTTCTACTTGCTGTTTGTTTTAGTGACCAGATCTTTCTAATATATATGTATATTGCCGATGTTTGACGGTGCAACTATTGAAATATTTTATCTGAGGGAAAATTCATTAAGAGTCGCTTAATCGACACACGATCAATAACAATATTCTTCATTTTGCTGATGTCCCTCAGTTACCACCCCATTTACCACCCAATTTTAGTAAGACACCAAGCTGATATCCGGGGAATATCATTACATTCATAGGCTATTCGATATCTAATAATATGGCTCTATTGATTATTATCATTATTTGCAGTTGTATAATGGCCTATTTTCTTGCGTAGTTTTTAGCGGAGGTTTTCGACGTATCATTTCGTATCATATTGTTAGGTATCAAGAACAATGTGATACAACGATTACATGCGAATAATCTTGCTGCTGTCCCTTCTGATCATAGAGAATGCTGCTGTGAGTGCTGAGGATCTAGATGAAGGTAGGATCACCATTCAGTATTTACCATGGTTTTATACTGATTTATATTGGTAGCAGTCAAAATAATGTTTTAGTTAAATGAACTGTCAAGTGTCAAACGAATTATCAAAAGAATATATTCATAACACAACAATCGTCGAGTAATTTCTATAATTGATAATATTTTACTCGTGATATTATTATCTACCAGCTGATGTACTGTAATCTACTTTAAGATAATAACGTGGTTATAACAACAGGCTGGGTAGCAGTACAACGTCGGGTTTATGTAGACTTCAACCTGGAGCAGTATTCTCTTGAAATAAAGACTGATAGCACGCTAGGGAGTGGAGATATAGTGCTTGTGTGGTTCTACACTTCACAGTTAGACTATGCAGGAGCACTCTCCCTCTACTTCACCTCTCCTCAGTACTATATCGGGGGTTGCAGCTCGAGCCGCACTAACTTCCCTACTGACCTACCTACTGCAACAGACAAGGTATGGAGGGTAACGTTAACTAGAACCTCAGGTATCAGACTAGTGGTACACTGTAACGAGGTGGAGGTTCTCAACACCCTGATATCAGACTCAACGTGTGGTAAGAGTAACTGGAGCACTTACTGGAGCATGAGCATTGCAAAGATATGGTTTTCTCCCCGTGACACTGCCTCTGATTTCTACAGACCTCTAACAGGTAACTGGGTAGTTGAAGATCTAAAATCTAAGATACCAAGATAAATGTTGATTTTAATACGCAAATAATAGTTTGACGTGCCTATGAACGTGACGCGTAATACTCGATGTATTTCTGAATACAATTTGTTTTCTTTTATGGTATAACTTGATGTCTTTTATGGTATAAATGTGAGACCAGCTGCAATAATAGTCTATCTTTTTTAGGTAGTTTTGAGAAAATGGCAGTCAAATTTCTTACTATAAGTAGCTTTTGAGTCTATGATCTTGTTTATAGCATATTGAAACTCTCTCTCTCTCTCTGTTCTGGTCAACGGTTTCTGGCCTCTTACTGAAAGATGGAGGCCTTCTCACCGTGCCCACAGAATGCAACTCCTGCTAGCTGCACGCCAGGACTCCCAAAGTATATACGAAATCATAAAATAATAAATATCAATGCAACAGACCCCTGGAGTCTTGAAGCTGTCACTACCTGTCTCAGAGCAAACCCACTTCCGTTGTAGTACTTCTGCGGGCAGACAAGGGACTTCCGAGCAAGGTCCCTGGGAGATATGTCTCTATGCGGAGATGGGCCTAGGCTGAGTTCCTAGTATGGGATTTAGCGAAAGTTCCTGGTGAAGAATCCTAGGAGGTTACCCAAAAGGGTTTTCCTTATCCAGTCTTGTCGATATTGAAACATGCTTATCACGAACATTTGTGTTTGTACGCATCATGTCCACTTACTTTACCAAAATTTAAGTCATTGCAGTACTCACAGTGATGTGCTTTCCTACATAGCTACATAGACCATTATTTCACAAGATGATAACTGAGATGATAACTGACTTAGACCAAAAAACAACCGTAATATAGACCATTGTTGCACCAGCTTTATATTTACTTACATCACTAAATAATGAAAAATACTATTTTTGCACCTTGTATCGATTGATTTTTGAATAACAAAATTATGAAATAGACCATTCTTGAACCCAATAATGTCAAATTGGCCAAATAATTGGGATCTACCGTGATTTTAAAAGCCGATTTTGTCTAAGAGGCGTTGGACCATTCTTCCAAACTGGAATTTTAAGGTTTTTCCATGCACTATCATGGCTTCAATCTTCATGGATCACTGTGATATATATATATAATGATGAGATTTCACTGAATTCAAAAATGTAAAAATTTCAAAAACGGTCAAAAATCTCCTGTTAGACCATTATTGCAGCTGGTCTCACAAATATAAACTATCAAATTTCTTTTAATTATCAAGGGCAATTTTTTTAGGATGTACTAGACTGAAGGCTGAGTGGACAAGTACGATTGAGACAGCAGCCAACTTTCCAGTAGACCCAGGGACCGTCGTGGAAGTGACTTGTTCTGACCCAGGAGCTCTCAACAAAGGGAGCAATGAAGTGACTTGCACAACAGGGACAGAATTCACCTTCTCAAAAGAGCCTTGTAGCCTAGGTAAATTATAATAATAATATTCGTTATGTACATACAAATCTCCATCAGTAATCTCCATTATAATTGAAAGGTGTCTTCGTGTATGTGTGTATGCCACCCACGTGCAAGTTGGGTAAAATGACAACATTACATCCAGGGTTGCCAAGGTTGACAGCACATTAACTCAGGTATTGCAGGTGCATTTTAATTTGCTGTCGCCAATTAATATTGACTGCCCACCGCGCCAAATTTGGATACAAATTTTAAAATATCGAGGTTGAAGGTAAATTTCGGTTTTTCTCTACTGTAGTAGTCTCTAATCTCTCTATAGTCTCTACCTTTAACTTAGATATCAACAAGAAAACGTGACAAATAAACATCTGCTCATATATCTTTTTTGTAATGTATTTACACTTTTGAATATCTCCCTTGCAAGCTTCAATGATAATTTCTAAATTTCGGCCGGCAATATCTGTAGATACACTCTAAATAACTCTAATTCAGGTTAATAACTTAATAATGAAGCAGGAATTTCTACACGAGAAAGCGACGTGATGGAAGATGAACCATTCACCATAAGCTATATAATATATATAATAATGTTTTTGTTTGTTCTCAATAAGTGAAATCATCGTCAATAATATTAGCACGTACAATGTACATATTTAACATAACATATTGTAAATTTGATCTCCTAAAACCTCATGCTCGATTAAAATCGTATTACAGCTGATAATACTGTAGGTGAATTATATTAATGACTAAAGTTCTAATTTCAGAGAAACGAGGCATAAAAAGAACAGAGGACCGTCCACAAAGAATCCTTCCCAATCTGTCGCCATGAATAGTTCCTTCAAGGTTTATATTACATTTTTATTAGAGTTCTTAGCACCATTCTTTTCAGATCATAAAATGTATGGGAAATGATATTATTTCTAGTACACTATCCTCAAATAATGTTATCTAATTATTGGCATAATGGGGTGTCAAAATACTATGGCATTAACTGAAGCTACATCCATGGCTTTAATTTATACCAAACTAAATGAGCAATATCTCGATTTTAAAACCTCTCACTTTCAGCTTCAGAATGGGAAACTCTCATCTCAACTCAACCGCGCGACAAAGTTTAATCAATGACAGTATAGATTAGAATTGTACAGGGAGTGCTGACTTATATTTTGATATTTTACTTAAATATACTTTCAATGCGTTATTTATTCTTACTGAATGGTAAAAGGTACATAGGTGAGGTGATAACTGACAGAACTAGAAAAATGTAATCGTTAATAATTTCCAATCCCCAGGAAGGTTCCTGAGGACACAGGAACAAAGATTGTAGAGTTGATTAGTAGCCGTAGGGAGGGGAGGGAGAGGAGGGGGAAGGATCTAAATGCAAGGAACACATGATCAGCCTAATACATTTAAACTGTTTTGTAATTTTGATCCTTCAAGCACCGAACATGAACACTTAGGGTCCGACCTTAAACTGTTGGTACCATATTATCATAGAACAGTAGAACCACCGTACCCATCTAACATCTAAATGTGTGTCCCACATCAATTAATTTCGTATCTTTAATTAATGCTGCTCAGAATTTACGTTACAAAAAACTTGGTTACACTTTTGAGTAGTAGTACAGAAACAATCCACACCATGGTACACTACCACCCCAATGTCATGTAGTCCATGCAGTTAGCCTACCCCCTCCCCCCTCCCGTCTGTAGATGGAAATAAACGCATACTAGAAGGTGAGTCTCTGAAGGAGAACCAAACTTGACTGAGATAACGTTTTAACACGTATTTGACATACATCAAACAGATGATAACCTTAAATATGGTACAGGTCTCTGATAAACATTTAATTGTTTATAAAAATGAGTTGTTCAATTGTTTAATTTCAGAGCTGCAAGGTCGGCAAGGAAAAACAGCCCTAGCCTACCGAGTATCCGCAAAGTATAAATGTAAGTTTGAACTTTACAGATGAACCTTGAACATTATTTAGACTATATATTTTTAACAACAAACCATCGAAATAAAATGCTATAAATGTGTGTTTTAATCAGATTTGTTAATGACCAATTTTAGTAATTGAACTGTTCATTTCAGTGATAGGCGAGCGACAGTCAGCGAGTAGTTTGACAGCGATTAAAAACTCAAACCAAAATCAGACTTTAAAGTTATGAAGTAAGAGAATAATAAGTTTTTAATAAAATAACTACTTTAATGGCAGCTATACTTGAAAAATGTTATGTATTTAGGTTATTAGTGTATTTTATTTGTAATTTTTAAGTTAGTGACGTAATTTCAACCCCTCAGGGCTGCTCTTCAAGAGCTAACATCGACTTCACGATCACTTGGAAAACCCTCATCTCTTAAATTAGCTTTGGAGCTTTCTGTCAAACGGAGGCATCAGTGTGAGTTTTGAATCGCAATGTAAATTGTAAATGAGGAAGTAAAATTTTAATTACTAAATGATATAAACATATTAATAGCATGAACTCGTGAATCAATTAACTTTGATACATTCCATTATATAAGTTTTAATGAGAGCCATTGCTGATTGCAGTTTGCACACGGAATTAATATCATTCTCAACAATTAGAAATATACGGTCCATCTAATTAATTACATTTAAATATTTCAGAGCATCAGCAAGACTCAGAAGATGATCATTATAATATCTCTGCAAACAGAAAACGACAGCTTGAAAACAGTCACGTATCTTGCATCCCAGAAAGAACTTAACAACATCGCAGAAGAAACCTAACAACATCCCAAAAGGAACCTAACTACATCGCAGAAGGAACCTAACAACATCGCAGAAGGAACCTAACAACATCCCAGAAGTATCATCATATCCCAGAAGAAACCTAACAACATCCTAAAAGGAACCTAACAACATTGCAGAAGAAACCTAACAACATCCCAAAAGGAACCTAACTACATCGCAGAAGGAACCTAACTACATCGCAGAAGGAACCTAACAACATCGCAGAAGGAACCTAACAACATCCCAGAAGTATCGTCATATCCCAGAAGAAACCTAACAACATCCTAAAAGGAACCTAACAACATCGCAGAAGAAACCTAAAAACATCCCAAAAGGAACCTAACTACATCGCAGAAGGAACCTAACTACATCGCAGAAGGAACCTAACAACATCGCAGAAGGAACCTAACAACATCCCAGAAGTTATCATCATATCCCAGAAGAAACCTAACAACATCCTAAAAGGAACCTAATAACATCGCAGAAGAAACCTAACAACATCCCAAAAGGAACCTAACTATATCGCAGAAGGAATCTAACAACATCACAGAAAGATTGAAAGAACTTGACAACATCTTAGAAGAAACCTAACATCCCAGAAGGAACTTAACAACGTCCCATAAGGCACCTAACAACTCAGAAGGAACTTAACAACGTCCCAGAAGGGAACTAACAATATCCCAAAAGGAACCTAAAATTATCGCAGAATGAACTTGACAACATCTTAGAAAGAACCTAACGGCTAACATCCCATAAGGAACCTTAAAACATCCCAGAAGGAACCCAACATCGCAGAAGTTACCTGACAACATCTTCTAGAAGGAACCTAACATCCCAGAAGGAATCTAACAACAATATATCAAATAAGGAACTGTTAACACTAGCATGCTAATAATTTAACCCGAACGTAGCAGAACGTATTTCTATGCAATAAACTTTATCAATGTGCTCCTTATATTATGTAGACATGAGATTTTACAGTAAAGACATATCTAGAACTGCTATGCTCTAGACGTGATATAGCAACACCAAAATATGTTAATGAAAACAAAATCAAAATTGCGAATATAATATAATAGGTTGAATTGAATCGGGATGCCTTTTTTAACTTTTATTTTCAAGCTCTCGAATTTTTGAATGAAAAAACCCTTTATGTAGTATATTGTCGCGGGTTCTTTTTGCTTTAACTTTTATGTCAGATAAGCTTTCTGGGTAAATTAGATTAAGCATCAACAAAAATATATCTCAATACTTTCTCAATTTAAATTTGATTAGTTTAATGTAGACAGCTTGCAGTTCATTTCTTATGAGAAACGATGTTGTCTTATTTGACCTATTTAATATACTTGTATAATTATAAGACTTGAGATTGGACGGTTAAGCTTATCAAGAACTGCTATGATCTAGTGACCAATTTAAGATTTCGAATATAATTTAATAGGTTGATTTAAATCGGAATGCCGTTTTTTAACTTTTATTTTCAAGCTCTAAGATTTTTTAGATACCTTTTCAAAAACATTTTCGACTCTGTTTTGCTTTAATTTGTATGTTTCATGCTTTCTGGGGATTAGGCATCAGTAACAATATTTCAATATTTTTTTAATTTAATTTTGATTAGTTTAATGTTGACAAATTGCAGTTCATTTCTTGATGTGTGTTAATTAATTTACTGGGTAAAATTCACATTTTAACTACTATGAAAATGAACTGATATTCAATTTTGTCATCAAATCGTTTACAACTTATAAACAAGTCTTATTTAATCATGTTAATTTCACCCAAAAAATTTACTTAACTATTATAACCTGATACTTACTTCAATTAGTAACAAACAGGTAATCAAATTTAACCCACATTTAATTTAAAACAATATGCTTAACACTTACGTGATGGTGACTTGAGAGTCCTAGCTTTGCTCTTCAGAGAGTCTATACTGTTAACCAGGGTCGATATCTTCTCGTTGTGAGCTGGGAACAAACGCGCCATGTCAATTTAAACCTTCACTAGTTGATAAGAAATTGTAATAATAATAAGTTATTTTTTAATATATTAACTGATAATTTAAATTTACAAATTTAGATGCTGTACTGGGAGATCGCAGGAAGGAAGCTAATAGTATTTTTTAATAGCCAGTTTTAAACGTATCAGAAAATATCCGTCACACTTCACAGCGGAATGTACAGCCGATTAAAATGCAGCTCTCAAATCTTTGCACGTGCGCGTTCAACACAGTTTCCATGGTTACTGTTAAACTTCAGCTTCCTTTTATCATCTAATTTGCACGTGGGCGGTCGTACTAGGTACAGAAATAATCTTTCGTATTATAAGTTAGAATTGTAAACACGCTTTATTTATTATACATGATACATTATTCTGTATACAAGTAGAAACATGCGAGTTTGTGTTGAGGCAATTACACACCAGTAGTAAACCAGTAGTAAACCAGTAGTAAACCAGTAGTAAACCAGTAGTGAACCAGTAGTGAACCAGTAGTGAACCAGTAGTGAACCAGTAGTAAACTAGTAATATAACAACCAGTAGTAAACCAGTAGTGAACCAGTAGTGAACCAGTAGTGAACCAGTAGTGAACCAGTAGTGAACCAGTAGTGAACCAGTAGTGAACCAGTAGTGAACCAGTAGTGAACCAGTAGTGAACCAGTAGTGAACCAGTAGTGAACCAGTAGTGAACCAGTAGTGAACCAGTAGTGAACCAGTAGTGAACCAGTAGTGAACCAGTAGTGAACCAGTAGTAAACTAGTAATATAACAACCAGTAGTAAACCAGTAGTGAACCAGTAGTGAACCAGTAGTGAACCAGTTGTGAACCAGTAGTGAACCAGTAGTGAACCAGTAGTGAACCAGTAGTAAACTAGTAATATAACAACCAGTAGTAAACCAGTAGTGAACCAGTAGTGAACCAGTAGTGAACCAGTTGTGAACCAGTAGTGAACCAGTAGTGAACCAGTAGTGAACCAGTAGTAAACTAGTAATATAACAACCAGTAGTAAACCAGTAGTGAACCAGTAGTGAACCAGTAGTGAACCAGTAGTGAACCAGTAGTGAACCAGTAGTAAACTAGTAATATAACAACCAGTAGTAAACCAGTAGTGAACCAGTAGTGAACCAGTAGTAAACCAGTAGTAAACTAGTAATATAACAACCAGTATAGTAGTGACACAACTGCAACAGTTTAACACACACTAACGTATTACTTCAAACAAGCGAACCTAAGATTGAACACGAACTTGTCTTGGTTCAATGAATGAGCGGGAAATCTAAATCAGGATATTACATGTTTAATTTATGAAATATCCGTGATATCTTTAGTAAAACAATGGTTCCCTATAACAATTGTACTTCCGCAATATTTATAAGTCTCTTTGAAAGCTCAGTGCAGGGCGATGTCTGAAAGTCGCATTTCAATCGACAATGTATAATGTTACATTATACATTATTAATGTATATTAATGTATATTATTTTATTGAAATATAATAAAAATTACTTAAAACAGTGTAGCTCAGAATTAGTAAACAAAAGCAAATGAAGCGATGGAAAATGAAGAATACCAGGAGGACCCCTGAAGTAGGGTTTTGTTAATATATCCCACTTAGCACCGCATCCGTACAGCTGGTAACTTGATAACCTATATAGTTTAATACGTAGCGAGTAGTTTAAAACTGTACTCAGTACTCACTGCATGACACATTATCAGTACAATGGCACTGGTTTGTGTGGTATCCATCTAGAGTTATTATACGTCTTGTAAATGTAATGTTTCTGTTTTTATAATCTGTTTAAGGTGTCAACTGCTATGCTAGTGCCACGTATTGATTCATAAGTTCCGAACTTAAAACTGTGTTATTTACCGTTAAGCATTAGAACCATGACACAATATAAACGTTTGGATTATATGCAAAACATTAAGCATTCATAGAACAACTTCCATGTTAAATGTCAAACACAAGGAAATATCATATGTTTATCAACTAACCATCATTCTGCAGCTTGAATAGTGATCAAAAATAACGCACCTTGCCACGGAGGTAGCTCGACTGAGTTAACTCTGTCCAGTAAGGATGCAATACCAAACCTTGGCCCTAAGGAAACTGAGCCCTATTCGATGGGGCCTGGTGCCGACAGCCTCGGGACAAGCTTAAAGACAACCTTCGGAGAACTAAAATAATTTCAGAACTTTAACCTTTATCCATTATTATCAACACCATACTAAGCGTGATAAATCTGTCTCGAAACTCGCTGGCCAAAATATAATCACGTTTATGAGAATCAGTAATGATGTAATTTCCTTACATTTTAGTCCTTAAATAGCACCACCAAATATAGTATAAATATAATGTAAACTAAATGTATGAACCCAATGCAAACCATTTAGCAGTGATCGAAGAACTTCCACATTTTCCTTATCTATCTTCTTCCCACTGAACTGCTGGGCGAGCAGATCCTCTGTCTGTACCTTGGATTCTTGCTCTATCTGAAAGAATTGAGGTTCACTTATCTGCTACAGGGCCTACATTAGCTATTCTTGGAGACATTTTAACTAAATTGTACTTAAATTTGCTCTAGGATTTAATCAAATAACAGTAATTAATGTAAACAATGTATGGTAATTAACTGGTAATTAACAGTAATTAATGTAAACAATGGGGTTTAATTACCGCTAGCATTTTCTCCTTGTCAGCAATGGATTTGTGCATTTTCTTCAAGGTAGCATCTTCTATAGCAGTTGTTTTGTATTCCTAAATAATAATAATAATAAATTGAAATTTAATAACACCGCTTTTAAGATAAAACCTATACTCAGCAGTGTTTAAACTAGTCATCCCGAAAGTAACATGAATACTAAGTTAAGAAAAGTAAATTATGCTTGAAAATATATCGTCAATAGTAAAGCCAGAAAAAGGTACTAAACAGTAGACAAACAATAATATATAATTGAATTTGTTTCACTTATAGATGAAAGGTCTAATACCTCCTCAACAGCCTGAATATCAACTGCATTAGCATACTCTGCCTCCTCTTTCTCCTGCTCCTCATCATACGTGGAGTCCTCAATATACATCCCCCTCTCATCCACTACATTCCAATCTGTAAGTCCAGGATGAGAAACTCGAGTAAAACCAGGGGAAGATGAGTCTTCCTCCTCAGGATTCGATGGCTGATAATTTTGGTTTAAATCCTGGTCTGACTGCAGTGGTAGCGGTGCTGATATTCTGAAATTGTTTTTTAGTTACCAGAATGGTATAATGTCATATTTTCTTGTAAGTAACATAGCTCAACTCTGCACCCATGTCAATATGTTCATTATATGCAAGCCTCTTGATTTATAATATATATATAGTAATATTATATAGTACTAGAAAACTTCCTATTTCTCATCTGATTTGCACGTGGGCGGTCGACAGACAGAATAATTCTCTGAATTATAATATAGATTATATCATAATATTAGTAGATAAGACACAGAATCGCAATATAATATAATATATCGTATAAAGATACTAACTCTAAAGAAGGCTTTGCCATGTAAGTGCTCGGAGGTCGACTAGGTGACTTGTCTTTGCTCGCGCGCCTCTTTCCGTGGGACCTACTCCGTTCCCTCAACACTACAACGGTATCTGCCTCCAGAGGGGGTGGTCTGGAGGGGACCTTTAATTCATCATCATTATTTTCCACATGCTCGGAAGTTTCTCCGTGAGCATATTTGGTTCCTGAATCAGGAGTACCCGGAGCTGGTCTAGATGGTAGACTGGAGCGAGAAATTGAAGGTGGGCGTTGTGGTGATGGAGTTTTAGCTGCGATTGGATTCAGTTGAGGAGGTGGGGGAGGGGGAGGGAAGTTAGGTGGTTGTAATGATGGAGGACGTTTAGGAGAGTCAGGAGTTGGCTCGACAGAGTCAACATTATCAGAAGGATGCACAGTGTTTCGCTTTGACAGAGATTTTGTCCGTAGATTAGCAACAGTAGAAGCATCAAGACTCCTTGGTCGTTCAGGGGTACTTATTTCTGGCTCAGGACTCTTAACAGGTGCAGCTGGTTGGACAGGTGGTCTCGCGGGAATAACAAGCAAGTCATGAACAATAGACACATAACCAATAGGGAACATGCCACTCCGACCGTGGCAGGTACCATTGTACCACTCAGGGTTAACTCTGCTGGTGAAAAATATCTGATCTCCTGCTTCAAAAGATAGTTCATCATGAAGATGTGCTTCATGACTATACAATGCCACCTGAGAGATTTCGTGTTTAGGTTTTGTGTTTAGGCTTGCAACGCAGGTATAGTATAAATTTAACTTTGATCACAAACTTTTAATTTATATTATCTCTATAATCTATATTAATTATGGACACGTTCATTGAAGTTTGAGGAAATTGGTAAATTTCTAAAACAGCTTTTTTGACGATAGTGGTTTAATTTTAACATATATTAATCTAGCGTGTTCATAAGTTCTGAACATTAGCCACGTGACCCATACTCCCATATGAAATGCTCAAAAATAAAATGTATTGCTTTTAGGCACTATTATGTAAAAAATGTCACATTTTTGTGACATTGTTTACCATAGCTGCCCAATTAGCATTTTTTGGTCTTAGATATAGTAGATTAGGTGAATCTAACAATTATGATACAATGTAGGCCTAAAGGGCAGTGATCGAACGGCTTTAAGGCAACATTTCGTAAACTTTGTCACACTCAGAATACGAGACCTCTTTTCTACTGTGAGGTGTCCATAAAACCCTTTCAACTCATTATTTGATAGTTCTTCTGCTAATCATAGCCCTAAAATATGTTGTTTTGAAAAGTTAACTTGAAATACATGCACTTGGCTATTGGGAAATGATGTAAATTCTGTCACATTATATGGAATTTGAAATTCTGGGTGAATTTCCGAAATCATTTATATCTGATTTTGGTTTGGAAGGCGGGAAAACTCTATATAATGAGGACGATACACGGATACAGTTGATTGAAGTATAGCCCGGCAGTTGATGTAAACATCGTCACAAAATGATACAAAATCGTAAATGGACACGTTCATGTTGAAGTTCAAGGATATTGGTAAACCAAAAAAAAATAGCGTGTTCAGAAGTTCTGTACATTAGCCACGTGACCCATACTTCCATATACACGGCTCAGAAATACAATTTATTGTTTTTAGGCACTATAATGTAAAAAATGTCACATTTTTGTGACTGTGTCAACCATAGCTGCCCAATTAGCATTTTTTGGTTTAAAATATAGTAGATTAGGTCATTCTAACAATTATGATACAACATTTGGCTAAAGGGCAGGGATCGAACGGTTTTAAGGCAATATTCCGTAAACTTTGTCACACTCAGAATACGATACCTCTTTTCTACTGTGAGGTGTCCTCAAAACCCTTTCAACTCATTATTTGATGGGTTTTCTACTAATCATAGCCCTAAAATATGTTGTTTTGAAAAGTTAGCAAATACATGCACTTATTGGGAAATGATGTAAATTCTGTCACATTATATGGAATTTAAAATTTTGGGTGAATTGCCGAAATCATTTATATCTGATTTTGGTTTGGAAGGCGGGAAAACTGTATATAAGGACGATGCACGGATAGAGCTGATTCAAGTTAAGGGCAGTTGATGTAAAAATTGTCACAATAATAATAAGGGCAGTTGATATGAAAGAAAATCTATCTAACTAATGCAATGGCTGATGTGACGAAATTTACATTTCTTGACCCTATTTTGAAGAAACATGCCTCGATTAGAATTCAATATTCTTCCAGGAATTATTAGTAGGTTATTATTCAGCAAATCAGAACTCAAGTTTAACAATTCTGAGTTTAATTTTACTGAGTTACCGAAATGTGACGAAATTCACTTTTCCTGCCCCAACAGTATAATTTCAATGTGATGAAAAATGGGCATGGGTTTCTATATTTCCTTATCTCTGAATTAATCATTTCAAACTATAATTAGGACTGTTGATGTGAAAGAAAGTGTATCTAAATTTTACAATGACGTATGTGACAAAATTTACATTTCTTGACCCTATTTTGAAGAACCATACCCCGATTAGAATTCAATATTCTTCCAGGAATTATTAGTAGGTTATTATTCAGCAGATCATCAGAACTCAAGTTTGACAATTCTGAGTTTAATTATACTAAGTTACCGAAATGTGACGAAATTTACTTTTCCTGCCCCAACAGTATAATTTCAATGTGATGAAAAATGGGCATGGGTTTCTATATTTCTTGTATAAATCCATTCCAACTATAATAAGGGCAGTTGATGGGCAGGTGATATGAAAGAAAATCTATCTAACTAATGCAATGGCTGATGTGACGAAATTTACATTTCTTGCCCCTATTTTGAAGAATCATACCTCAATTAGTATATAATGTGACTTTATTACCATCACTATGTCGATAAATTAGTTATTTTGCCAACACGGAGCAAATAAAGTTATAATATTTTTTTGTGACGAAATTTACCCTGTTCAGGTGTTGAAATTTATCCAATGTTAACATATCACTGCCATATGATAATTTATATGACCGGCGTATGGTTGAAATATTGTTAATTGATCCATAGTACGTAATATAGGGTGTTTAAGTTGGTATACTAATATTTACTCAATTTCACACATGTTGAGATATCATACAAATTTATGTGACTAAATTTACCTATTTCTGCCTTCTGTATCTGTATTTGCGTATAACAATGAAATATGTGAACAATTCCAAACATATTCAGCTCACAAAATAATGCTAGACTATTCGGCATTTCTTGTCAGGATGTCGTAAACATCCCTCATATAAATTTATTAAATGTGTGACGGAGTTTACATGGTGCTACCATTTAAGAAAAAAAGTCGCTAAATATGTAGATAATATTCATATACAGCTATTCTATGAATTGGAAATTCGAAAATTTGGTCAAACACGGCAACAAGGGGTCCATATAAACTCCGTCACGTTTTTATAGTGTGACAAAGTTTACAACTCACTGCCGGCCGCATTTAAGCGATATCTTATCGTCTGATAAAGATATCGTTATGCGACAAAGTTTATCTAGAGGATGAAACGATTATCTTAGGGTGAGAGGGTTTATATAGTTTCATAGTGTGACACATTTTACATCATCGTGCCATTCAGTAGGGTAACTAATATTTACCAATATCCTCAAACTTCAATGAACGTGTCCTTATATAAAGATAATATAAATTAAAAGTTTAAGTTACAAATTTATAAATTAACCATACTGTGGATCTTGCTGTGGATTTTGCTGTGATAACTCCCGGGGATTTCAAACATAGAAGTGATATAATAGTCCATTGCTAAAATGAAAAATAAAACTCCACTTACACCAAATGGATCAGAGGACGGTATCAACTCTAAAACAACACAGTGTGATCTAGGAAATATGCCAGTGTCATCCCCAAAGGAGCCCTCAAGCCAGTCATCGTTAATAACACTTGTTACCTGATTTTGTGAAATGATTAAAGTGTTTTTGACAAAATTAACTCCAGTTGTGTTTTAATAATAGTAATATAAAGAAATTCTCAGTATAAAAGAACGTTGTATAATAAGCAATGAGCATGCAGGTATTTCTGTAAATAGATGCGGTTATTTCAAGGAAAATTGTGTGCCTGGTAGAAAGGGAACAAGGTGATTTTCAAATATTATATAAAATAAAACATTTTTACCTTGACAACATCTCCGACAATCAAGTTGAGATCACCACTGACATCTGATTCGAAATTACTGCTAGCTCTAATGAAGGTACCAGGTGCGATCTCCATGCACCATCATACGCATATGAAGCCTATAGAATCAAGAAATTAATGATCACTCAAATAATTTAAGGACATGCATGGTATGGATTAAAATAACATAATATATGATATATTATATTTGTATATAATATACACACTTTTGTATACCAGATCTATGTGGATTTTTGAAGGAAGTTCGGAAGGAAACTTGGGGAAAATGAGGAAAATCTAAACTTTTTCAAATAAAATGGCATTTTGTGGGCTAGGTGGCCATTCTACTCTATACTAGGGAATGAGCTTAGCATTCCATTAGATTTATTGAACATTATACATCTGTGTAAACTCTCCTCGGTTGACTCAGCCAAATTATCAGGAAATATACAGGGTGGGCCAAAAGTCAGTACCCATATGTTGGCCTTAATTGCTCAATCACTGAGTGCCCAATTGAAATAATTCTTTCTGGTATGACTTACTACCACCACTGGTTCGAGGAATTTGTCAAATCGAAAAATATTCGTGTTCATTTTTTTCAAATGAAGGTTCATTTTTGCATTTATTTGATAGTTTGGATAGTCGGATCAGGCCAAATTTTATTGAATAGTGTTTGGCCATTTAAATTACGTTTGTCCTGGAAAAAAGAAAGTTCTAGCTTCTCAGATGACCGAGATATGAAGCATAACGAGTTTGTTAATTACGTGTGATCAGGTCATAAAGACCCCCCCCCCCCTGCCCCCTTAATAAAATAGCTATTACATATTTTTGGCCATTTTATACATACTCCTAGAATTTACATTTACCATATCTCCATTTGCCTAGTTGTTAACGGGTGACACTTGCAATTTTAAAACATAATATATTCTAAATAGGCGCAGTTTATCTCTCCTGCGAAATCACACTCCCCAAATTGAGCGCATTGTAGTAACTACATGTAGATAAGTTTTTTCAAACTTCATGAGATCAAATCTTTTTCAATGTATTCAGAAATCAGAATCAATTACAGGGTGGCCCAGAAATAACTGCCCACACGCAACACTTTAATAACTCAGAATTTATCAAAAATTTCAGAGAACCTAAATATGGGTCAACCTTATAGTAGAGGCTCTTACGGGCAAAAAGACGTGTTTTCTGCTACGAGTTTAGAGACCTAACCGCTAATTGGACACAATAGTATGATGTCTAAGGATCGACAATATGTTAAGAAGTATAAATTTGGCCTTATTAGTCACGTGCTATACCAATGCGCGTTTTAAACTTTGACAGTCTATTACTCTAAGGCAAATAGAGTAATTATATTCATATTTTGTCAGCAATAAGATCACATTGTTTTCTATTTGGTGTGAAAATATGAGCTAGAACGGACATAATCTCGCTGAGTTATAGCTGTTTGAAATTTATGATGAACGCGCGGATGCCAATTGATAACAACTAAATGCTTTTGCGCGTAGTGCGCGTCGAAAATTTGGCAAAAACGCTTGCGGAGTGACAATATTCAAACTTCGATAAAGTATATGAAGTGGGTACTTCTCGGAAAGGAAAAAGTTAGGCAAACACGATGTGACTATTTTTGGGTTGATTTAATACAGCTGCAAAACATTATTCAAACTTCAAGCTAAAAAGTCAAAATTTTTACCACTTTTTTGGATTTTTACCCCCAAAAAAATAGAGGGATTTTTCAAATTTTTAAACCATCTTGTGCGGCTGTGTTTTAGCTATCTCCATGCAAGTTTTGCCGACATGCCAACAAAATTAACTTGTTCAAAATATCAAAAAACATGGTTTTTTGGCCTATTTTTTGCCCAAAAATCGGTTTTTTGCGATTTTACCCCCAAAAAGTCAGTCCAATCATCTTAAAACCACTTTTAATCGATTCTACGGTCAAAAGTACGTCTAGTAAGGTGTATCTGGGGTACCTAGCGTATCGAGCAGACAATGCCCGTAAGAGCCTCTACTATTAGGTTTGATAATTAAAGTGCTTTCCCAAAATTTCAAGTTGGTTGATTACAATTTCAAGTTGGTTGGTAGTTATTTGGCCTTAGGAACAACAGATAAGCCTATATAAATTTTAGTCTGATAATATTTTTGTTTTATGAACCGGGCTAACGATCCTGCCACTTAATCAGTGATCTCTTCAATCAATCAATGGCCTGATTGGTTGTAACCTGCTTATATATTATAGGACAGCAACCGAAGAGCTATAAAGCAAATTTCTTTGATTTTTAAGAAAGTCGCTATACCATATACTATTTTTTTTAAAGGGGGGACCCCCAACCCATGTAGCTGAGACACCTCACAGCAAGTAGACCAAAGTGGCTCTTGCTTGTGAAAGGTGCGTCAACTACACACCGAAGCGGTGGGTTGGGAGTCCCCCCTGGGATCATTTCGTCCGTAAAATTATATACAACATAAAATAGTACAGTAAAATATCAAAATTTACATAAACAAATCTAGGAGACCTCAACGCTCAAAGCTCGTCTTCTGGGGGATGAGGTTGAAGTTAATGTTTTGCAGTTCAAGATGCTGGGCCGTTGATCTTCCTCTGATTCCTCTTAGTGCAATAAATGTACTTCTTAACAGATCAAATCTGAATCGTGTTCTGATATGATTTTTCCGCTCAACTATCAGTATTCACTCAAAGTGATCGGATCATCATACACTAGCATGCCCTGTACCGCCTAATGAGGCTCATTGTTGTATGTAGAGAATAACTCCCGATGAGATCACTGATAATTGGGTGACGAAATTACTGATTAAGTGCCGAGATCACATATCTGCAAGATTTTTTTTATCAGCCGCGCGCTGATCAAAAAAAGCTCAAAATGTTTACTTTATTATAGCGACAATAGTAAAAAAAAAGGGAGTAGTCACAGGCTGGAGGGCCAAAGTGCACAGAAACTGCTGCTAACTGCTGCTGACTGCTGCTAACTGCTGCTAACTGCTGCTGACTAGTGACTGCTTAACGGGTGATACTCGTAAAATATTTGTTTGACCGTCGACGAGTCCAACTCGGCGCGCGTCCTGGTAGATTATAAATTTACAACTCACTGCTGCTAACTGCTGCACTAACAGCTGTAATTAATGACATTTTAAGTTTGACCTTGTATCACGTTGTAACTTTCATTGTTACCTGGGGATCCCAGGCTATTATGTTCATAAACATAAAGATTCGTCGGAATGCAGAATGACAGGCTGAGCGCCGCCCAGTAACTTTCATTGTTGATTCACGATGTCAATCCTTCGCATCTCGCCGATCTGCATACGTTTGTGGTTGCGAGAAGCATTATTTGATGCGCGCGCGACCCAGTAGTGCATCGCGCTACAACTTTCATTGTTGTTTTATTAAGTGACTCCCCCCCCCCCCCCCTTGATTGACGATGTCAATCCGTCGAGACCGTCGAGATCGATGCGAAGCAAGAATGCTAGTTCGCGCGGCGCGTCGAAGCGGCGAAGTCCTCCAACCCCCCCCCCCCTGAATCGTTTCTACGATACGTTACAGAGCTAGGGGAGTCGCGCCGCACACACGTGCGCGGCGGGTGATACGAGCTCTATACTATTGTTGTAGGTTTACAACCTACCAGGACGCGCGCCGAGTTGGACTCGTCGACGGAACAGATATTTTACGAGTATCACCCGTTAATACTATTGTCTATCCATAACCCTTGAGCTAATTGTTTCTTGTAAAATTAAAACAAGCGCGCCCGCAGTGGTGCGAAAGCACTTTGTTAGGTGAAGGTCATACAACGTATGACAAGTTTGACCCATTATATCTATATTCTCTGAAATGTGTGAGCCATTCTGGCACGAATTTCGAAAGTTAAAAGGCAAGGACAGTCGACAGAATGGTATTGGTAATTGTCATACGTTGTTTACCTGGGGACCCCATGCTATTATGTTCATTAACATATTAGAGATTAGGCGGAATGACAGGCTGAGCACGGCCCAGTAAACGTTGTATGACGTTGGTATGGTAATTGTAAACTAAAAATTTTGTAAATGATAATGTTGATCCTTCACAGCGTAGGCATTGCAGGGGCGTTTACATATTAGTTATTACGTAATCATTTTTGGAACATTTTTACTCCCCCCCCCCCCTCGGCCGTAATATTAATTACTAGGTAGTGCACCATCGACAGTGAGCCGCGCGTGCCGACTGTAGGTAGGATGGTTTTTTAGCGCTAATTTCGGCCAGCACAATTTTCTTCAAACAAATAGATATTGAGTATTCTTCCCGACCTCCAATTGCAACAAAAATTGGTAAGCTTACTCCACAGGGGGAGCTGAAACCAGGTTTTCGATCATACGCTGCCATGTGTAGTCAAACGTCGCCAAAAGTTGCTCTCGTCCAATGAAATCGCTGCATTATGTAAGCCAAGCTCCGCAAATGAATATATGTAATTCAATTATGCATACTAACTTGCAAAATGCAGCGATTTCATTGGACGAGAGCAACTGTTGGCGACGTTTGACTACAAATGGCAGCATTTGATCGAAAACCTGGTTTCAGACCCCCCTGTGACTCATAGACTTACAAGGAAAGTGTCCGAAAAATTTAAACCATATCCAATCATCAGACATTATGTTGCAGCTAAAAGCAGGGTATTTTGCCCAATTTTTATCACTATATCAATTCCGATATCCACCAAATTTTTCGGACAGTTGTGAAAGTTTTATTGGAAGGTCGTCGCAAATTTCCAAAATGATCTCATTTAAGGAACTAAAGATATATCCGAATAATACGACAAAAATGGTCAAATTTGGACGAACTTGGTCACATAACGCGACTTTTACAGCTACTTTTGCTCTTAATTGACAATGTCAATTCATGGCAGCTCGGCGCGGCACAGTAGCGCATCGCGCTACAACTTTTGCTCCAAAACACAAAAACCGCGCACCATCAAATATGGCACCTAGGCGAAACTCACTGATCTTTCCAAAAAGGTATGACAAATTTTGTATTGTGAAAATTCTCACAGTCTCTAGAAAACAGTGGTACAAAAATTTTTTAAATCCGAGCAAGTTTATTTTTATCGTGCACCCCCTAGTAATACTAATTAGCTATTTTGTATTGTGTCAAAATTACGCTCGCGCTGTACTATAGCGTAATCACTAATCATTCGGAAAACCCCCCTCAGCTGATTAGCATTAGTACGTAATTTAAATTATATGTGAACGACCCCTTAGCACGGCCCTGTAGTTGCAGTTAAGTACATGCAACGTACTGATCTAGCATGAAACAAAAAATTGCATTTAATGATATTGATACGCAGCGCGGCCCAATAGTGGATCGAACTTCACAAAATCTTTTGTATTTTGTAATTCAAATTGTACTGCGATGTACTTGTAGACGGAAAAACATGATGATGAACATTTATAAAACATCATATATTTGATATTGTATTAAAAAACAAATGTTTGATGGTTAATTATATAATTTTGAACAACAAAATTTAAAATTAAAATTAAATCAGCTATTTACAAAATAAAAATGAAAACGCAAATCCAAAAACTAAAAAAAAAAATATGATTTTTAAAAATTTTCTTCGGGATTTTGATTTTTGACTTCCAGTACCTCAATTTCAAATTTTGTTTCATACCATCATCAATTAAGTGACTAATTGGTCTCGGGGCAAAAAACATCCAATCTGTCAAATTTGTGTTTAACATTTTCATATTTGAAACTGGTGGAGAAATTGGAAAATAGGAATTTTCGTTTTGTTAAGCTTTCTGCTGTGAACTCCCTCCGACCGAACTCAAACCTCCAGTACAAAGTGATACAATAATCGTTGCAGCATAAAGATACTAATAATGCAGTTATAGTTATAAATCTAAATCACAATTTTATCATACACTCTACACTTGTATCAATTGATTATACAATAAGTCTATAAAACAGAATAATTTAGAGTTTCCCCTAACTGAGGACAGATTACGGAAGAGTTGTACATTTAGTGTCAAACAATTTGTTCAGTATTAAAAGAGCAGTCTCATTATCTTAACGAGAAAGCGTTCGTGATTTAGCTGCATTTCTTGGTAGAAAGCTTTGTACAATAAGAAGGCATGATGTTACATGTATGTCTATCACAGATTCTAACAATTTCAACATAAAAATGAACTCTTCTCATTGTGCAGTCAGGAAATCTGATCTGTAAAATGAATTACATAATAATAATCTGATGATCTGTATAAAAATATATGTTATACAAAATAAACACACTGTGAGTTAATCTGTTGAAATATAGGGAAGATAACATGTATAAATTATAAAACGATTAATGAGATTTAACTCTACAAACGCAATGCTAATCATACACCATATTCCGGCATAAACAAGAAATTTAATGCACTGTCCGACACAATCAAATAGTAATACTGGACGAGTCATGACATCAGACATCGTCAAAAAACATTAACAACTAATCAAAGGTACCCAAATTGCGAGAACAGTTATTGATATACAATTATAATAATAATACATCAAGATAATCTCATTCTCTCATTAAACTATAAATAGATCTGCTCAATCTACATGATTGTACCACTGATCTTGTTCGTGAGACAGGGTGTCCGGATCATGTCCGGTAAGATAACCCTGATCTGAAGCCGGAGTAATCCGGCTGTTCCTCCCGGACTCCGTACCGGGGGTTTGTCTGTATTCCGGAGATGAAGTGGGAGGGTGAGAAAGGGACTCGGAGTTGAGGGAGCGAGGGATGTAGTCTTGTCGGCTGGCTAACTGGGATCTTGGTTGAGTATTCTCCTGGAGGTGAAGACGTTAGAACTGTAAATCTAAAGAATCAAATGTACTGATAAAACTAGAGATAAAAGTAAAACAGTACACGAGGATTACCTCATTGTAGCATATTTTGGAGGCTAAAACAATACCAATCAAAAAATAATACTGATATAACACTCCAGTAACTGATAATAAAGAAGAAAGCTGATAAAACGTGTCAGTACCAGTGATGACAATGAAGGATGACGCGGTTTCGACTTGTACAGAGACTCTCCTGTAGCAGCCAGGTCATGTGACGTCATCATGACGTCATCATGACGGTCTGTACAGTTCAAGATTGAGTCCTCTGTTGTTAGTAACGGGTCAGCGAATGTTCCAGTTCTCTGTAAATATATATGTATAAAGGCTGTCTTATTAATGTCATTTATTTATATATAAATAAATGACATTAATAAGACACATTTTATACAGCAATTTATTGATAAATATTTGTGTCAGTTATATAAGAATTTGTAGAAAATGCTGTAAATGATACAGCATATCACTATATCAGATCATGAGACTTCTAGTAGTACACCCTAAATAAGGTTTCAGATCTGTAGAGTGTAGACAAATATTTTGATATATCGAATTAAGGGGGGTTCGTGACTTACAGAGGATGACCAGTCGGAAATCAGCACTGACGAGTATGGCTACTTTCAACCCAAAATTCACATAAAAAAGTGTAGAAATGTATTCGGCCCTCATGCAAACATAAATCAAAAATAAAGTTTAAGTTGAGCGGAAGATACGATCATATAGACAGTGTAAAACTCACCATAGGTGAGCTGAGTGTATCCTTGTTTAATGTACTTTCTATCTGGTTCAGCTTGTAGTTTATGTTATCTAGAATCTTGCGATCTTCAATAGCTGACGTATCCTGAGAAGATAAAATTAACAAACCTAATGTTAACCATGATAAAGTAGGCGCTCAAAAACACGCCAAAACGAGAAATAGTGTAATCATCTTAACTTCAATTTAAACTAATCTTAATCCAATTGATTACGTTATCTAACATTATCTTCTGCAGACTTAATCCTCAGATAATTCTGTGTTTTTAAACAAAAGAGAATCGAATACCTTAAAAAATATTCGATATTCTATTACTAATACTTCCAAGTTCCAACTATAACTTAAAAAAAAAAACATAGATCCAAAGAAAAAGAGGATAACATCGATAATGGATATTCGATTATTTAACAGGAATAAAAGTCTCTACTACCAGCAGCACTCACCCGGGTAGGAATATTCTCATTGGGTCGCAGCAGCTCCATATCAGACAATATATCTCGCTTATTTCTGTTCATTTCCGTTATAGAGTACATCAGTTCCTGCAAGATAGTCATGATAGTAACTGTGAAATAGAGCCTACAGGTATGAACATAATATTATTACATAATTGGTAATTAATTGTTGCAAATATGACAATAAGCATTACTTATTGAGTAGGCGTGAGATTGTGCCCTGTGGTAACACAATATGTACAAAATATTGTAAGCCAATCTATATATACCAATTTATATCTGTACTGTATCTATTGCTATTTTATTGGAAATGTGACCAACTATTTCTATTCAGCATGATGTTCAACGGGCGTATCCCTAAACTCACGATCGTAGTCATCTTCATCCTAATAACAACCCTTTTTCTGTTTGTGACACGAGAGAACTATGGGTCGACAACAAGTAACATCCCTGTAAGCAAATCTATCACACCAGAAAACTCACTTTCAATTTTACCGACCACAGAAAGTCTCGCTCAGAGATCCAATTCCCCAGATACCACACCCAACCCCACAAAACCGCGCTATAACTGTGAGTTTGAAGATATTCCGGGGACCAATTCTACTCAAATACAATGTCAGAATAAAGGGTCGTATCAGTGTAGTCTGAAGACTGGAAATAACACTTCAAAGTGTCCACTAAGACTCAGAAAACTGGATCGGAACTACAATTGCTCCAACTCGGAGAAGTTCAGAAAATTGATGGAGATCAGAAGAGAACGACTTTCCACTGTCTGCAATTCATCCAGAGATAAGCTCCATCTGTCTGAAGGTGCTCCTAGAGAACTGTTTCATTTCCATGGTGTGGGTAACGCTGGATTGACATGGTGTCCTGTTTTCAAAGCTGCTAGTTCCAACACAAACTCTTTCTTCTGTCCACTTTACTACGATCAAAACAAGTGTGATGACAAGATGAGGAACGGAGCTAACATTTGGAGATACTCGGAGTTCTTTCCTCCAGACAGCGCACACGTTCCCAGGTTTATAGTTGTAAGAGACCCTTTTGAGAGGATATTGTCAGCGTACAGAGATAAGATAGAGGGACCTGGTGCAGTGTCCTTTCTTGACACAATCTACTACAAAATCTTAGGACCACTCAGACTGATCCCATCACATTTGATACCAGAAAAAGGGAGACTCTTGTGGGAAGCCCGTGAAACGGCCGATAAGCTTCTACATTCAGAAGAAAACGGGAAAATAAAAGGCCGTAAAACCTACATTTCAAACTCTACCAACCCTTACATGAACCCTTTATCAGCAACATTCGAAGAATTCCTCAGAGCAGTACTGACAGGAACTAGCAATGAACACTGGCTCACAGTAGACAGCTCATGTGCTCCCTGTGGGGATAACTCCCACTACCACTACATAATACAAGTAGAGGATTACGACTGTGAGGTGAACAACATGCTAGGAGAAGTGGGGGCGAGGGAGCTCCAGGCCCTTCACACGGAGTACCATCAGACTAACCAGAACCCTGGACGAGCCCAACAGGGGGCCATGACGGATTTGTATGAGTATTATGGGGCCCTACCTGGGGATTTACTGACGGCGTTTTACGAGTGGTACAAGGGGGACTGTGAGATGTTTGGGTATGATTGTGAGAGGACTCTGTGCGAGATTGAGGATTGGAGGAGGCGGTACAAGCAGCCTCCGCAGCAGTAGTAAGTCAGTCAGGGCGGGACATGGGTACAGTGATCAGTGGGCAGGACGGGAAGAGGCGGTACAAGCAGCCTCCTCAGCAGTAGTAAGTCAGTCAGGGCGGGACATGGGTACAGTGATCAGTGGGCAGGACGGGAAGAGGCGGTACAAGCAGCCTCCTCAGCAGTAGTAAGTCAGTCAGGGCGGGACATGGGTACAGTGATCAGTGGGCAGGACGGGAAGAGGCGGTACAAGCAGCCTCCTCAGCAGTAGTAAGTCAGTCAGGGCGGGACATGGGTACAGTGATCAGTGGGCAGGACGGGAAGAGGCGGTACAAGCAGCCTCCTCAGCAGTAGTAAGTCAGTCAGGGCGGGACATGGGTACCCGGTACAGTGATCAGTGGGCAGGACGGGAAGAGGCGGTACAAGCAGCCTCCTCAGCAGTAGTAAGTCAGTCAGGGCGGGACATGGGTACAGTGATCAGTGGGCAGGACGGGAAGAGGCGGTACAAGCAGCCTCCTCAGCAGTAGTAAGTCAGTCAGGGCGGGACATGGGTACAGTGATCAGTGGGCAGGACGGGAAGAGGCGGTACAAGCAGCCTCCTCAGCAGTAGTAAGTCAGTCAGGGCGGGATATGGGTACAGTGATCAGTGGGCAGGACGGGAAGAGGCGGTACAAGCAGCCTTCTCAGCAGTAGTAAGTCAGTCAGGGCGGGACATGGGCACAGTGATCAGTGGGCAGGACGGGAAGAGGCGGTACAAACAGCCTCCTCAGCAGCAGTAAGTCAGTCAGGGCGGGACATGGGTACAGTGATCAGTGGGCAGGACGGGAAGAGGCGGTACAAGCAGCCTCTCAGCAGTAGTAAGTCAGTCAGGGCGGGACATGGGTACAGTGATCTGTGGGCAGGACGGGAAGAGGCGGTACAAGCAGCCTCCTCAGCAGTAGTAAGTCAGTCAGGGCGGGACATGGGTACAGTGATCTGTGGGCAGGACGGGAGGAGGCGGTACAAGCAGCCTCCTCAGCAGTAGTAAGTCAGTCAGGGCGGGACATGGGTACAGTGATCAGTGGGCAGGACGGAAAGAGGCGGTACAAGCAGCCTCCTCAGCAGTAGTAAGTCAGTCAGGGCGGGACATGGGTACAGTGATCTGTGGGCAGGACGGGAGGAGGCGGTACAAGCAGCCTCCTCAGCAGTAGTAAGTCAGTCAGGGCGGGACATGGGTACAGTGATCAGTGGGCAGGACGGGAAGAGGCGGTACAAGCAGCCTTCTCAGCAGTAGTAAGTCAGTCGAATGATTATAACTGTTATTTCCGGATTATTCTTGTACGACATCTATTAAAGTGTCAAGTATCGCATTTTACGAGTTAACAGAGTATTATTTGTTTTCGTGAACCTATCGTAGACAGAGTACAGACACAGAGCTAAAGATTGTCTAGATAACAATGGTAACACCCAGTACTGGACATTGACTCAATCAACAATTTCGAATTTCTATTTACCTATTTTCTGAATGGAATTTATGACAGAATTTAAAAAACCAAAAGAAGATAGTAAGATACTGCTCATACTCATCACATCCTGACATCTCCTTCCTTATGAAAAAGGCGGTAAGTTTGCCACGTGGAGTTAAGGACTATATCAGCCTATTTAAGTATTTACTCAAATATCTACACAGCACGGAGAAACCAACTAAAGTCATAGTACCGAGCTCCCAGCCAAAAGCGAAAGAGGATTGGCACAGTGAGGCGCTCCATAGTCTCGCTTAACAAATGTATTGAGACAACTTCCTTTCATCACCCATCAGTAATTTCACACTGGTGCAATTACTGCTATAAAAAGATATGCCACAATGATTCTAGATCTTTCCTTCAAGCAACAACACTTACATTCCTAATATGTATTGAGAATTTTATCACGTGACCGCACACTTACATTCCTAATTTCGTCCCGTGCCCCCAGAGCAGCAAGTCTGTTGTCCATGTCTCCGTGAACGGATTTGTTAAAAATATCCTCTGCCACAAAGGTTAGTTCAGCTTGTTTTGTACCCAAATTATGACGACTGGCTGTCAGCTCCAATCTGGCGAAAATCAGCTAAAATTAGCGGACATGTAGTCAATGCAAAAAAAAACGACAAAAATAAACATTTAGCCGTTAAATGCATAGCATTTTCAAATATTAGGGCTGCGAGGAAATGGGCATTGAACTTTATTATGACGAAGAAGCCCCTGTCAAGTATAAATTGAAGTAAGAAGAACATTGAAAATCTACTAAAACATCCAAAATAAAACACCTGAGGGTCTCTATTTCGAGAAGTTGCTCCTCGCACTTAGAATGTAAAGCTTCATTGTCTTCCTCCAAGGTTGCCAGGATGGAGTTATGTGCCTGTAGGAAAGTGAGAGGGTTACGGATAGTGGACACCACGCTAGGATGGAGTTATGTGCCTGTAGGATAGTGAGAGGGTTACGGATAGTGGACACCACGCTAGGATGGAGTTATGTGCCTGTAGGATAGTGAGAGGGTTACGGATAGTGGACACCACGCTAGGATGGAGTTATGTGCCTGTAGGATAGTGAGAGGGTTATGGATAGTGGACACCACGCTAGGATGATTTGAAACTGACCTGTCCTAATGTCCATATCATAGTTATGAAAGATGACAGGGAGAGAATGAAGCTATGTCTGCTTCTGAGGAGGACGATTTAAACCACATATATATATATATATTAATAGTTGTTTTAGTAGCTGTACAACCAGGTCTGCCGGTCTGGAGAAAGAGATTTTTTTCTCTCTCTTTCAATTGTATAACAATAGGAAAATTACTTGTAGTCCTGAAACAATGATTTCGAGATAATAAAAAATAATGATTAAACTTTCTCAACTGTTCAAGAACTTATTAATTTGTGCAAACTAACATCACGCTGAGCCAGAAGGTCTAGCTCCAATGTTTTAGCAGTAGCAACCTGTTCCGCCAGCTCCTTCTTCAGTTGCGACGAGCTCTCCATTTGAGACTTCAGGTGCTTTTTCAACTTCTTCATATTCTTTTTTAACCTAAGAATTTCGGATTTTAATTCCAATTTAATTCGTTCTGAATGAGCTGATAAATCTAAAAACCACAAATCTTCAGTTATAGAAATCGTCAAGTAAGATAATATTTCTACTTGACTGGCGCGGCAGCTGTACGTTTCCTTTTTAAATAAAATATTTTTGAATAGCCTCATAGAAAAATTTACAAAACCAAAAGTCAGCCTGACAAATCTTCATTTTGTCAAGCCTTTACATAAAATGCGATGTTCTTTAATGTCAGATGAACAGCTAAATACAGAAAAAACACCCTGACATTAATCCACAATCTGCTGGAAGTTACAGAAAACACCCTGAAATTAATCCACAATCTGCTGGAAGTTACAGAAAACTCGTCGCCACTAACCCACAATCTCCAAGAAGCCTTAAATATAAGTATATATAATTAACATAATTATATCCTACATAACGGTTATTTACCCAGTAGTGGCCACGTATTCGGACTGCTGCTTTTCTTGAGATGTTTTAGTTAAGTCTTCTATTTGGTTCTGTAAGTTTGCCACCTGTAATAATAGATCCTGGTAAACCAAAGTTTGTATAAGTAGATAATAATAGATCGATTAAAATCGATAAACATGAAAATAAGGTTTCAACAGTCAGGGAAACCCAGATAAAAAATGTAAATATACCTTGGTCTCAGAATCTTTGAGTAACATTTCCTTTTCCATGGCAGCCTCCTTAACCTTGCTTATCTCTCCCAACTTTTCATCATATTTAGATAACACCTGAATCAGGGACTGTTCTTTTATTGGTATTGTGTTTCATTGTAGAAAAGTGCAGCTGAAAACTAATGTTCAAAAGTGCTGAAAAGTGCTGAAAAGTGCTAAACACGTGAGTTTTATAACCAGGATTTAAGGACCTAGGCCGCAGACTCAGAGCTATGGTCATTATGCTTTTATGGTAGAATTATTAAGATAATTGCGAGTGTTTCCGGTGGTATTTTGACGCAGTGTGTTACAGAATTGCATAAAATATCGCAAGTCAAAACTATCGCTGAAATTATCAATGATTAGAAATTTAATTTAATGTTTCCAATACTCAGAATTTGTGACGAATCGCTCGAATTATTGGAAATTTTGCTATAATCTTTTTAATTACATAATAGCACAAATTATCTCATTGAATCGGCGACAAAATTTGAACAATTCAACGCAATATGAAAAAATTAATGGAATCATTTCTCAAAAGCCGTTAGATTATGAAATTTAATAGTCCATTACCTAAGTCGAAAAACGATTAAACGTCCATTTTTTCAGTAATTATATGATCATTGATGACGGGAAATAAGTTAAGCTACTAAACTGGAAACATGCCACAGAATTATGATACATTTGTCAATTATCTGTCATGCAAATTGCGTAGTCCTCTCTGAAATAATGGCTTAAATTGCCCAAATTACAGTTTAAAGTTCTAACCGGTCTCATCTTCTTGACAATAAGTAGGACTATGATGTCGAACAGCTAGGAAGACACTTGTACGCTTTAAAATTTGTTTGTGTCTTGATTTGAAATGAGCAAAGAATCTGACTCAAGCCCAAAAAGCAAGCATAAATTGCAGAAGATAAAAGATTCGTTAAGGTTATCACCTCGATGGAAGAAGAAACTAACTCTGCAGCCAGAAAACAATGGAGAAGCAGCATCTCAATCCGATTCTAACGGCAAACTAACCATGCCCATACCAATCCCACTTGTAATACAAGATGTCAAAGCAGAGCACGATGACACTGTCACCGAGAGAAACGCAACGATGAAGAAGTTCCTGGACTCCACCAACATGTTTCTCCCGGGACCGGTGCCTAAACATCTGAGACGAGAATCAACTGCTGGGTATAAAATGCAGCAGGGTGGAACCAGGCTCTCAACAATGATGGATAAGAGGTTAAATCTGAGACCGGTTGTGTTAACGATAGAACAGATCACGGAGTACGAGGATGCTTATTCTAAGTTTGATATTAATAATGATGGAACCATGTCTGTTGATGAACTGAACGAGTTGCTTAAGAATATTGGACTCAGACCGACAGGTAGGTTATTTAATCACTATAATTATCTGGTGTAACTGTAAGTTTGAAATATTACTTGAAAATATGTGTCACCATTAAAGTAAAGATCTAGAAGTGTAAGTTTGAAATATTACTTGAAAATATGTGTCACCATTCAAGTAAAGATCTAGAAGAATTATTACTTGAAAATTGTCTTAAATTGAACAAATTCTTCAACAGGAAAAATATTTACGGTAGATATATCAATCCACAAATCTAGCTCTTAATACCAAACAATCCCCTAGAGGCAGAAGTACTAGAGATGATTTCAACAGTAGACTCCAACAACGACGGAGTGCTCACTCGCTCGGAGTTCATTAGACTAATGTCCCGCCAGCACAACCCCATGGTTTCCCTCACGGACCAATACGACTCAGTGTTCAGACTCTTTGACTCGGATGGAAACGGTTACATAGACAGAGCTGAGTTTAAAGCCACGTTGTTCAGCATGGACGCTAGGTTTTCAGACCGTGAGGTGGTTGCTCTGATGGACCAGATTGATTCGGACGGGGACGGCATTATCAGTAGGAACGAGTTTGTTTCAGCGTTTGTAAATAAAAAACTAGAATTTTAAGTGCATGGATTTTGTTTCAGCGTTTGTTAATAAGAAACTAGAATTTTAAGTGCATGGATTTGTGTCCGCGTTTGTTAATAAGAAACTAGAATTTTAAGTGCATGGATTTGTGTCCGCGTTTGTTAATAAGAAACTAGAATTTTAAGTGCATGGATTTGTGTCTGCGTTTGTAAATAAGAAACTAAAATTTTAAGTGCATGGATTTGTGTCCGCGTTTGTAAATGAGAAACTAGAATTTTAAGTGCATGGACTTGTGTCCGCGTTTGTTAATAAGAAACTAACATTTTAAGTGCATGGATTTGTGTCCGCGTTTGTTAATAAGAAACTAGAATTTTAAGTGTATGGATTTGTGTCCGCGTTTGTAAATAAGAAACTAGAATTTTGAGTGCATGGATTTGTGTCCGCGTTTGTAAATAAGAAACTAGAATTTTAAGTGCATGGATTTGTGTCCGCGTTTTTAAATAAGAAACTGGAATTTTTGCGTTGATTAGTATATCGTTTGAAATGTGAGCAGTGACATGGTATCTTCATTCTTTATTTTAAAGCGAAAATTAATGGCATCAGGTATCCCAATTCTAAGTTTAAATCCTTCACTTTACTTTACTCAAAATTGTTTTCCAACGCGAACATTCTTTTAATCGAGTAATTGCAGTACGGAAATAACACAAAAAAGTCATCTAAAAATATTTGCACAGTGGGTGTTGTGTGATTTCACCGTTCCGGCGGGGTTTGACTCACCTCTGATTTTTGTTTTATCTCATGATCAAGGTGAGAGGTCTGACTCTTCAACTCCTCCACACTCCTCAAACTAGCACTCTTCTCCTTAAACTCCTGGGAAACAGCCGCCAGGTCACGTGATAGTTCACTCATCCTCTCCTTCGTCACTTGTTCGTCCTGCTTCATCCGCGCTGAGGTTTAGGTTAGTTAAGGTAGCTGGAGTAGGCCTCAGCTAAGATTGTACGTACTTATCTAGTACAGTCAAATACGTCTTTTTGTCGGACAAAATTCGCAACAAAGCGATTTTAACGGGGTATGGTCGGGACAGGTCCCAGGAATCATTACAGAGAGTTCCCAAAATTTTTGACTTCAGGAAAATCCACAATTACCACTTTTTTACCACCTTTTTACCACTTTGGTTTTCCGCAAATAAGTCACGTTCTGGATATCCTAGAAGATTCTAGTTTAAAGCAGTTAATCCGACTGCTTGTATCGTACGTATTTAACCCCCGGTACGATACGTATTTTTCCTCTTAGGGCCTGAGGACTCGGTACAATCAAAACCTGATTCAATGTACCCCGAGTGTTCTAATGCTCCTAATTATACACATACATATGTTCCATTTTTTTGTGTACCTGCGTTTAAAGTAGCTAAACATTAATTTATTAGTAAGATTGGTCGATTAGAGTTGTTTAAATATTGAAATGATGAGGAATTTCTGAGTGAGCTGTTTGGACAATTAACAATGGAGATCTTTCATTTCATTTCAAAAGTATTGTGCCCGGAACAGTATTAACTAACTTTGACAACCACTTAATAAGTTAATACTTATATTCATTGACAAAATTTATTCTACAAATTTTCAATCAAATCTGCGACATGCGACTATACGACTTAATAATAACGAGAATTTTGTCGTCGTTTTGTATTATTTTCCCATGCTTGTCACAATGGTTATAATCAAACTATTGTCCGATGATCAATTGGAAGCACAGTTTGTCACTGTTTTAACTTTTTAATGAGGCATTGTTCACGGACTTTGTATAAACGCACATGGCATTGTATAAACGCACATGGCATCTGGGCATCAAGCCACTATTCCACTATTCCACGTAGCACATGATAATTATTATCTTTAAACTATTATTTTATTAAAGTGCAGAAATATTGTCCAGCGGTAACCTCAATTCTGGGTTTTTGATCCGAGTCCAAAAAATGGTAGTATACATTTCCGGTATGAAAGATAATCCAGCAAAGAACACAGATGAAGATTGAAAACATCACTGGTTCAACGAACCAAGACTAACCTAAGTTTTGAGAATAACTGTCGCATGACGCCTTGGCAGATTTCACCTCTGAATCATATTTCGTTTTCTCTCTCATAAGTTTGTTGTACTTCGCCATCTCTTGCTTGTGCTGCCTCTGGCAGGCAGCCAAATCTTTCCTGTTATCAAGATTTCCACGTGAGATTAAAATGGCGGAACAATTCTCTGGTGAAAATATGAGAAAAGGCTAATAACGCATAATGACTTTGCAACTTGAAACGCTTTCAACTATCACTTAAATGATAACTAATAAGTATATTATATAGCCTCTCCGTGAACACGAAAGCAAAAGTTGGTTCTCAATTTTAAGTAACGATTCAAACGAGTTTTTACATGTAGAGACTAGAGCGGTAAATATACGTTCTCTCTCTCTCTCTCCCTCTCTCTCTCTCACCTTAGATTATCCAGAACGTTTCTTTGACCGTTCACTTCTTCGTTTGTTCTCTGTTTTGACCCCTCAAGGCTGTCAATTTCTCGTTTCAACATCCCCATTTCACTGTCTAAGTCAGATTTCTGCAGTGCTAAACTCGAAATGTTGTTCTGGTTTTCTTCTGGAAGGTTATGAAATGAGAGGCATGTAAAGTGTTGATTACCTAGATGGTATGTTCTACGTTGAGCTGAGCTAGCTTTTGCTTTTGCTTAACACTAATATCTTAATGAGTAGGGCTTCAATAATCAAGTGAAGATGTGCCGGACAGGCGACGCGGCGCACTTTCCTAGAAAATATATTTATAATAACGCCCGCATAATGCATTGTCCAGTACCAGATTCCCTTTAGTTTTACAGCTAGTGTAAATGTGCCTTGACAAGTGGTATTACATGACTGTATCTTGAACTGCTCTGTATATTTGTTTTAGTGCTTTCACTCGATTATGTTTTGAACTGCCCAGTATATTTTTGTAATGCTTTCATTTGTACTGCTTAATACCTTCCCATAGAGTACATGATTGCTGCTCGGTATTCTTACCTAGAGTTGTCTTGGAGCTGGTGAGTTTCTGAGCGTAAGACAGGAGTTTCCTCTCGAGTAAGTGTAGCTTCTCCTGGCGGTCCTGCAGCACGGACTGTATCTGATCCAGCTTGGAGTTGGAGTCTCGGAGCTCGGACCTGATGTACAGATCATGTGAGCCTCGGAGAACGGTCCAGAACATTCCAATACATTTCAAAACTTTCCAGAACAATGGAGAACTACTTCAGGTATTTAGTATCGCGAACGCGAATACTTTAAGTTATTACAGTATTATTATTATTATTCTGTAGAATTCTAAATGTGAATTACTGTATGTGAATAACTGTATTTCAATTGTTTGAATATTCGTGTTGGCATGCTTTAGGATTAAACTTTTCTTTATTAACCGCCAACTTATTCCAATATCTCCGTAATATTTTTCTGGTCATCATTCATTATTTATTTGTAGACTATTCTCCAAAATAAAGGAGCATGTACCTGCTCATTATAGTGACGTCATTATGAAATTCTACGTGTGGTTGAACAGCATGACGGAATTTAGTTTTAATTTTACAGACACAATCGAGGGATGTTAAAGGGCTGATTTAAACAATGCACTCATAATATGAAGCACGTAGACAGTATATGTGACTATGATATAATTAGACAGTAAGTTTAGGAAGTGTTACTCTAGAAGTACATGCTAAGCAAACTCATGGTGATAATTTGGTGCCCAAAAGCCAAAAGCTTACAGTTACATCACTTGCAAACATTTCGCTTCTGCACTCATATTTGCTGGATTATAATGACCTGCAGGATAGATGAAGCTGGTTGCAATCTTCTGCACACAAGATTTGTAAAAAGGTTTACCATAATCAAATCAAGAGAATCTCACTTTTCGTCTCAAGTAATTATGAAAGATGTGCACGTGAACTGATGACTACTAGGGCCTATGTTAATTATGAAGCACTGAAAGGCGGCCTGATAACAGAAGGGGACGCTTCAACACTGGCTACACGACCGTTTTACTTTAGTGAAGCAGCCAATTTTAACCTTACTCACTTAACTTTTCCTTTATCTTTTTTTTGTTCATGGATGTTCTACTGTAGTTTGGTATATTCATCGCTTGTCCAAAGAATCCACGAAAGTAAGTTATTACATCCGGTCAGTAATACAGAGAAAAACCGGTCACCCGGATACTTAGGACTATTTAAAACAGATATAAAATATCTGGTATCCGGGTATAATACCCAACAATCTTAAATATTCTGACTGATAGATTTGTATTGTTAGATCACTTGATTCCAAGAAATACTACATGTTATCACAGAGTTAAAGCAGTCAAACAGGTAATTTTTCAAGAGTAGCTAGCTTGGTTGCTAGCTTGGTTGCTAGCTTGGTTGCTAGCTTGGTTGCTAGCTTCGTTGCTAGTTTGGTTGGTAGTTTGGTTGGTAGTTTGGTTGGTAGTTTGGTTGCTAAATTGGTTGCTAGCTTAGTTGCTAGTTTAGTTGCTAGTTTGGTTGCTAGTTTGGTTGCTAGTTTGGTTGCTAGTTTGGTTACAAGTTTGGTTGCTAGTTTGGTTGCTAGTTTGGTTGCTAGTTATGTTGCTAGTTTGGTTGCTAGTTCGGTTGCTAGTTCGGTTGCTAACTTAATTGCCAGTTTAGTTGTAACTAACCTTTTTCCCTGCAGTTCCTTCTCCACAGTCACGATATTCTTGTGGAGATTGTTCATCTGTAAGACAGTCTGTTCCGCTAAGTTACAGTAGTCTTTATACTGTCTCTCTGCGTTAGCACACGTGGTCTGAAGCTGCTCACACACCGTCTGAAAGAGTTTATTATCATTTCTAACTTTCTAATGAGAGCTCCTTTATTTTGGATTGTTTTAATTAGCAGCTTGTTTTTTATTTCTGGTAAGTAGATGGTTGGTCAGTGAGCTATCAGTCCTGTTGATGAAACACTGGGGAGAGGAAAGAGTTCGATAAAAAGCTTAATTTTATTAAATGCGACAAAAGCCGATAATCATTGTAATGTTGTAATAGTTTCATATAGATATTCGTCTGACAGCCTTATAGAATAGGGAACGAGTTTCCAATTATAAGCCTCCGGAAGAATGAGATGATTTTTAGATTGATCATAGCCTGCCAACTGTCATTAATCACCGTTATTCCGGGGATTGTCAACATGGCTAAATAAAATATACAGATTTTACAGAGAGCAATTAATATTATGATAAAATGTCACACCACCACACCTCCACCAGATGTTCCCGTTGCTTTCGCTTTTGATTTCTCAGATTTGCCGATTTAAATGAGATGTACATCAGATAACAGTGTATAGGAGGAATTTTGGGAGGTGTTTTCTGACGAAATGTTAGTTGCTCATATACAGTGGAACTGCCAGAGGTAATAGTCACTGAGCTGTAATAATGTAGGTCATTCGCCAGTCAGCAGTCAGTAGTCAGCAGTATCATAATCATGTACATTTCGTTTCTTTCTTTGTCTTTTTCTTGTGATTAAAATAATCCGCTGCAATAATTTGCATATGCTGATCCTTTTCTCCATCACATGAACTGGTAGGTGTATCAAGATGTTTAGCGTGGCCGATATTGGCGATATATAGAGCGAAGTGATTGTCCTTTAAGGGGGCCGGGGGGGGGGGGGGGGGGGGGGGGGGCGGCCGGGGGGGGGGGGGGGGGGGGTCTTCATCAAAATTCTCTCGAAATTGACTTTGTAGTTGTTTCTGGTAGAGGGGAGTGATATCTACCAGCTGCTTTCGGTCCCATGGAAAAATATTTTTCCTAGCCGAAATTATCGCCGGTCTAAGGTCAGCGCTTATGTGTAATTGTATTGCGCGAGCGATTTTCAATCGCAAATTCTGAAAATCGAGTCTAAAAATCTATCTTCTCCTACATTTTTTGAGCAATCACCCTGAAACTTTCAGGATATGTTCTAGGGACCATTTAGAAGAGATCGTTCATGCCAAAATTTTGAGATAGGCCTTTAAAAATTTTGTATTCAATTTTGAAAATCTTGGACCTGAAAAAATCGTTAAAAAAACGAGGTTGAACCTCACAATCTCACATCCGCAAAAACGCTTTCAGTAAACGACCGGAGAACTTGCTTCGGTCATTTTACATACCCGTACAAAAAAGTTATAGAAGTCTTATTGTACCTTAAACGTTTACAGTCTGGGTTTAACCAAATGGAACACATGTTAAACGTTTACAGTCTGGGTCTATGCAAGAGGAGTTGTAGGTAACATTTATAATCGAAGTTGTACTAATTAGGGGCCTTTCACAGAGATGATGATGATGATCATGTATTAAATGTTATACAGGCTCTATTATACACTGTTATAAAGCGGACATAATTAACGGCTCTAGCTACTTTTGGTTATGGGTAATAACCAGCTTATATATATATATATGCCCTCGTACGTTAATAATTAAAATATGTTATAATATCATGTATTTATATAATACGTAATATTGACATGTTTACTCAGCTTATATCTTTATGTGTTCCGTTTGACAGTTGTCTATGGCAGGCCGCTATCAAAAGTTTCGCCATCCTTTTCTCGAGATTTGCGAGATAAATGACGAGGATTGAAAATGTTGAATGGAAATGAATCATAATGCCATATTAATCATAATCACAATGCTGGCAAGCATGACCGTGCCTTTTATATTCACAATACTATTTACCCCCTTTACTATTTACCCCCTTTACTATTATACCCCCTTTACTATTATACCCCTTTATTGTTTTTCAGGCATTAAGACTCATCGAAAGTAGTTCAGCAGGTATATTTAAGTTCAAAACATTCTAATTCAATGTCAAAGATGACAGGAATAAGAAATAGTTATGTGGAGGTTTTTTAAGAAATTTGCGCAAAATTCGCGCCAGCATGTTATACGAAATTCGGTAAAAAACCGAAAATTGCCATATTCAGGTGCCTTAAAAACCATGTTAAAATTGAGTTAGAGATTTTAAACTTTGCAGGGCGTCTAGACGTTGACCAAATCGACTACAAAAAATGTTTCAAGTTTCAGGAGCATTGGGAAGTGGGTTTTCTAGAACCCCTGTTTTACGACAGATTGTCGTGATATATACATACATATTCAGGGATAGACGCTTTGACAGTCAAATGTAGTCAATTGTATCCTAAATTTAAGTGTCCACAGATTCAAAAGTATAAAAGATACAGCCATTTCCGACCACAGGTCTTGAAAATAATCGTTTACACTTTAGTTTACATTGTATAAAAAAATTATTTGACGTCATAAACACCCCTTGAGGACGTCATCAAGTTAACCGTTTTTAAAACTTGATTTTCGACAAAGTAATAACTTTTAAAATTGATTTAACACCATTTAAAAGTAATTTTTTTCAACATCTGAGGAAATTTTCATCTTAGATATTTGTTTAAGCATTCTGAAAATCTACCGGAAAGTTTTCTTATCTTACTCCTTCATAAAGATATTTGCCTTTGAAGTTAGTGCTTTTTTGAAAAATTATTTTATAAAAACGTCAATTTTGCGATTTAGTATTCTCTGGTGTTGGGCTATCTCTTGGGTTGTGGAGCTCAGTTCTGCTTCCTATAGGTATAAATTGTGCATTAGGCTAGTTTTAAAGTTGAAAATCAAAAAGTTGCACACGTGGGGACACGCCCAAATTGATTAAAAATTGCTAAAATCACTGAAAATTGGTGTTTTCACGATTTTTATCAACTTTGGAGTCCCGTTGTGATCCAAGTTCTATCTGAAATCTTTTGAAACTTTGCACGCTTATCAAACTATATATAAAATACCGCTATGCAAAAATTTACGGCGATTCAGTATTGGATGCGTACGCAACGTCCGCTCAAAGTTTGCACGTGCGAACGGTGAGAATTTTGCTCATTCATGATTTCGAACAAATTCTGCTTTACCACGACAGTTCAATGTCATTATATATGAATTTAATGGCAACTTGAATGATTATAATGTTTTATGTTCAGTCAGTGATAGACCGATATGCTTACTTAAACACAAGGAAATGTTTTAAAGGAAAAATTTCGAAATCGTTGAAACTTCCTCCTTATTAATGAAGACATCAGTTTATATTTCGACTTTATAAAGTACCCTGACATTATAATCAAAAAGAGATGATATTTTACCAAAACCCATAATCATGGGTAGAGTGGACCGCCGCCAGTGTCTCTCTTTCCCAAACAAAAGGAAATGATATTAATTTGATTGACCGTTCTCAAATGCAAAATGATACCGAGAATGAAATCGGTCGCTCGCTTTTCCCATTAATTTACAATTGTAATAGATTAAGAAGAACTACCCGAAGGCAGCTGTACTCAGCAATAAAGATTCAATAAACTTCAGCTAATTCAATAACTACCAGTACCACCCTTATCCCGAAATACTAGGTATATCGACCCGAACGCAACCCAAAGGAATTTTTACAGCATGTGATTGATTGTAAGCCGTGAATGAATGGGAAAAGCGAGCGACCGATTTCATTCTCGGTATCATTTTGCATTTGAGAACGGTCAATCAAATTAATATCATTTCCTTTTGTTTGGGAAAGAGAGACACTGGCGGCGGTCCACTCTACCCATGATTATGGGTTTTGGTAAAATGTTACATATAGAATGATCTTTGCAGCGCAGTTCTGCTTTTGAGTTAGATTTCGCCCGTGGGGAATTAATCGTACGTGAGTCGCGTTTGGCACTAATGACAAAGGAAATTAAGGATAAACTTGGTTGGATTCCAACTCAGGACACTTTTCTGACACAATTCATTGAGCTACATTCATTCCTCAGATTATTGCTGTTTTCTTTCCGCATTATTCGTAAAAGCATTTATGCTTTTGGACTTTTATAAAAGCCCAATTTTTTGGGAACAAAGATAGAGGATCCACCATCTCGACTTTATCTTAAGCGAAAGCGCTGAACCATATTCCTGAATGCTTTTGAATGAGAAAAATCAAAAAATCGGTTTGTCAAGATTGAATGGCTTAGTACAGTAAAACCCTGATTGACCGCGGAGTTTGGGGAGAGGAAACAACCGCGGTAAATCGGGGTTTGCGGTAAATCGGGGTTTGCGGTAAATTGGGGTTTCGATTGTTCACATTATGCGTGTTACAGCTTAGTATTAGTAATACCTTAGGGCCAATAAATTTGGTTCACAATAAATTTGGTTACCATAATTTTGATTACCGTAATTTTGGTTACCATAATTTTGGTTACCATAATTTTGGTTACCATAATTTTGGTTACCATAATTTTAGTCACAAATTTCGCTAATTTTTAGTCTACAACAATTATTTTAGTCACATTTTTCGACTTTTCGAGACCATTATCCATTCCATTTACCTTAAGAACGACAAATTTAGTTTACCTCGTCTGAGCATTACAGATTAAGCTGCACTGCATTACTCAGGAATTTCAATAACATCAGATCCAGACTTTGTGACTCTGTATCACAAAGTTCTTCAGTATACACTGTTCAGTTTCTTTTTCACCCTTTTTCGACTTTACCATTTTTGTCGGTACGACGTAGTTTATGTCGATATGATCCTTCAGCTGTTACAACAGAGCATGCATTGGGATGGATCGATTAAATATGTAATGTCCAAGAGGAGCTCTAACCCTTTAAGTGCAATATGACTTTGGTGCGGTTTTGTGAACGGTGATGTCATATATTAATTATAAACAATGTAAGTTTAATAATATGTCATATTTGCTCTACTGAAATTTTGGTCTGCTTTAAAATTAGTCACCGAAAAATTTAGTCTCATGAAATGTGGTTTACAACAATTTTAGTCAAAAGTTTGACTAAATTTATGGTAGACTAAATTTGTAGTATCGGTTGTATGACAGACAAGATTAAGTTGAGAATCAATTTTCAATTTCAAGCTTGATATTTTCAATTTTAAGCTAGATATTTGTGACTTCTTGTGACTTGATATGACAGTGAATGACATGATCTACTGCCGATAAAAATTGTAACCCAGCAGTTAAGATCCCAATTTGTGGTTTACAGCTACTGCATACCTAGTTGCTTCAAATTCAATGAATCTAATTTTATTGCAATTTGCAATTCACTAATTTATCGAAAACTAACTAACTATTAGTTATACTTAACTTGATGAGCTTCAAACATGGCTCACCTCAGGAAGGTAAATTAATACCTGTATCACGATGGTAAATTTGTATGATATGAGATCAAATAAAAAAGTAAATGTCATGTATGTAGTGAACCGGAGGCAACGTTAAAAAGGAAATGTTATAACGATATTTCTAATATTGTTCTTGTTGTATGCAAAAACACACTAACAAAAATGTCCCCAAAACATATCCCTAGATGTAGCATATTTTAGGAAATTAATATATTTGAGAAGATCCCCATTCAGACCAATCTTTTGTATATGAAGCAAATGGCTTTTAAATATCTTTTTAAATAGCAGAATTGAATTTGACAGAAAATGATACGGTACATCATGATCATGAATATAATTTAAAATTGTAGATGCACTAAAAACAAAATTATTATTAATGATCTTAGACATTGAGAACTTAGGATATAGAAGTCTACATGATCTACTTGAAATGCTAAACCGGTGATATACATCAACAAGAATTTGTTCTTTAAGTAGCCTCATTGCAATACATCCAGTAAAGTATGTAAATAAGTTAAATAATGTTAATAATTTGAAACGAAAGAACATTGGTTTCGTATGTTGAAACTTATGGTCAATCTTTTGCGTTTTTCTACTCACAATACGAATACATTTTTTCTGCGACGGTTAATGATTATACCATTTTAGCTGAAACAAGGGTTAGAGCGAAGCCACTAGAACCATGGAAACTATTGAAGCCGCAATGGAACCGTTAAATCCAATGAAATTACACAAGCAAATGCCCGAAATGGTAAGTTTTAAATGATGGTTCGAGTAAATTGTTCATCAATTTGAGGGTTCAATGATTAATGATTATGATGATTGGATACTGCACGATTCGAAAATTTTAAAACTGTCAGTGGTGACGTTCAGATTTCAGCCGAACAAAGAAAGAAGAGATTATCATTAACTCTACTGACAATACTCCAAGAAAACGCACGTGCATTATTTTGTGCGCATAGAGGTAGTTTTCGAAATAATTAAAGCAGATTTTAAATTTAGAGTACGGGGAGAGTCATCACCATGTTTGTCATCTCGGTCTACTAGCATCATAGGCGCGGCCGATTTCGCTTTTGTAACAGCAGAGGTTTTATTTTTACTTTTAAAACTAAACAACATAAGAATAACACAGCTGAAATAGCATGGCACGAATGGTATTCCGTTATTTCTTTATCTCTTGCTACTCATAGCTGCTATCAAACCTTCGGACAATTCATAGACATATTATTAAAGTCTAAAAATAGAGAAAAAACGGACTTGAATTATACTCGCCATTGGTTAATATTATCTGTGATTTAAAGGAAAAACAGCAAAATACTGTCACGAGATGTCTGATCTCAAGATAAATCTGGATATTATACAGGGTGTCCCAAAAAGGCAATCAAGTTACTTTTGTTGCATATTATGATGCGCAAGAATCGGTGTTAAAAATGTCAGGGCAAAACTCTACCAATACCAGGAACTTGTTCATTTGCCCAATTCATTTTTTTCAGATAGCTACTGATTGGATTTCGTAAAGAGCCAATGGAGCACATTGTGTTCGGAATATTTAAACCGAATCGACCCCCAAAATGTCAAAGGAGCTCATAAAACTGTACCTGCTATCTGATACTCATTAACCCAATTAGCATCTTCACTTATAATAGTATGAAGTGTACGGATAATCAAACAAAGATCAATTATCCGATTCCAAACATATCAACCATGTATAACAGTTGGGTCAACTTCAGCGCTAATGCTATATAGTAGAGTGATCGCCCATTCCCCAAGTGTTTTAGGCCCGGATTTGTACTGAACAAGATGATGTCAATCCTTCCCAGCAGCCCAGTAGTGCTACGATCTCGTAAGGAGAAGCATTATTTGATGCGCCGCGCAGTAGTCAGTACTAGTACTCTAGTTACAGTGCATCGAGCCACAACTTCAACTATGAAGTCAGCATCTATAAGTCAGATTAGTCCAGAGTCCGGTATTAGCGAACCGAGCGCTTTTACTTAGTCTTTGCCTAGACAAATTTTATGCGTGTGACAGATTCTGTTTAACGATTTCTAGTCACGTATGTTTATCAGGTGATTAGAATTGTCCCGTGAGATTTAGAATCACATGACAATTCTAATCACGCGGTAAACATACTGGCACTGCAGTATATATAGCAGTGGTATCCAAAACTCGAAACTATTTACGTTACTACTTTTGGTTTTGAGCAGCGTGGCACCACGTGGGCTAGTTGTGCTGCTCAGGGTAATTTTCATTACTCTGAGCTTCTTTCGTTGGATTTCTGCGAAAAGTAGTTGGAGTCATTTTGACCACGGGCATCCTTTATCCCAATTAAATATGAAATTAGATCTATTTTGATCAAAAATATGAAAATAATATTTGTAGAATCCTGTTTTTCACACCCCCACCCCGTAGACTCAGAGTCCCGGTTTGTACGGCGGCGCCGAAGAGTCCCGGTCTCGTCGTAATACATATCAGGAATTTTTTTAACTGAAGAAATTCAGGATTTCTGAATTTCTACATTGTTTAAAATTTTGCTCAAATTATAACAAAATGGCCTGACAAAGAATTATCGCGTATATTGAGAACACTTTGTTCTGTACAGTCAACTGCAACGTACTTAATTCTAAAACTTCCAATAAACATGCATTGGCTGGCTGATAAGGTACAAACCTTATCGTTGCGGATTTTGTCTCTGAGTAAGGCGTCCTCATTCCTCATTTTCTGTAACTCTGCTGTAAGCGTCGCTTGTTGGGATTTCAGCTGCTCCTTTTCCCGTTTCAACGCTGAAGAAATATAAATTATTGAAGTGCTTTTTCAAAAACCGATCCTTATTTTAAGATACGAAATATCGATTAATTGACAAATAAGTATCCACTATCCATATTCCATGTCTATATTGAGGATATTTCAGGAATCAAAATTTAATTCGATATCTTTTCTCAAATAAAAAGACTTGCTTAAATTTCTCATGTCAAAATGAACGTTCCCGATATATTATGACGACTGTAGCTTTAATATACATTATACATACGTCAAAGGGCAGTCAACTCCGTTCAGGCCCTTCACACTTTGTTTCTGTCTAGTTCTAATGTACCGTCACAATAGTGACTTTAATATATAGCAGCGAAACCCTCTAAACATTTAACGTTTCTAGTTGAAACTAAACCTGTTATGTCAGTTGAGAGTGCGTATTTCTCCTTTATAGCCGAGTTCAAGTGTTGATCCAGCTCGTTAGTCGCGGACACCTTTGACATCTCCAGTTCAGCTAGTATCGCTTTGTTGCGTTCTTCTTCTTCTGTACGTGGTGTAACGTTCAGTGCGTGATCAGTAATGGTACAGCTTAATAAAATATAATATTGAGCTGATATTATTATGTACGTGGTCTGTATCTGTCATGTACGTGGGGCTCTCTCTCTCTCTCTGTTTCTAGGGAAATGCACGCTCTTATAAATATATTGAAACGTACGAGGTGTTGTTTTAAGTTTTAACTCGAGAATGTTTAGACCGGGATTTAGTGAGATACCACGCTAGTTAAATCGTTGCAACATTTATTTGGCTAAGAAGCGTCAAACTTAAAAGCTCAACCAGTTTTGTTTTCGGGAACAGATGGTAATATTTAATTTCTGACAGTTTATCACGCTCGCCAACTTATCATGTCTCACTCGTTATTAAATACAAAATGTATATGTCAAATGTTTATTATTTTTTTCGTTTCTTCAAGATAATTTATAATATTACGACCCACCATGTGTATGTGTATAGTATAACGAGAAACAAGTTTGTCCTCAACAATGTCCAAGACTACAGTTTTTAACTTTATGCTCCGATATTGGGGGAAACGTTTTTCGAGGAGAGCCGCTCAGACATGGGCACCGTATTGTGTAAATCATTTAGTTACAGTCAGTTCGTTAAAATATACAGACGGTTAACTTTGGCGAATGCCTTAGCGTCTTTAATTTTTACCATTTAAAGGCTTCACAGTCTTTAATTCAGCGCAACCCGTCTTTAAATTTGCTGGTAGAAGTAAGGTCAGTGTTTGAAATGTGCTTTATTACATCCGATCTATTTTGAGACCTGTTGTGGCGTCTTTAATTTTTCAATTTTGAAGCCTTGCCGTCTTGAATGTTTTTTCATTTGAAGGCTTTGTCTTTCAAATGTTGGAGTAGTTCGCTGTTTATTAGTCTCAAGATTGAAATACTGATAGCTGGACAGTAGACAAGGACAAATGAAACAGGAAGTTACGAATGTAGACAAATTTTCGGCGTCAACGCCATCTTCAGGCTCTTTATAAAAACAAACTGAGTGTATATACATTATACACTCAGTGTATATAAAACTGAGTGTATATACATTATACACTCAGTGTTTATTTAAACTGAGTGTATATATACATTATCTTATAAACTGAGTGTATACATTATACACTCAGTTATACATTATCTTTGCCACATAGTAGAGGGGCAGTTAACACTGTTCCGTTGGGAAGGGGGAGGTTTATATATTATGACATCTATAAAATTCAACAAATTTGCTGACCTCCTCCCTTCTTCGTCTCGCCACTCTATCAGTATAACATATTTTATACCCGTTTTAATATCTTAAAGTTGCTGAATATACATTACTAACCAGACAGACGCAACAGATTCTCAGTTTTCAAGGAAATGTCACGATCTAGACTCCCAATCTGAAACACACGTTATTTCAAGAAGAGATTGCTATTTTTATAGATAAGAAAATAAATTTCACATTGCAGAACCATAACTTTTGCCTTCGAAACTTTTGCTTTCGAAACTTTGCCTGTATATGATTAATCACGTCTACCATAATATGACGAAATTATTGTTATGTTGCTTAGGTAACTAAGTGACGTCGTATTATGATGTGGACAGTTTAATCGTTTTATAGGTAATTATAATTTATAATTACCTACATCCTCGTATAAAAGTGGTGGTCCCAAATTTAGTTATTTCGTAAGGTCGAACATTACAGTTGTTTTGGGTGTGTTTCCTTATCTTGATAGGCACTATAGTGATGCATATACAGTTTTTGTGTTTTCTTCAATACTGCTGAACGGTCAAACCTCAATATACCTAATTATTATTCAACCTCAATTTACCTTATTAGCATTAAACCTCAATTTACCTTATTAACATTAAACCTCAATTAAACACTCTTACCTTTTGCTCCAGAGTTTTGAGGTTTTCATCTAGGGCAGCTTGTTCTCCTCTCATAGTCTGAACACAGTCCTTTATCTTCTCCTCTTCTACTGTAAACGAGTCTTGTAGCTGGCCGCGTTTAGACTTTATCACTTCGAAATTATCTGAAACATTCGTTTATTTTACTGTTTTAGTAATAATATTTATTCTTGAGTAATATTTATAACTTGAATATGGGATTAGATCTGTTTTTTTTTCAAGCTTTTTCATAATTTCATTGATCACATAATTTCACCTACTATTAAGCCCATAATAAACATCCCAAATCGTGATACTTATTTTAATGTTCTCGTGATCACAAGTGCCGTTTTTGGGACCCATGACACAAACTGTTTATAAATTTTCCAGCAAATCTGTTATTTCTGTGTTAAAACGCCGAATAAAATAATTTACCTATGATGATCACCGGAGCGATAAAAAAAAGTTAATTATTAACTTCTTACCAACACGGGAAGTTTCACATTTATGTAACAGTTATCAAATGACTGCAACACTATTAATAATATGCAATACTCCTGATAGCAACTGTCAACGACGATAAATGGAACTTTTGCTTTCGCTTGGTGTGGCAGTTGCGCGGCTTCTTTGATTTGCAAGTGTAACAGTATATATAATATACTGAAATACATATTATATATATAATATATTTCTATAGAACTTGTTTTTCTGTCGTTGGATTTTGCTGAAATTGGTATGTCGTTTCTGGTAATGTTTAAGGGTGTTATTAACTTATCAACAAGAGTTAGTCAGGGTAAGGTGGACCATATTGCCGGTCATGCTGTATTATACAGCATGACCGGGTCACCATTTCATACACAGCTATATGAAGTAGTCACCCGGTCGAATAAGCACTTTCGCTTTGTGTTTTATTCGGCCTCGGGTTATCTGAGAACTGGAGGTGGAGGGGAAGTTCAGTTTGTTCAACTCATTGTGTGTACATTGTATAATGGAGCAGGGTATCAACTTGGCAATCTCCCGATCTCCGTTGAGCCAAACAATTTGGAATGTTTGTATTGATTATAATTACATTTTACTCGCGGTATGAAGCAGAAATATAAAATATTGAAAGGGACAATTCAGTAATTGTCAGTTATGTCTGACAATTTGGTCATGCGTGGGTAAATGCATAAGCTTCATTATATTTTAAAGAACGAAATGTTCATATTTTACTCGAAATTGAATACTTATTATTCTTTGGCGAATGGTTATCGGTCAAGAAACTCATCAGCGCTTTAATTATTTCTTAATGATTTACAATAATATACAGGATATCTCAGTAATAATAAACAGGATATCTCAGTAATAATAAACAGGATATCTCAGTAATAATAAACAGGATATCTCAGTAATAATATACAGGACATCTCAGTAATAATATACAGGATATCTCAGGCAATAATATACAGGATATCTCAGGCAATAATAAACAGGATATCTCAGTAATAATATACAGGATATCTCAGCAACAATATACAGGATATCTCAGTAATAATATACAGGATATCTCAGGCAATAATATACAGGATATCTCAGGCAATAACAAACAGGATATCTCAGTAATAATAAACAGGATATCTCAGTAATAATAAACAGGATATCTCAGTAATAATATACAGGACATCTCAGTAATAATATACAGGATATCTCAGGCAATAATATACAGGATATCTCAGGCAATAATAAACAGGATATCTCAGTAATAATATACAGGACATCTCAGTAATAATATACAGGATATCTCAGGCAATAATATACAGGACATCTCAGTAATAATATACAGGATATCTCAGTAATAATATACAGGATATCTCAGGCAATAATATACAGGACATCTCAGGCAATAATATACAGGACATCTCAGGCAAAAATATACAGGACATCTCAGGCAATAATATACAGGACATCTCAGGCAATAATATACAGGACATCTCAGGCAATAATATACAGGACATCTCAGGCAATAATATACAGGACATCTCAGGCAATAATATACAGGACATCTCAGGCAATAATATACAGGACATCTCAGGCAATAATATACAGGACATCTCAGGCAATAATATACAGGATATCTCAGGCAATAATATACAGGATATCTCAGGCAATAATATACAGGATATCTCAGTAATAATATACAGGATATCTCAGTAATAATATACAGGATATCTCAGGCAATAATATACAGGATATCTCAGTAATAATATACAGGATATCTCAGGCAATAATATACAGGATATCTCAGTAATAATATACAGGATATATCTCAGTAATAATAAACAGGATATCTCAGTAATAATAAACAGGATATCTCAGTAATAATATACAGGATATCTCAGGCAATAATATACAGGATATCTCAGGCAATAATATACAGGATATCTCAGTAATAATAAACAGGATATCTCAGGCAATAATATACAGGATATCTCAGGCACTAATATCAGGATATCTCAGGCAATAATATACAGGATATCTCAGGCAATAATATACAGGATATCTCAGGCAATAATATACAGGATATCTCAGGCAATAATATACAGGATATCTCAGGCAATAATATACAGGATATCTCAGGCAATAATATACAGGACATCTCAGGCAATAATATACAGGACATCTCAGGCAAAAATATACAGGACATCTCAGGCAATAATATACAGGACATCTCAGGCAATAATATACAGGACATCTCAGGCAATAATATACAGGACATCTCAGGCAATAATATACAGGACATCTCAGTAATAATATACAGGATATCTCAGGCAATAATATACAGGATATCTCAGGCCGAGATCGTTGCCAGAACCGCGATAAGCTTTATTCGGGCCGGGCCAGGGATACTTGCTATGGAAACGAGTGGGAAATAATTCGACTGGGGCCATACATCTACACTGTTCTGTTAAGCTGCAGTTCTTATCTACTCCTCTTTAATTCCTTGTTTAATTTTTAATTTCGCCAGTAATTAACCAGTCTGCATCTTATCAGGAATTTTGCAGAATTCCTGGTTGTAATTAATACAGGAACGAAATATCTTGAAAGTCGCGAAGTCAAAAATAGGCTTATTTCGCAGTATGAAATTTCGATTACGTATCAAACTATCAAAATTTAAAATCGAATGACCGAGTCCAAATAAAAACAAGAGAACCACACCTGGCCTGAGTGACCTAAACCTCTAAACATAATGCATAAGATCTTAATTTAGACACCTTATCTTATCTAATTCAGAAGGCTCCTATAATTAGTTACTTTGCCATGGGCTACATCACCGGGGGGGCAGGGGGGGCAGCTGCCCCCCCTGGGATTTGGGGGACAAGTTTACAAAAACATGAAAATTTATTCTTCAACATAACATTAAACCAGACGGCTATGGTATACAGTTTTGTTTTCGCACCCACTGCTCTGTAGCCCCACTGCACTGTAGCCCCCCCCCCCCCCTACATTGTGTTATTTTTAAATACCATGCCAGTTACCACGAACGATGGATGAATTCCGTCCAGGGGGTTGAAGAGAGAGGGAGGGAGGGAGGGAGAGTGGGAGCACAGCATGGTTGCTGCTAACGTAAATTCGTGTCCCTCAAGTGCTGGAAAATGCGTCAAAATTGTCTAATTTCCTTAAAAATTTTCCGGGGGGCTTCGCCCCCCTATCCCCCCGACGAGGGGCTCCGCCCCTTGACCCCACTGGGGGCTGCACCCCCAGACCCCTGCTATTGGGGGGGGGGGCTTCGCCCCTCTACCCCCCCACCAGGGGCTTCGCCCCCTTGCCCCCCCTGGGTTGAAGACGTGATGTAGCCCCTGTTTGCTTCTACTTTTGGAATATTGAATGTAATTTGTAATGTTGCACAATGATATTACACAATTATTATGATATTACACAATGCCACAGTTATAATCGAGGCATTGTTGAACTTAACATTCCAACAAAATTCCTTTGGGACAAATTTGAACTGATATAATTTGATAAGGGCGATAAAATTAAAAATTCCTGGCTCAATCCCTTCATGGAACTAAGGAGTAACCCCTAAGTTCCATGCCCGAATTTTCACTCAAATTTTTCACCCAAATGAAATTTGCCCGAATTTTTAACCCACATTTTTCGCTTCAACTGAAATATTCGGGCTAAAAAAATTCGTGAATTTGCGCACGAATTTTTTAAATTTCACTCAAATAATATAGTCGATGCGGTTGTAATCAATACTATAATTGCATTTCGTTGTCCTAAATGTTTCTGGGATTACCTAACGCATATCATCATAACACTAATGATAACAACGCTATTACACTACACATCGATTGCACGATTAGCCATTTTATTGAGGAGCTGCAGTGAGTCATTTTCGGGTTCCCATTTCAAGAACCAATGTTTTATTATCTGATATTTAGGACGACTGAGGAGAAGGAGGAGGAGGATTGAGGAGGACTCAGGAGAACTCAGGAGGAGGAGGACTCAGGAGGAGGACTCAGGAGGAGGAGGACTCAGGAGGAGCAGAAGGAGGAGGACTCAGGAGAAGGAGGACTCAGGAGGAGGAGGACTCAAGAGGAGGACTCAGGAGGAGGAGAAGGACTCAGGAGGACTGAGGAGGAGAAGGACTGAGAAGGAGAAGGACTGAGGAGGAGGAGGACTCAGGAGGAGGAGGACTCAGGAGGAGGAGGATTCAGTAGGAGCAGGAGGAGGAGTCAGAGGGAGGAGGACTCAGGAGGAGGAGGACTCAAGAGGAGGACTCAGGAGGAGGAGAAGGACTCAGGAGGACTCAGGAGGACTGAAGAGGACTGAGGAGAACTGAGGAGGAGAAGGACTGAGAAGGAGAAGGACTGAGGAGGAGGAGGAGGAGGAGGAGGAGGAGGAGGAGGGGGAGGAGGAGTAGGAGGAGGAGGAGGAGGACTCAGGAGGAGGAGGACTCAGGAGGAGGAGGACTCAGGAGGAGGAGGACTCAGGAGGAGGAGGACTCAAGAGGAGGACTCAGGAGGAGGAGAAGGACTCAGGAGGACTCAGGAGGACTGAAGAGGACTGAGGAGGACTCAGGAGGAGAAGGGCTGAGAAGGAGAAGGACTGAGGAGGAGGAGGAGGAGGAGGAGGAGGAAGAGGAGAAGGACTCAGGAGGACTGAAGAGGACTGAAGAGGACTGAGGAGGACTGAGGAGGACTGAAGAGGACTGAGGAGGACTGAGGAGGAGAAGGACTGAGAAGGAGAAGGACTCAGGAGGAGGAGGAGGAGAAGGACTCAGGAGGACTGAAGAGGACTGAGGAGGACTGAGGAGGACTGAAGAGGACTGAAGAGGACTGAGGACGACTGAGGACTGAGGAGGAGAAGGACTGAGAAGGAGAAGGACTGAGAAGGAGAAGGACTGAGGAGGAGGAGGGGGAGGAGGAGGAGGACTGAGGAAGAGGAGAAGGACTCAGGAGGACTCAGGCGGACTGAAGAGGACTGAGGAGGACTGAGGAGGAGAAGGACTGAGAAGGAGAAGGACTGAGGATGAGGAGGAGGAGGAGGAGGAGGAGGAGGAGGAGGAGGAGGAGGAGGAGGAGGAGGAGGAGGAGGAGGACTCAGGAGGACTGAAGAGGACTGAGGAGGACTGAGGAGGAGAAGGACTGAGAAGGAGAAGGACTGAGGAGGAGGAGGAGGAGGAGGAGGAGGGGGAGGAGGAGGAGGAGGAGGAGGAAGCATCTAACTGTTATTTCCACAACATTATTGTCTGTTTTTGTTCCGTCCTTGACCGCCCTACTTTTTGTCCGTTTTGAAAATATAGGGTACCAAACGGACAAAACGGACACAAAACATGATCCCCTCCCCAGTCCTTTTATCTTTATATTAATTTAAGTTGGTCAAACATGTTAATTGCGAAGGAATTATTCTTGACTATGAAAGTTCAAACAACTTAATTTAGATAATATGTCAACCCTATTTTCTTAAATTTACACAAAAAAGTTTATAGAAAATATATGAAGGACACTAATTTTCTTGAACTGCAAATTGGTTGTTACACTAGTTTACGTTATGTTTACGTAATTTTCATCCTAATTTAAACTTGGGTGGTCGCAGTCTCGATCTCACCCGACGCAACCGATACGCTTATCGATTTCCGCACGCAAATTATTTGGGCATGGAACATGTCACCCGAATAAATTTTTTTCACAAATAAAATTTGCCCGAATTATATTACCTACCGTATTATTTGGCCATGGAACTAGAGGGTAAGGCACTGGTATATTCAAGATAAAATTATTAATAGATTACGTCTTATACCGGAAACTCTACTGACAACCAGACGGAAAATATACTGGCCAAAATTATATTCCACTTCAGATAATTTACAAAACTTAACTGTGATGGTGTCATCGCTATAAGAGCACCTGTTGAATCACGATCAAGACGAATAGGACGATCATTTAGCGATCATTAAATCAAGGCTGAAACTTGAAAATGATGATTTGTTCACATGCTACATGCTACATGCTTATATTTATAATTTGACTTACTTTTCAATTCGGTTATGCTATTTATTTCGTTTTGTTTCTGAGCATCTAACGATTTCAGCTCCCTCGAGATATCCTCAACTTGCTCGGAGAACATCTTTTGTTTAGACTCCAGTTCCCTGGTCTCCTTTTCCAACTCGTTCTTCTTTGTGGTGTGACCCACGCTGGCTGACCTTTTCTCGCGGATATTTCGATCAAGAGTTTCGCAATCTTCCTGCAGTTGTTTAAGCTTATCTTTTCTTTGCTGTTTCTTTTCGTTGAGGCCATTTACCTCAGAAGTAAGGGTTTCTAGGGTGTCTTGTTGTCTGCATAACTCACCTGAAAGGAGCAAGATGATCAATCATCAGGATGATTTAGCTTGGATCAGCAAAAATTGGCAAAACTAACATGGCGTTGAAATCAAACATCCATTATATTATGAACAATATAGTATAATATGAGATCAAAGATATGAACAACATGGCAATGTATCGAATTTCAACTATTACTGCTTCATGTCAATACGCACATTCGTTCGTGCGCGTACTATACTGACGGCTGACGGTGGTACAAACATTGGGAAATAATTTCGGCGCCCTACTGTTTTTACTACGGAGTACCGGGTAATCTCACTGTTCCAAAGCCTTGATATGAGAACCGGTCAAAAGAGCGCGAATATTTTGCTTACTGGTCATTTTTCCGCACGGTCTTTTCCTCAAGTTCTCAAGGCCAAAAGAGACGGAACTGTCCAGTACAATAATTAATGATGAAATTAAATTCGTGTACAATGAAGATTGAAGACACGAATTAAATTTTATTGATTAATTCTCCTTTATAAAAGTTGCTATTCTAGTTGCAAAATGGCTCGTTCAGTTAAATGCTGTACAGTTATTACTGTGAACATGTAACAATTCGAATAATAGGCACCATTAGAGCATGACTCTATCTTACTATTTACCAAGGACTAATGGATCAAACTAAGCGCTAAATGTAAGTAACCTATACACACTAAAATAGGTATCTCAGCATGTTCCTACACCTAACATCTGCATAATCTTTAGAGGTCCAGATACTATCATCTTATCACTGATTTAAACAGTAACTCACTCTCTCTCTCTGAGTACAGTAGGTAAAAAGACGGCTGTTCTTACTACTGTATGATTTATATAATATGTAGTTCAGGATTTAAGATTATTATTATTTACTATGTAAATAATAGCGGGTTACGTGAGGGTAGGTGTTGGAATAAAACACAAAGCCATTAGCTACAATTCTGACAAAGTCTCTAAGCCACAATTCTGACTAAGTCTCTAAGTATGTTTAGCTGTTCAATATGCACCATGCGGCAGACTCTGCTTTGTAATGGTAATACAGTCCTCCATTGTGTTCATCTCATCACGGTACATGTGTATTTTGTAAAGGTCAGGAAGCTTATAACTTTATAAAAGAGAACTGTCCGACTATTTCTGACATAAAACTCCCCTTTTTAAGTTTAATACTGAGGTTTTGTAGACCCTTTTAGAGTACTTACTCTTTACAGAATCTTTTTCCCTCACAATTCCGCCCAGCTCGGACGTTAAGCTTGATAGTCTCGTTTCAGTTTCCTTGAATTTCGATGCCACAGACTGCAGCTCTGAGTTCATGGTTTGTTTTTCTCTTTCAAGCTGGCTGAGCGAATCCTGCAGTTGTAATATTTGGAATGTTATCTAGCAGTTGTAATATTTGTACGTTTATTTCAACGTTATTTAGCTATCATTAACTAAACAAGTTTGGATAGTTAACATTTAAATTAGAGTATTTAAATAACATGCTCTAATGACCTGAACATGATAACGTGATCAATAAGTAATCCACACTTAACGGTCCCTTTAGGGCCTAATGTTATCTAGTAAACTAATCTAAACCCTAGCCATAATAATATGTAAACTAGTAAACTAAACCCTAGCCATAATAATGTGTAAACTAGTAAACTACAAACCATGTAAACTAGTAAACTACAAACCTTGTAAGCTAATAAACTAAACAAACCATGTAAACTAGTAAACTACAAACCTTGTAAGCTAATAAACTAAACAAACCTTGTAAACTAGTAAACGACAAACCTTGTAAGCTAATAAACTAAACAAACCTTGTAAGCTAGTAAACTAAACAAACCTTGTAAACTAGTAAGCTACAAACCTTGTAAGCTAGTAAACTAAACAAAACTTGTAAACTAGTAAACTACAAACCTTGTAAACTAGTAAACTACAAACCTTGTAAGCTAGTAAACTAAACAAACCTTGTAAACTAGTAAACTACAAACCTTGTAAACTAGTAAACTACAAACCTTGTAAACTAGTAAACTAAACAAACCTTGTAAACTAGTAAACTAAACAAACCTTGTAAACTAATAAACTAAACAAACCTTGTAAACTAATAAACTAAACAAACCTTGTAAACTAGTAAACTACAAACCTTGTAAACTAGTAAACTACAAACCTTGTAAACTAATAAACTACAAACCTTGTAAACTAGTAAACTACAAACCTTGTAAACTAATAAACTAAACAAACCTTGTAAACTAATAAACTAAACAAACCTTGTAAACTAGTAAACTACAAACCTTGTAAACTAGTAAACTACAAACCTTGTAAGCGCCAATATTTTTCACAACCTCCTTCATATCATACTGAGCTGCTATCTTTTTCTCATTTATCTCCTCTATCTGTGAGCTTAGTTCTCGAACTTTCTCTTCAGTCTTTTGCAGAAGATCGTTCCTGTTGAGGAGGACATATGTTATAGTGGCATGGTAGTTGTATGAATTGATAAAGAGATAATTCATAATGGCCAATTCTGTCTAATTATCATTACATCTCTGTCCAATTATAATTATATTTCTGTCTAATTACATAATATTTCTGTCTAATTATAATTATATTTCTGTCTAATTACAATTATATTTCGGTTCTTTTGCGATAGTCAAAACGCGACAACTAGCGCTGGATGGCGACAACTAGCGCTATCCAGCGCTAGTTGTCGCCATCCAGCGCTAGTTGTCGCTATCCAGCGCTGGATAACGCTGGCCAGCGCAAAATATATTTGTTCGATAATTGTCGCTATCCAGCGCTAGTTGTCGCCATCCAGCGCTAGTTGTCGCCATCCAGCGCTGGTTGTCGCTATCCAGCGCTAGTTGTCGCTGGCTATGCGACACTGTCGCACGCGATAGTTTGCGATGGCCAGCGCAACTGGCCATCGCAGAAAACAGTTCGATAACTAGCGCGCTGGCCAGCGCTGGCTAGCGCTGGATAGCGACAACTAGCGCTGGATGGCGACAACTAGCGCTGGCCAGCGCTTGTTGTCGCTATCCAGCGCTAGCCAGCGCTGGCCAGCGCTGGCCAGCGCTATCCAGCGCTAACCAGCGCAAAGTATCAATTTTTGATTAATTTTCGATAAATTTTCGATAATTTTCGCGACAAATAGCGCTGGATAGCGACAACTAGCGCTGGCCAGCGCTGGCCAGCGCTAAGCGATAGCCAGCGCTGGCCAGCGCTGGCCATCGATAGCCAGCGCAACATTTTTGCGATATTATTCGTCAGCTAGCGCTGGCCAGCGCTATCCAGCGCTATCCAGCGCTAACCAGCGCTGGCCAGCGCTATCCAGCGCTAACCAGCGCTGGCCAGCGCTATCCAGCGCTAGCCAGCGCTGGCCAACGCTAGCCAGCGCTAGCCAGCGCTAGCCAGCGCTAGCCAGCGCTGGCCAGCGCTGGCCAGCGCAATGTATCAAAATCATATACTTGCGATATTACTCGTCAGCCAGCGCTGGCCAGCGCTAACCAGCGCTGGCCAGCGCTATCCAGCGCTAACCAGCGCTAACCAGCGCTGGCCAGCGCTATCCAGCGCTAACCAGCGCTATCCAGCGCTAGCCAGCGCTGGCCAGCGCTAGCCAACGCTAGCCAGCGCTAGCCAGCGCTAGCCAGCGCTAGCCAGCGCTAGCCAGCGCTAGCCAGCGCTGGCCAGCGCAATGTATCAAAATCATATACTTGCGATATTACTCGTCAGCTAGCGCTGGCCAGCGCAATGTATCAAAATCATAAACTTGCGATATTACTCGTCAGCCAGCGCTGGTCAGCACTAACCAGCGCTAGCCAACGCTAGCCAGCACTGGCCAGAAACCCCCTCCCCCTCAGCTGATTACATAATATGTGATCGATCCCCATCCCAAAGTATCGGTTTTAAATATTTGCGATATCACTCGTCGGCGCGCAGTTACTGTTAGCGCTAGCTAGGATCAATTACAAATTAGCTTACCTGGGGACCTCAAAATATTATGTTCATATTAATCATAAACATATCCCGAATAGAGATTAGGAGAAATGACAGCAGACAGGCTGAGCATGGCCCAGTAAAATTAGTATAAAGGGTCGTTCACATATTACGTAATCAGATAGCTGAGGGGGTTTCCAAATGATGACCCTAATCTCTACTATAATTCAGAGAATTATTTCTGATGTAGAATGTCTTTATGTACGACCACCCACGTGCAAAACAAACGAAAAATATGAATTTAGGTAACAACCAAAACGTTCCATAGCAACGGTGTTTTAATGCGCACGTGCACGTGCAAAGATTGTTTTAACGTCATTTTGATCGGTTTTGTTGTTACTATGTTGTGTTTAAAGTGTTTTATATTTAAATCGGCTGTATCTTCGGTTAGGATGGATATTTTTTGATGCGATTAAAACTTTCTTTCAAAGAATACTATTAGCTTCGTCCCTGTAGTAGAGGATCTTACGGGCATTGTCTGCTCGATACGCTAGGGACCCCAGATACACCTTTCTAGACGTATTTTTGACCGTAGAATCGATTAAAAGTGGTTTCGAGATGATTGGACTGAGTTTACGCGGGTAAAATCGCAAAAAAACCGATTTTTGGGCAAAAAATAGGCCAAAAAACCATGTTTTTTGATATTTTGAACAAGTTAATTTTGTTGGCATGTCGGCAAAACTTGCATGGAAATAGCTAAAACACAGCCGCACAAGATGGTTTAAAAATTTTAAAAATCCCTCTGTTTTTACGCGGGTAAAAATCCAAAAAAGTGGTAAAAATTTTGACTTTTTTGCTTGAAGTTTGAATAATTTTTTGCAGTTGTATTAAATCAACCCAAAAATAGTCACATCGTGTTTGCCTAAATTTTTCCTTTCCGAGAAGTACCCACTTCATATACTTTATCGAAGTTTGAATATTGTCACTCCGCAAGCGTTTTTGCCAAATTTTCGACGCGCACTACGCGCAAAAGCATTTAGTTGTTATCAATTGGCACCCGCGCGTTCATCATAAATTTCAAACAGCTATAACTCAACGAGATTATGTCCGTTCTAGCTCATATTTTCACACTAAATAGAAAATAATGTGATCTTATTGCTGACAAAATATGAATATAATTACTCTATTTGCCTTGGAGTAATAGACTGTCAAAGTTTAAAACGCGCATTGGTATAGCACGTGACTAATAAGGCCAAATTTATACTTCTTAAGGCCACAGGGGGGGGTCCGAGGTCGATTTTGAGATTTTTAGATATGTTGTAGAGCTCGATCTAAATTTTCAAATGCTTTTGTCCTTACCGAAAACAAAGTTTCCTATTCGAAGCTATCGCGCGTTGAATTTTGAGGTTTACCTGTAATTCTATTGTAAATGAAAACTTTAAATGAAATCGTGTTCAAAATCTATCTTCTTTTTTAGTTTATAACTTAGAACCTTGTAACTTGGCAACAATGTTCTTCAAGGTATTTTGAGTTTTTGTTATGTAACGATTTATGATATCTTGCTCCAAAGCTGAGATTTGAGGTTAACCATGAGTGCGGGTTACAAAATTTAAAATGGTTAACCTCATAGAAAGAGTTAGGAGCAAAATTACAACAATCGTTACATAACAAACTTTTAAATTTATGTCAGGAACATAAGTTCCAAATTTGAGGTGAAATGGATAAAAACTCTAGGAGAAGATAGATTTTGAAGTCAAAAATTCGAGGTTTTCAGGAGAGGCAAAAAACTGTTTTTATGTTATGTGATTTTTGAGTATTTTGCCTTTATTTGTATATTTTTCAAAGTTTAACTGCTGAAATAACACAAAAACAATAAAAACAAAGCTTATCGTAGTTTTCAGTTGTAATGGCATCAATATTTCTGCCCTCCATTATCGATTTATCAAAAAAATGAGGTTAACTTTAGTCACTAAATACATGGTATGGCTTTTATTTGTAGTTCCATATGTTATATACTGTAGTTTTTGATACACTTAAGGAGATTTAATCCCTGAAACACCATTTCCTGCAAGTACTACATATTAATGATGCAAATTTGAGGTTAACTGATATTCAAATGTGAGGTTAACCGCTATTAAGGTTCCATTAAAGTTGCTGTATTACAAGTTGAAATAAGTTGGTTAACCTCATTTTATCGTATGTTAATGGTCAATATTGCTTGCAAGGAATAGTTGTTTCAAATCATATTTTTCTCGTGATCAATCTTCCCAGCAAATATATAACTTACTAATGTCTTGAGTTCGATTAAAAATTAGACAATTATGTATGTTTTATAGTGGTAACAATTTACCTGGTTAACCTCATTTTTTAGATTTTCTGTAGATTTGAAGTAATACATTAGTACGAGATACGTTTTGAAATTAAAATGCACTGAACTTACTTTATGAATGATGATAACTTTCATCTTAGTCCTTCTCGATATCAATGAAATAAGAGGTTAACCTCGTTTTTACCGACTTTGGGTCCTTCATTTTCAACCAATTGCGAAACAAAATTAGGATTCATTATTTGTTGATCGAAACAACAAAATATCTTGGCATGAAATCAATTCTAGGCATCAATTTCGTTACCCTCAATATTGCATAGTCAATTTCGGAAGAATTGGTTAACCTCATTTATTAAAAAAAGTAAAATAGCTACAGACAAATGAGTGGTGGCAAAGTATCCACCACAAAAATATATATTGATTCAAAGCATAATATTTTTTTGCATTTTTTGAAGCCTCGACCCCCCCCCTGTGGCCTTAACATATTATCGATCCTTAGACATCATACTATTGTGTGCAATTAGCGGTTAGGTTTCTAAACTCGTAGCAGAAAACACGTCTTTTTGCCCGTAAGAGCCTCTACTACTGTTACCAAGGGCTTTCTAGTCTCTACTATAATTCAAAGAATTATTTATGTAGAATGTAAAATGTATGTACGACCGCCCACATGCAAATTAGATGAGAAATAGGAATTTTCATTGTAACCGTAGTGACTGGGGTTGTTTTACGCACGTGCACTTGTAGGTTAACAACCTACCAGGCTGGACGCGCGCCGAGTTGGAACAGATATTTTATTTATTCGGCGTCGCGCGCTTCGCAACGTATGTCAAATATTTTACGAGTATCACCCTTTAAACGTGCACGTGCAATTATTGTTTTAACTTAATTTTAATCGGTTTTGTCAATATTAAGTTGTGTTAAGTGCGAGCAACATTTTCTAAAAAAATCTAAATCTAAATCTAATCGGCTGTATCTTTGGTTGTGACGGATATTTGTGGGATATTTTTTGACGCGATTTAAACTTACTAACAAAAAATACTAACAGCTTCCTCCCTATGACCACGGGTTTTCTAGTAGTTTCCTAGTAGTAATATAATTTGATATTACGGAGTGGCCGTAAAAACGTTCCAAAAAAGATTACTTAACAATAATGTGTGAAGTGAACGAACGACCCCTTACGCTAACTGGCGCAATTATATATATAATTATATCCTGCGCAGCTGTATCGTAGCTTTCGCCACAACACTTGGTGAAACGACAAAAGGGGTCATGACGTGATCAGTGATACAAACCAATTTTATATATGACATTGGTTTTTTACTGTTGTTTCAGGTTTGTATTATTATTACGTTTAATTACGCGACGCACTTATTGCATTTGTTTCATTTTCAAAAAGATAATCGACGGTCGCAAGCTCGACACAGGGGTGCCATAGTTGATAGTGCAAAGAAACTGTTGCTAACTTTGCACTATTATATGGCACCACTGTGTCGATCGATCGTCATCGATCGGCGCTGCCGCTAGCTACTTCAACTTCAAGTTCAAGCGTGATTCGTGAAAAAGCCCTTGCCTGGAAGTAAGTAAAGTGGTTACTGCAGTAATTTTTTTTAAACTGGGCGTTTAACTATAGTGCAAAGAAACTGCTGCTTAGTTAGCAGTTAGCCGAAGTTTATTTGCACTATGATCATTTTGTGCATCCAATAAGGTTTCCTGACCGTACTAGGATTCACGATCGAAAAGAGAGCCGCGCATAATATATATGTAATAGAATTTAGCGCGTTGAGTAAAGTCTGCTAATATAGCTGTGTATTGCATACTGAGCCACATACTGGGGACCGCAGGCTATCATCTTCATAAACACAGAAAATAGGAATGAGGCCAAATGACAAATTGAGCTTTACCTAGGGACCCCAGGCTACTATGTTTATAAACATAGAATAGAGATAAACATAGAATAGAGATCCCGCGGAATGACAGGCTGAGCGCCGCCCAGTAAGTTGAGCTCCGCCCAGCTAGTGAGCCAACGCTAGCTGACGATTGTAAATGTACGTTTATAACCGTTCCTTTACATATAAATGCGCACCGAGTTGGACTTGGATTTGAAAAAATATTTCCAATTTAACGAGTATCACCCGCGTTAAGCTGACAAGAAATATCGCAAATATATTGCGCTGGTCAGTCAGTGTCAGCTGACGATAAATGATATCGCTAATATTTGATTTTGGTATATTGCACTGGCCAGCACTAACCAGCGCTAGCCATCGATTAATATCGCAAATATTTGATTTTTATAACTTGCACTACCTAGCGCTGGTTTGTGGTTGACGAGTAATATTGCAAGTATATGATTTTGATGCATTGCGCTGGCCAGTGATGGCCAGCGCTGGCTAGCGTTGGCTAGCGCTGGCCAGCGCTGGCTAGCGCTGGATAGCGCTGGCTAGCGCTGGCTAGCGCTGGTTAGCGCTGGATAGCGCTGGTTAGCGCTGGCCAGCGCTGGCTGACGAGTAATATCGCAAGTATATGATTTTGATACATTGCGCTGGCCAGCGCTAGCTGACGAGTAATATCGCAAGTATATGATTTTGATACATTGCGCTGGCCAGCGCTGGCCAGCGCTGGCTAGCGCTGGCTAGCGCTGGCTAGCGCTGGCTAGCGCTGGCTAGCGCTGGCTAGCGCTGGCTAGCGCTGGCTAGCGCTGGCTAGCGCTGGCTAGCGTTGGCTAGCGTTGGCCAGCGCTAGCTGACGAATAATATCGCAAAAATGTTGCGCTGGCTATCGATGGCCAGCGCTGGCTATCGCTTAGCGCTGGCCAGCGCTAGTTGTCGCTATCCAGCGCTATTTGTCGCGAAAATTATCGAAAATGTATCGAAAATTAATCAAAAATTGATACTTTGCGCTGGTTAGCGCTGGATAGCGCTGGCCAGCGCTGGCTAGCGCTGGATAGCGACAACAAGCGCTGGCCAGCGCTAGTTGTCGCCATCCAGCGCTAGTTGTCGCTATCCAGCGCTAGCCAGCGCTGGCCAGCGCGCTAGTTATCGAACTGTTTTCTGCGATGGCCAGTTGCGCTGGCCATCGCAAACTATCGCGTGCGACAGTGTCGCATAGCCAGCGACAACTAGCGCTGGATAGCGACAACCAGCGCTGGATGGCGACAACTAGCGCTGGATGGCGACAACTAGCGCTGGATAGCGACAATTATCGAACAAATATATTTTGCGCTGGCCAGCGTTATCCAGCGCTGGATAGCGACAATTAGCGCTGGATGGCGACAACTAGCGCTGGATAGCGCTAGTTGTCGCCATCCAGCGCTAGTTGTCGCGTTTTGACTATCGCAAAAGAACCTATATTTCTTTCTTATCATCATTATATTTCTGTATAATTATAATTATATTTCTGTCTAATTACCATTACATCTCTGTCTAATTATAATTATATTTCTGTCTAATTACAATTATATTTCTGTCTTATCATCATTATATTTGAACTGTATAATTATAATCATATTTCTGTATAATTATAATCATATTTCTGTCTAATTATCAGTATATTTCGGTATAATTATCAGTATATTTCGGTATAATTATCATTATATTTCTGTCTAATTATCAGTATATTTCTGTCTAATTATCAGTATATTTCTGCCTCATTATCAGCATATTATGTCTGTCTAACTGTCAAACTGTATATATCACAAGACGTACATTCCTCACATCGCACTGCTTAATTATGAAGTTGTCTCCTAATCACTTGCCGCTTGATAAACGTCAAAGAATACAGCGTATCTAGGCCTAACTAAGGTTAACAAACACTTCTTACAATTTGCTCTTATATACTGTAAACTACGAGGTAATGGCCGCATTTCGCAACTTTTGGTACGACGTTTTTTATACACCGTGCTTTCTTGGAATAACTTACATAGTTTCACGTGGATCGCCTGCATTGTCTGGTAATGCAAATCAAGAAAAGATGTTGACCTAGGGTGGTAGCAGTGCCAAGGTAGCGGCTTCTAATGAATTAATTGGCAAAGCTATGAATAAAACAATGTACTGAGACTCGTGCCACCTCCGAGATCCGAAAGTCGAAACTAAGTAAGCTATTCCAAGAATCCGCTCGCGCTGTGGATTCATGTACTCTTGTTCGACACGTCGTACTGTAGTTAGACCACTAAATTTCGCCAGAAATCACCCCTGTGAAACTTGGATACGTGTCCAGGTAGTGAACCCTAGTTCAATATGTTCCCTCCATTATCTTCCTGTCATCCAATGTTCTCTGGTCGAACTTAGTTACGTGTCGAACTAAGTTACGTGTCGGACTAGGGTACGTGTCGAACTAGGGTACGTGTCGAACTAGGGTACGTGTCGAACTAGGGTACGTGTCGAACTAGGGTACGTGTCGAACTAGGGTACGTGTCGAACTAGGGTACGTGTCGAACTAGGGTACGTGTCGGACTAGGGTACGTGTCGAACTAGGGTACGTGTCGAACTAGGGTACGTGTCGAACTAGGGCACGTGTCGAACTAGGGTACGTGTCGAACTAGGGTACGTGTCGAACTAGGGTACGTGTCGAACTAGGGTACGTGTCGAACTAGGGTACGTGTCGAACTAGGGTACGTGTCGAACTAGGGTACGTGTCGAACTAGGGTACGTGTCGAACTAGGGTACGTGTCGAACTAGGGTACGTGTCGAACTAGGGTACGTGTCGAACTAGGGTACGTGTCGAACTAGGGTACGTGTCGAACTAGGGTACGTGTCGAACTAGGGTACGTGTCGAACTAGGGTACGTGTCGAACTAGGGTACGTGTCGAACTAGGGTACGTGTCGAACTAGGGTACGTGTCGAACTAGGGTACGTGTCGAACTAGGGTACGTGTCGAACTAGGGTACGTGTCGGACTGGGGCACGTGTCGAACTAGGGTACGTGTCGGACTGAGGCACGTGTACACAGTACATGATCAGTATAGCCAGACTGGTCACTGGTATGCAGCATGAAGCAGGTGACATCTGACAGATACATTCTTTAAACAGCACGTTGTGATGAAGCCTTGTGTTTACTAATCTCTAAGACTTTAGACTGTATGTGAGTGCTATTAGCTTACACAGTGTTATTATAATATAGTGCTATTACTCTATTACAGGCCGATAGACTATAAGCTCAAATGTTAAATATTGCAGTTATAATTTGTTAGCTTTAGCATTCATTTTTTGTGCTTGTATTCACACACACAAATTTTTCGTGGTACACACCAGATGACTCTGAATGGCTATTACATTGTACCATACATACCATATTGTTCCATATTGTACCATATTGTACCATATTGTACCATATTGTACCATAACACCATTGTAGTGTGATATTATTATACCCCTCACCTGTTCTCAATTTGTTTGTCCAACTGCTGCTTGAGCATCTCATTCTGCCGCTCACTCTGGGTCTCCTCCAACTTGAGCTGATGAAGTTGAGTCTGTCTCTCCCGTATCTGTCCGTCCAGCTCGGTCAGCGCTGCTTCCCGCTCCCTTTGGCGTGTTTCTAAACCCGAGATCTCCTGCTCCTTCCGCTGAAACAACAAGATATAATGGTGTGAATGAGAGAGTGAGATGGTCTTCTCAGAACATCGTGTTCTGGGAACCCGGGAGAGATTACATTTATTAGGTCATGGCATCATTATTATGACGTATACAAATTTTATGATGCAAACATGTCTTAATCGGCCGTATTGATAAATTGGCTTCGTTGTAACTTTATCCTTTGAACTCTGTCTCTCTTATTCGATAGGCAGTTGTTAAGATCAGAAATTAGATTACTTTGGGGTGTAGAGAGAATACCTTAGCTATTCATAGAAATGATTCAGAACTGAAATTGTAATTTATAAATAGATCGTTTGGGAGTTAGTGTTGATGCTAGGATGTTCCGTGCTCGTTTGCTAGGTTACAGAATTCAATTTCTCTTGAATATTTCTTTGAACTCTCAATTCCACGTGAGGTAACATGTACAACTTGATTTTTTAATTTCTAGAAATATTCTAATTTTAGGAATGCCTGATCTGTGGTCGCAATAGACCTAGTACGCGACCACAAATCATAGATTGCTAGCACAATGCCACGTTATTATTAGTAATTCCAATCGCTATTTCCTGGAACTCTGCCAGTCACATAGAAATAACGTAATCGCAACTCGTGATAGCAGCTCAAACGGAATAACTTGGCAATGATTCCCGCTTCTCATTCGTTCAAATGTTCTTCTTTGTTAATTGGGTGATTAGATAGACCACTACCAGTTCTGACGAATTTGGCATTGCTCTATTTAGGACGGGTATTAAGTTTCATGGATATTTCGGTACATGGATCCCCTTGACCTTGGCTCTTATCACTAGTTCATACAAATTGCTACATTGAGTACTTTCTCGCTTTACAACTAACGCTTTTGAGTTTTCTGGTATTTGCTTGAACCCTTCAGTCTAAAATTTTCCGTTCAACGTGTCCTTGTTCGGTGACAAACCATTCCTAATAGATTTTACTACATTAGACAATGCCTTTGTCAGCTATGTGATCAGAAGGTGCGATTATACAATGATAGAATGTAGTAGAATGGTAATCGCACTATATACTATATAGTGACAACACTATATAGTGACAAGCACTTTATAATGACAGCTGATATTTGTCACTATATAGCGTGCAAAACGCACTATATAGTGACAGCACCATATAGTGACAGGTTAATCTTATATCGACTTTTCTTTACTTTTCACTCCACTCTACTTTACTTTAATTCTACTTTACTCCACTTTACTAATTCTTTAAATTATGATTCCGTGTACTGTCAGGAGTTGGTTAATCAAGACACTTATTTTACTTCGGTGATCCAAGTACGTACACGTTGGAAGGTGTTCCGAATACAAAGTGCATGATCTTATAGTCACTATTCAGATTATAGTCTCCTCGGATTTCCCAGTCTTTAGTCTTATTTCTGAGAAACTAGTACGGTAAAGTTGATTGATTGTACCGGAAATTTAAGAATCCAGATCAATCTGCCTGGAATACCAGGTTGATGTATGTGACTTCAGCTAATTGGAAAGAAAGCGGTAATATCGCTTATTTCCTGGAATTTACAGAATGTCACTATAAAGTGCTTGTCACTATATAGTGTTTTCACTATATAGTGGGAGAATCTAGTAGAATAATTTCAAATACAGCAAACTTAATTCAGAATATTATAATGGTTTTATCGATAGCTTATAAAGAGATATGTAGCAGTCAGCCGCTAAAGGTAGTTAATATCCTTGTGTTAGTTTGCTATGTAGCAGTCAGCCGCTAAAGGTAGTTAACTTCTTTGTGTTAGCAGTCAGCCGCTAAAGGTAGTTAATATCCTTGTGTTAGTTTATGTAGCAGTCAGCCGCTAAAGGTAGTTAACTTCCTTGTGTTAGCCGCTAAAGGTAGTTAACTTCCTTGTGTTAGTTTCGCTAAAGGTAGTTAACTTCCTTGTGTTAGCCGCTAAAGGTAGTTAACTTCCTTGTGTTAGTTTCGCTAAAGGTAGTTAACTTCCTTGTGTTAGTTTAGCCGCTAAAGGTAGTTAATATCCTTGTGTTAGTTTAGCCGCTAAAGGTAGTTAATATCCTTGTGTTAGTTTAGAGTTAAGAGATATGTAGCAGCCAGCCGCTAAAGGTAGTTAATATCCTTGTGTTAGTTTGCTAATAATATCACACGGATACAGACATAATATCATGATCTCAATTCATTTTATTTCATGTTGAACGATAAAATAAATAAAAGCAATGTGAACCGTGGTTGTTGTAATGCTCGTCTCTTCGAACACTTGTTTCTTCTGCCTCATTTCTTCTTCAAAGGCTCTTCGTTCATGTTTGAGGTTTAGTTGAGTTTGTGCAGCCTGAAATACAAACTATTTAAGGGATTGAATTATGTTAATTTTGGTATTACAGTCATTAGGTAAGAGTGGACAATTTTAAGTTGAACGACTAGATTCGATTTTCAAGAACGAAACATAGATTTATCCCACTAGAAGTTGACTGTTTTAAAAAACTTTAAACGGTGCTGTACGCAAAAATCTTACAAATAATGTTTCCGTGAAATAAGGCGAATATAAATGGACGAAATATTCAGACCAAAGACTGACTTACATTGATAAAGAATATAAGCCATTAACTTTGACCAGTTTAAACAAATCGGAATGCTTTGTTTGAAATACAAGAAGACAACAGCCACTTGTAAAAATCATTTTTTTGTTAGTTTCTAAGCCATGAACAAGTCACATGATACAGAAAAAATGCCATTTTAAATGTTCTTTATCAATCACTGGATCCACCTTCTCATACTAAAATACTTTCAGTGTAGTTCATTATTCGTTAGAACTTGCAACGTCACACGCTACTTCTTTATTCTATTGCGAAAATCTTTCCGCGGAAGATATTTCTTTAAGAAAAACTTTCTTTAGAAGCACGTTTTACACAATTATGACTACAGTCTCCACGTTTAAAGTGTTGATACATTCTTAAGGCCCATACAAAAACTATATTATTAAGGCCCATACACCAAAACAGATGGTTGCAAGATGGTCATTGAACTTCATGTGTAGTCATTTGGGCTGGACAGATTTGGTGTATGGGCCTTTAATACATTTCTGATACAGTGTTGCTACATTCTTTTGTTTCATAATACAGTTTGTATAATTCTTTACTGTAATTTCTTTTTTACAAAGCAAACGCACAGAATAAAAACTCTGAAGCAATCATTCGGCCATCCACGTATAGTTAGGGCAAGAGTTGATTTTTCTGTGAACAAATTCGTAACAAAGGTTTGTCTACTGGAATGTGTTGTCCATAGTCCCAGGAACCACCAAAAAAAAACCGTCCAGCTGAAACTTTTGGGCAAAAATTTTTATAGTCATTTTTCTCCAGGAACCCATACGCCCCACCCCTAATATTGGTTATTCGGCTCCCGAAGGTCTTGAGATCTCCATAGGGGGTGCAAAATGACCGCAATGGCCACATTATGGCAGGCGAATGATAGTTTCAGAACGATTGGAGCTTTATTTTTCGAAATAAATGGAATTTTTCGAAATTTTTCTCAATTTTATTGAAATTTCGAAAAAAATACACCAAATTATTTTTAACGCTTATTTCAAATCTTACTCGGGAAATAACTTCAATTAACAAATATCAAGGTTAACTAACAAACAACAGATTATTGACCAACCCCCAGACAGCTATTCGACGGCACATGCTACTCTGGTTGAATGTCTTAAGTTATCCTACAGTGAGCCGATGATAATCACATTCGATTTGCCAATGTGTGGATTAAGGCCACCCGAATAGTACTGGAAACTGGGATGCCTATTGTGGTCAGGGTTGGGGGCTTCCACACTCTCACGAGTTTTCTTGGCTGCATAGGCTATATAATGGCAGACTCGGGTTTAGAGGAGCTCATCAAACTCGTGTATCCTGGAGACGTCAAGCATATATCGGATGGAGGATCTTACTATAAAGCGTTGAGAGCCCACTTTCTGATCGACGCCGCTCTTTTTTATTTGTTGTTTCATTATAGAGGAAGAAGTTTACGACGAGGAACTAGTAGACTTGAAAGGTTACATCAACAAATGTGTGAACGAAAATATAGGTGTTAACTTTAAGACTAAATTTATTCAGGATCTATCAGAGAAAATAACTCTGCTTCCTGCTTCTAAAGGGGGGGGGGGGGGGGGGGGGGGGGGATCATGTTTTTTGTCCGTTTTTGTCCGTTTGGCAGCCATATTTTCAAAACGGACAAAAAATAAAGCGGAAAAAAACGGACAAAAACGGACAAAAAATAACAAAAATTGAAATAACATTTAGATGCTTCCTCCTCCTGGGTCCTCCTCCTCCTCTTCATCCTCCTCCTCTTCCTCCTCAGTCCTCAGTCCTTCTCCTCAGTCCTCCTCCTCATCCTTCTCGTCAGTCCTCCTCCTCCTCAGTCCTCCCCCAGTCCCCCTCCTCCTCCTATTCAGTCCTCCTCCTCCTCCTCCTCAGTTCTCCTCCTTCTCATTCCTCCTTCTGAGTCCTCCTCATTCCTCCTTCTGAGTCCTCCTCCTCCTCTTTCTCCTGAGTCCTCCTCCTGGGTCCTCTTTCTCCTCCTCCTCCTCAGTCCTCCTCCTCCTCCCTCTCAGTCATCCTCCTCAGTCATCCTCCTCAGCCATCCTCCTCAGCGATCCTCCTCAGCGATCCTCCTCAGTACTCCTCAGTCCTCCTCCTTCTCAGTCCTCCTCAGTCCTCCTCCTCAGTCATCCTCCTCCTCCTCCTGAGTCCTCCTCCTGGGACCTCCTCCTCTTAGGTCCACCTCCTCTTCATCCTCCTCCTCTTCCTCCTCAGTCCTCAGTCCTCCTCCTCAGCTCAGTCCTCCTCCTCATCCTTTTCCTCAGTCCTCCTCCTCCTCAGTCCTGCCCAGTCCCCCTCCTCCTCCTATTCACTCCTCCTCCTCCTCCTCCTCCTCCTCCTCCTCCTCAGTCCTCCTCCTTCTCAGTCCTCCTCCTCCTCCTCAGTCCTCCTCCTCCTCAGTCATCCTCCTCAGTCCTCCTCCTCCTCATCCTGGGTCCTCCTCCTGGGTCCTCCTCCTCCTGGGTCTTCCTGATCCTCATCAGTCCTCTTCCTCCTCCCCTCCTCAGTCCTTCTTTCACTCCTCCTCGTCCTCAACAGTCCTCCTTCTCCCCAGTCCTCCTCCTCCTCCTCCTGGGGCCTTTTCCTGGGTCCTCCTCCTGGGTCCTCATCCTCCTGGGTCCTCCTCCTCCTGCTTCTCCTCCTCAGTCCTTCTCCTCCTCAGTCCTTCTCCTCTTCCTCCTCCTCCTCAGTCTTCCTCATATTCCTCAGTCCTCCCCCAGTCACCCTCCTCCTCAGTCCTCCCCCAGTCACCCTCCTCCTCATCCTCATCCTCCTCATCAGTCCTCCTCCGCCTTCTCAGTCCTCCTCTTCAGTCCTCCTCCTCCTCCTTTTCCTGGTTCCTCCTCCTCAGTCCGCATTCTCCTCCTCAGTCCTTCTCAGTCCTTCTCCCAGTCACCCTCTTCCTCATCCTCCTCATCAGTCCTCCTTCTCCTTAGTCCTCCTCCTCAGTCCTCCTCCTCCTCCTCCTGGGTTCTCCTCCTGGATCCCTCTTCTCCTCCTCAGTCCTTCTCCTCCTCCTCAGTTATCCTCCTCATATGAACCTTATATGTTGTAACTGTTCTGTCGATGTGGAACAGGCCTGTTTGACTTTCAGATGTTCATGTAGGAAATATGGCTTCAATTGTTTGCCAGCTTGTGGACGATGCCATGGTATGAACTGCACAAACATTAGACATGATGAACCTGAAGAACAAGCGAATTTTGATTAATATTAACTGTGTATTAATAATTGTCATGGTACTTACTGAGAATACACATTTTAGATTAACTGTATTTGTTATTTGTAGATAAGTTTTTAAATAGATTTGAAATAAGCGTTAAAAATAATTTGGTGTTTTTTTTTCGAAATTTCAATAAAATTGAGAAAAAATTCGAAAAATTCCATTTATTTCGAAAAATAAAGCTCCAATCGTTCTGAAACTATCATTCGCCTGCCATAATGTGGCCATTGCGGTCATTTTGCACCCCCTATGGAGATCTCAAGACCTTCGGGAGCCGAATAACCAATATTAGGGGTGGGGCGTATGGGTTCCTGGAGAAAAATGACTATAAAAATTTTTGCCCAAAAGTTTCAGCTGGACGGTTTTTTTTTGGTGGTTCCTGGGACTATGGACAACACATTCCTGTAGACAAACCTTTGTTACGAATTTGTTCACAGATTGACCCATAAACAGCAATTCTTGCCCTAACTAGTACATTATTTCACTACGACAAAATCTGCGGTGGATAATAAGATTTAGTAGTTCTACATACCTCATGTATCATCTGCTCCCGCTGCAGGTTCAGGTCTGATATAGTTTTTCTCAGCTCCTCACTTTCTTGCCTCAACGTTTCTACTGCTCTTTTTTCTGTTGCTTTGTTCTCCGCCATGGACCTGTGGAGCGAAAGATTTGTTTAAGAAACTAGCAGTGATTTTTTGAGCCATACATATGCAAGAAAGCCATATAAAATATATATAATATGCAAGCCATATAAAGTTAAATAATGCAAGAAAGTTGAAATTCGTTTAGATCAACAAAACTATTTTCTTGACCGCTCCCCTGAACAGAGACACAAGCAGATAGATTTGGTCAATAATCTAAAAGTCTAAAGAGTCGCAAAACCAAAATGGTGCCATTTGTTGTGTTGATAAAATTGTTGTATGAGTTAACTTGCGTTCTTAGTGCTTAGACAGTCACCATATTAATTGAGTTTTGTCAACATCTGAATATACGGTAGTCCAGTTAGTGTATAAGTATCTTAGTTTCTTTTGTTTTGTATACATGACCAGTTAGTCTTCACATGCATTAGTGCTAAGCTTTTGCCAATTTTTAAGATACCATGCATATATCGATAAGTGGACATGCCATTGTGTAGTGCCTTTTTATTATCTTTTCTTATTAGGTAGACTTTCAAATATCTTAACCATTAATATTATTATTGTACATTACATTTCTTTCTCGTAAATATTGTCTCATCCTTCAGTCCCAATCAATCAACCGTGGAACATTCACTGAATAAACGGGCGAATCATCGATGATAAATAATAAATCTTGGTTTCAATCTTTCATTTTAAATGTTTCTGCTGACGTTACATTTAAAGATTTCAGTCGTTTCCGCTTTTAGATAACAGCTCTAACTTGCTATTTAAGATAACACGTCAGCGCAGCAACATCATCATCTTATTTCTGGTTTTAAAATAGATCCACATCTGATCATTGACGACTATTAGAAATAGTCGTCAGTGCAGTATTTAGCTATTTAGGTATTTTAGACGTTAGTATTACTTCACTGCTACTGTGTTATTATATAACTAGAAAACATATACTACATAATCCTGACGTGACTGGGACACAGAATAGACGAGTCACGAAATGAACATGTGTTTTGAGTAGCATAGCATTAGTAATAGACTATTGCTAATAGTCGTCTAAATCTACCGTGAAAGTAAGAGTAGGAACCACGCCTTTCTGAAAAATTACGACATTGTTGCAGATTTATAGAATTTTCCGAGATTCTGGAAACTCAGTACGGTTGGAGCGTTATTACCTATGTCACCATTTTTGGTTTCTTGATTGTTGTAAATCTTCTCTTTATCTCCTCATGATGTTTTGCGTTTAAATTAGTTTACACATCCAACAAGAATTTTCGCCGCGGTTAAATAAAACCACGCACGATCAATTTTCCCTACGATGTACTTGTATCTTGTACCATTAATTCTTTCGAGTGAAAAGTGTGACTGGAAAAAATAATAAATGAGTGGGATTCGCGCATGGTAAAAATTGACGATTTATTTGACCGATGTAGCGCCGCGCGCATCAACAATAAATGAATCCAGAAAATTGCGGAAAATAACTTTGCGAAGGAGGAACTTCACTGTAATTAATTAACACATGGCTAGGGTCGCGCGCAGCATAACAGACGCTTCCAATACACATAATTATAGGGGAGTGGTCTATATTACGAAGGAGCAGACTTTTGTCGACACCGTAGGACTGTCGGGCCACCTCATATATCCAAACCCGATTACTTATTCCCTACGATCTTTTTGCCTTCGGCAAGAGTAGGGAAAAAAATTCTAAATGGTTTTCTTGCTTGCTGAATCTGAGGTTAACTTGTTCAATGCTCCACAGTTCCGCTTTCCAGATTCTTTTTAAATGACAAGGAAAGTTTTCTGTAAGAATTTGGCATTTGTTACATTTTTAGACGTGCTCCATTGGTATATTCCGATATTTGTTTATTATATAACATACTATAATTTATAACTTGGGTCGTTTATAACTACAAATAGTGTAATTATAAGATCCGACAACATCTGATGTCTGGAATGAGGCGGCCAATATCATCACTTCCATGCTAAAGGATTAGTAAACAGGCTCAGACGTGAAGTACAGAGAAGTCTGAAATTTAATTTCACGCGTATTTATAATGACAGCACCGAGTTGAGATGTTTTACAGCGAGTGTAGATGTTGAGTACCGAATTTAGATGTTTTTAGCAGCGGCCCATTTCAAAAGTTTTTAATGAATCGAGCGAATCTACTACTGAACTACTAATCTACATACATTTTAGTTCCTCCAACTTAGTTACCATAGTTACACTACTAGTTATCATAGTTACAACTGTGAGTCTGCAAAGATTACTTAAACGCATATTCCAGAAACTTCTCATATCATTCCAGAAAATAGCTCTGGAACTTTCCAGAAGTTTCCATCAAATCATTCAATACTGGCCAGTGATTTCATATCATATCTTTTCATAAAAGCCTACAGCACTACAGCAGCTGTACAATTTGCGAATATCTTATTTTCGTGTTGTGCACTTTCGTTGTCAAATGTCAGGGTGACGTATTTTAGAGTTTCGAGATGAACACTTTTGAAGTTTTGATTTTATTAACACAAAAGATGATACTTGTGGAGTTTTCAGTTGATGTTAGTTGATGTAAATTGGTTTTGTAAATTGGTTTTGTTACATTAGCTTGACATCAGCTTTGTATAATTTTAGTTTTGGGTCTGCATTAATCCATTGATTGTTTATCAATTTAAAACTCACAATTTGCACTCTAGAGTACTTGACGTTCACAATTAAATAGCTTATTGTATGCTCAGAATAATTGGTTGATGCTTGCTATTTGATAGATTGTACCGATATATCCGCTCTGAACTTTCGCCTATTACTTTTACGAGTATTAACTCCTAAAATGAGTTCCTAATCCAAGAGAGAGTATTGACTGGAACTCAATTTAATGAGATGTACTACCTCGTACATAATATCATTATGATAATGAAGTGATTGTACTATGCTGATGTATACAATACATCCTATGTGACCCACTCCCATAACGAACTCATTGCTATTAACTTTATGTAGTGATGTTCATTTTCAAAGTTACAAAGTTACAACTGGTTTGTTTTCGATGAATATTTAATTGCAATATTCATATCATTATTATATTTAGAGAGGATAATTGAGACACTTTTGTCTGATTTCGATCAGTTATAACTTAACAAGGACACGTCATTTCATTGTTATTCATTCACGTAAGATCCAGTATGCTGTACAGGACAAATAAGGATACGAAGATATGATTGCACCGTACCACAATCTCAAAACAATTCCAAGAATTCGTATTACTACTCAACAGTGCACTATTGCAGACTATATAATATACTATATAATACCGGCATTCCAATATTTACCCTCCACTAAATAAAGTCACTTAATAACGTCACTAAATTACGTTACTTTTGCTTAATATGATATGATGACCTCAAAGAGGAAGTCGTCACCCCCCTAATATAGCACGGTCACAAACTTAATACAACAAAATGGATAATTCTGAAAAATGACGTACTTCAAACGGCCTGTTATCGAGCCTTGTGACGTCATGGAACGTCACGTATATAAAGTACATCATAAAATAAAGGTGTCATATAACAATCTTCATTTCCTTGATGGCCCACTTCTCGACCACACCAGCTGAGCAGTTCCTGCTCTCATTCTAATGTATTAGCTCTTTGTTTGACCTGCCTTCTCTGAACATGCATAACTAATTGGCACACACCCATCATCCTTAACTGGATACTGCTTGTAGTGTTATAAGAATATTATGCAGCATATTATTCAGAGTTATAAATCTAATGATGTTGGCCAGGATGTGTAACGCGATACGCTATTTCTTAATATAGCCCTGTCCCTTTCCTCCAACCCCCTCATACGGCAAATTTTTAAATCATTATTAAGTGACAAACTTCCAAGTTTTATTTTTGTAATACCTGAGCTTTTTGTTACGAGTTAAACACGGTTACATTACGTTTACTTTTACATTCGCGTTCATTGTGCTAGGTGTATAGGCAGTACATGATACCGCCGCGCCTAGTGCAGCTTAATGTAATTAGTTTGCTGCGTGCAGCGCAATATTCTTTCCGTACTTTTGTTTCTGTCTTGCAAGTGGGGGGTAGTTTAGAGTTAGGGGAAAGCAAAACTAACATATTTTAGCTGTTATCATATGATTTATCATGTAGACTGTGCGGGCGAATCCAAAAGTGTTCTACTTTTGGTAATGTGATCAGCCGTTATATATAACAGAGAGCAGCTGGATGTAGTTTATTTCCTATCTTGCATTATACGTTGCGTTTCTCTTTGAGTTACTTTGTTAACATTATGCGTTTCTTAGCCAATAAATCTGACCTGAGTTCAGCGCATTATTGCCCTGTTAAAGGCCAGAAGAGACCAAGAAGTAAAGAACTGCCACAAGCTAAAGACGGAATCGAGCTTCATCACTGGAACCTGTTGTCCGCTTTTAGCACCACCGAACTTGAAAATATTCTCGCTAATTTGAAAGAAATGTATTTGAATTGTCCGTGTTGGGCACCAAGCAGCAATGCCAGGTAGTTACTAGTTACTAGTTACTAGTACAGCTTCTTTAAGTTTATTTGCAGTATTTTAAATGTACACATCTGCTTCTCTGGGATTGTCTTCATTTGCTACTTTGAACGTGCACGAGTAGTTGAACTGATTTTATTTGAATTTACTCAAATTAGATCATAACTTATGGACTATCCAACTAATTTATATTTAATGAACGCAGTTTTTTTATTGATGATTTTAATTGATTAAGTTAATTAAACTCCGATTCTTTTTCAGGTGTTGTAAACGAGAGAACGAGGACGCCATGGCCACAGATCTAAAACCCCTCATTTCCAACACACCACCCGCCAGCCCTCCCAACCGCAAACGACGCAAAACCCCAACTGGCTCCCCTAAAACCGTGTCTGTGTCCTACGAAAAACAAAGGCCGAGCAGAATAACCTTAAAAAAACCCTCGATACTCAGATGTAGTGGGGACCCCACAACCCAACTCTCACCCGGAGTACGTGACCGCAATATCCACCAGTGGCTCCAAACTAACCCTGACCCCCTCACCCTCTCACATCCTGATCCACACTTGAACAATCAGAAGAGAAGTGAAATCATCACAGTTCCTGAGTCCGAGCTGAAGAAGTTTGTCATGATCCAGGTGTTTGAGCGAGATACGCTGCTAAAGAACGAGCTGATACCGCTGAGCGAGGTTGATAATACGGAGATATGTATCAGTTACAGCAGACACGAGAGTGACCACCCGGAAACTACTGAATTTAGGTGAGCTCTCACACTTTTTACTGATTTGTGTTCACCTTCATAGGAACGGTAGTTTATTATAGATAACTTACGCAGAGCTTATTATTTTCACATTGCTTATTACAAATGTAATTATACTTGATGACCTATTGATTACGTATTGATGACGTACTTGATGAAGTGGCTAATTCTGAATCGTTTCAGGGCCTTCCAGATAACGTCCCCCGAATCAACCAATTTTGTTGAATTTAAGAGGCAGTTTGGAAAAGGAATAAGATTGTTCTGTCGACGTGGCGAGGTACGTAACACATTTCCCTTTCCTGGTTTAATTTTCTATTCTTTTTTTCCTTCTTTTTTTTCCTTTTTTTCATATGCGACCTGCCAAAAACAAGGCAATTTTAACTTTTGGAAATTAGATTTATTCAAATGCAAATTAGAAGTTGTTCATACCGCTATTTTTGTCAGTCAAAAGCAAATATGTCTCTAAATTTCGACTTTCGGCTAAATTGTTCACCATTTCAGACGGTTCAACTCAAAAAAAGCACTCAACTAATGACATTCTACGGTACCAAAGCTACATCAGACTGGCAGGAGATAAAACATCAGAACAGATGGGAAAACGTTTTCGATTTCCAAATGTTAAAACCACATCGAAAAGACTTTGATTTTGAAACATACAACAAAACGACAGCGTGCGTAGACAATGCAGTGAGAGTGACTGTAGGGTGTCAGCCTGATGGGAAACATATTTATGAAACTGAGTTTCATATCAAAATTAGTTTTATTGTTCATTGAATAACATGGGGAGGAATTTAGTTGGAAAGGTTATTTTGATGGCCCAGATTTTATGAATAAGATTAAGCTTGAGATAGCAAATCAAGAATAGGCGATTTGAACTTTGAAGTTTTGCGCTGTGAATTTATATTTGCAGCTAAATCTCAATCCTTTATTTGGGAAACAAAATACTGTTTGATTAATATTTGAAATTTGATTGCCCAATTTTATATTATATGATAACATGATTAAAATTTTAATTTTAAAGACGATACTGATCATGGTCATAGATAATCATTGATAGATTAGGTCAGATTACAGATAACTTATAGATATGGCTAAGGAACTTGCAATGAGCTCTGTAATGCTCTGATGAAACATTTATATTCTGAACCCATATATACATGTAAGATAGGTTGATTGTGTTTAGGTTAAATTTTTGAACTTTTAAAACAGTGACACCTTGTAAATAAATAACCTATATTGTAATTTAAATTATCTAATCCATTTTGAAAGATTCGTATATTTTCTCGACCCTGAACAACAGTCCAGATGTTTTATTTCTTTAAGTGCGATATTTTCGTGCAATTCTAAACATGTCCGAGAATAAATGCAGTAATAACTCGTAAAATTTAAAATTTAAATTTTAGAGCAATGCATGAATGCATGATAAATTGAGGGTCTAAAATTAGATCTTGAATCGTGTGATCTACCTCAACATTTAAACAGAGGTCGTATGAACAGTGTAAGTTAAATATCATATATTATCGCTGCATAAAGGCTGATGTTATACCATTCAGCAACCATAACAACCAGTATGCAGAGTACTGAGTAAACAGGTTCATATTCCCGCGTTATATGGCACTCGGTGACTAACATTAAACATAGTAACATAATATTACCATAGTATGATTAATTTCACTGATAGAGACTGTAACACCCAGTCATTGATCATGACTACATAAATATTTCCGTACGTGATCCCATTCGAGACTTTATATAGTTATATGTGGCCCCTCTGTAGTCTGTATGTAAATATGTATGTGGCCCCTCGGCCTTTATCTTTATAAATAGGACCTCCGTAATCGGTAATTTGCTTTAGGAGCAGCTTTCTGTAAGAAGGGTAACATTTAGAAGAAATTTCCAGAACATGAACATAATGAGTCAATATGACGATCTGGACTAATGTATATTCGGTATTCGATTAGATTCTGCTCGACCGAATTCCGTTCATACTGAATACCGATCTTCGAACCCAAGCTATCGCTATAGGTACTTCTCAGACTCAGCTATTCTGTCGTTCATCTTACCTCTCAGACTCAGCTATTCTGTCGTTTATCTTACCTCTCAGACTCAGCTACTCTGTCGTTTATCTTACCTCTCAGACTCAGCTATTCTGTCGTTTATCTTACCTCTCAGACTCAGCTATTCTGTCGTTTATCTTACTTCTCAGACTCAGCTATTCTGTCGTTTATCTTACCTCTCAGACTCAGCTATTCTGTCGGTTATCTTACCTCTCAGACTCAGCTATTCTGTCGTTTATATTACTTCTCAGATTCAGCTATTCTGTCGTTTATCTTACCTCTCAGACTCAGCTACTCTGTCGTTTATCTTACCTCTCAGATTCAGCTATTCTGTCGTTTATCTTACCTCTCAGACTCAGCTATTCTGTCGTTTATCTCCAATAGCTCGTGATACCGGGCTCGTTTATCTTGTTCTATCTCCGACAATTGAGTCTTGTACTGAGCCAGAACCTAGAAATTGGGTGATGTAAGTAAGTGTGAGTAAATAGTTGTAAACACTGAAAACTGAATATAGTATATAACTATATAATGCAGTACTTCCACGAACCCTTTAAAATATAGAGGAAAGGCTTCTGTCGCCAGATCGTTTTTCAAAACCTCGATTTGTGAATTTGTTCGGAAGTTGGGGCCGGATTGCACGACTAGGTATACTAATGATAATGAATTATCTCAATTTAGCGAAGAATAATTTTCCTGCTGAACATTTTAAATATTTAAACGAAAACGGTTCCTACTTCATTGAGATGGTTGCGCTCCGCGCGCATGCGTTCCATATCAATAGACAGTGTAGTATGATCACTGCGCAACTTCTCCAAGCTCCCTTTCTCCATCTTCACGTTCATTGTCTCGGCTAACTCTAACTTTACTTTCCGCAGTTCTTTCTCCTGAAACGCAATAATAACTGAACAATTATTTGCTTAGATCACATTCTGTACTATTTATGTCACGATCCACGTTTTTTTGCTGTGAAATAGTGTAGTTAAGCCGGTTACTAATATTATGAAGATTTAACAACTTGATGGATATATAATAACGTTTGTTCTTTTGTTGGTAACAAGGGCTGTGATTGAGGAGTTCACTGTTCAGTAACAACAATCTAATGTGTTCGTGTACACTGTACTACTACTAGAACTCTGATAAGAGGAGAACTATAAGAGTTTCAAGTTAACCAGCTACACTTGTGCACCACTGCTAAAATAAGTAGGACTGTCTGTCTGACCAGCTCACGCCTCACAGCTGCACTGCTGCACCACTGCTAGAATAAGTAGGACTGTCTGTCTGACCAGCTCACGCCTCACAACTGCACTGCTGCATCACTGCTAGAATAAGTAGGACTGTCTGTCTGACCAGCTCACGCCTCACAGCTGCACTGCTGCACCACTGCTACAATAAGTAGGACTGTCTGTCTGACCAGCTCACGCCTCACAGCTGCACTGCTGCATCACTGCTAGAATAAGTAGGACTGTCTGTCTGACCAGCTCACGCCTCACAGCTGCACTGCTGCACCACTGCTACAAAAAGTAGGACTGTCTGTCTGACCAGCTCACGCCTCACAGCTGCACTGCTGCACCACTGCTAAAATAAGTAGGACTGTCTGTCTGACCAGCTCACGCCTCACAGCTGCACTGCTGCATTACCGCTACAATAAGTAGGACTGTCTGTCTGACCAGCTCACGCCTCACAGCTGCACTGCTGCACCACTGCTACAATAAGTAGGACTGTCTGTCTGACCAGCTCACGCCTCACAACTGCACTGCTGCATTACTGCTACAATAAGTAGGACTGTCTGTCTGACCAGCTCACGCCTCACAGCTGCACTGCTGCACCACTGCTACAATAAGTAGGACTGTCTGTCTGACCAGCTCACGCCTCACAGCTGCACTGCTGCACCACTGCTACAATAAGTAGGACTGTCTGTCTGACCAGCTCACGCCTCACAGCTGCACTGCTGCACCACTGCTACAATAAGTAGGACTGTCTGTCTGAACAGCTGCACTGCTGCACCACTGCTACAATAAGTAAGACTGTCTGTCTGACCAGCTCACGCCTCACAACTGCACTGCTGCACCACTGCTACAAAAAGTAGGACTGTCTGTCTGACCAGCTCACGCCTCACAACTGCACTGCTGCATTACTGCTACAATAAGTAGGACTGTCTGTCTGACCAGCTCACGCCTCACAGCTGCACTGCTGCATCACTGCTAGAATAAGTAGGACTGTCTGTCTGACCAGCTCACGCCTCACAGCTGCACTGCTGCACCACTGCTACAATAAGTAAGACTGTCTGTCTGACCAGCTCACGCCTCACAGCTGCACTGCTGCACCACTGCTACAATAAGTAGGACTGTCTGTCTAACCAGCTCACGCCTCACAGCTGCACTGCTGCACCACTGCTACAATAAGTAAGACTGTCTGTCTGACCAGCTCACGCCTCACAGCTGCACTGCTGCACCACTGCTACAATAAGTAGGACTGTCTGTCTGACCAGCTCACGCCTCACAGCTGCACTGCTGCACCACTGCTAAAATAAGTAGGACTGTCTGTCTGACCAGCTCACGCCTCACAGCTGCACTGCTGCACCACTGCTAGAATAAGTAGGACTGTCTGTCTGACCAGCTCACGCCTCACAGCTGCACTGCTGCACCACTGCTAGAATAAGTAGGACTGTCTGTCTGACCAGCTCACGCCTCACAGCTGCACTGCTGCACCACTGCTAGAATAAGTAGGACTGTCTGTCTGACCAGCTCACACCTCACAGCTGCACTGTTGCATTACTGCTACAATAAGTAGGACTGTCTGTCTGACCAGCTCACGCCTCACAGCTGCACTGCTGCACCACTGCTAGAATAAGTAGGACTGTCTGTCTGACCAGCTCACGCCTCACAGCTGCACTGCTGCACCACTGCTAAAATAAGTAGGACTGTCTGTCTGACCAGCTCACGCCTCACAGCTGCACTGCTGCACCACTGCTAAAATAAGTAGGACTGTCTGTCTGACCAGCTCACGCCTCACAGCTGCACTGCTGCACCACTGCTAGAATAAGTAGGACTGTCTGTCTGACCAGCTCACGCCTCACAGCTGCACTGCTGCACCACTGCTACAATAAGTAGGACTGTCTGTCTGACCAGCTCACGCCTCACAGCTGCACTGCTGCACCACTGCTACAATAAGTAGGACTGTCTGTCTGACCAGCTCACGCCTCACAGCTGCACTGCTGCACCACTGCTACAATAAGTAGGACTGTCTGTCTGACCAGCTCACGCCTCACAGCTGCACTGCTGCACCACTGCTACAATAAGTAGGACTGTCTGTCTGACCAGCTCACGCCTCACAGCTGCACTGCTGCACCACTGCTACAATAAGTAAGACTGTCTGTCTGACCAGCTCACGCCTCACAGCTGCACTGCTGCACCACTGCTAGAATAAGTAGGACTGTCTGTCTGACCAGCTCACGCCTCACAGCTGCACTGCTGCACCACTGCTACAATAAGTAGGACTGTCTGTCTGACCAGCTCACGCCTCACAGCTGCACTGCTGCACCACTGCTACAATAAGTAGGACTGTCTGTCTGACCAGCTCACGCCTCACAGCTGCACTGCTGCACCACTGCTACAATAAGTAGGACTGTCTGTCTGACCAGCTCACGCCTCACAGCTGCACTGCTGCACCACTGCTACAATAAGTAGGACTGTCTGTCTGACCAGCTCACGCCTCACAGCTGCACTGCTGCACCACTGCTAGAATAAGTAGGACTGTCTGTCTGACCAGCTCACGCCTCACAACTGCACTGCTGCACCACTGCTAGAATAAGTAGGACTGTCTGTCTGACCAGCTCACGCCTCACAGCTGCACTGCTGCACCACTGCTACAATAAGTAGGACTGTCTGTCTGAACAGCTGCACTGCTGTACCACTGCTACAATAAGTAGGACTGTCTGTCTGACCAGCTCACGCCTCACAGCTGCACTGCTGCACCACTGCTAGAATAAGTAGGACTGTCTGTCTGACCAGCTCACGCCTCACAGCTGCACTGCTGCACCACTGCTTGAATAAGTAGGACTGTCTGTCTGACCAGCTCACGCCTCACAGCTGCACTGCTGCACCACTGCTACAATAAGTAGGACTGTCTGTCTGACCAGCTCACGCCACACAGCTGCACTGCTGCACCACTGCTACAATAAGTAGGACTGTCTGTCTGACCAGCTCACGCCTCACAGCTGCACTGCTGCACCACTGCTACAATAAGTAGGACTGTCTGTCTGACCAGCTCACGCCTCACAGCTGCACTGCTGCACCACTGCTACAATAAGTAAGACTGTCTGTCTGACCAGCTCACGCCTCACAACTGCACTGCTGCACCACTGCTAGAATAAGTAGGACTGTCTGTCTGACCAGCTCACGCCTCACAGCTGCACTGCTGCACCACTGCTACAATAAGTAGGACTGTCTGTCTGAACAGCTGCACTGCTGTACCACTGCTACAATAAGTAGGACTGTCTGTCTGACCAGCTCACGCCTCAGAGCTGCACTGCTGCACCACTGCTACAATAAGTAGGACTGTCTGTCTGACCAGCTCACGCCTCACAACTGCACTGCTGCACCACTGCTACAATAAGTAGGACTGTCTGTCTGACCAGCTCACGCCTCACAGCTGCACTGCTGCACCACTGCTAGAATAAGTAGGACTGTCTGTCTGACCAGCTCACGCCTCACAACTGCACTGCTGCACCACTGCTAGAATAAGTAAGACTGTCTGTCTGACCAGCTCACGCCTCACAGCTGCACTGCTGCACCACTGCTACAATAAGTAGGACTGTCTGTCTGACCAGCTCACGCCTCACAACTGCACTGCTGCACCACTGCTAGAATAAGTAGGACTGTCTGTCTGACCAGCTCACGCCTCACAGCTGCACTGCTGCACCACTGCTACAATAAGTAGGACTGTCTGTCTGAACAGCTGCACTGCTGTACCACTGCTACAATAAGTAGGACTGTCTGTCTGACCAGCTCACGCCTCACAGCTGCACTGCTGCACCACTGCTACAATAAGTAGGACTGTCTGTCTGACCAGCTCACGCCTCACAACTGCACTGCTGCACCACTGCTACAATAAGTAGGACTGTCTGTCTGACCAGCTCACGCATCACAGCTGCACTGCTGCATCACTGCTACAATAAGTAGGACTGTCTGTCTGACCAGCTCACGCCTCACAACTGCACTGCTGCACCACTGCTACAATAAGTAGGACTGTCTGTCTGACCAGCTCACGCCTCACAGCTGCACTGCTGCACCACTGCTAGAATAAGTAGGACTGTCTGTCTGACCAGCTCACGCCTCACAGCTGCACTGCTGCACCACTGCTACAATAAGTAGGACTGTCTGTCTGACCAGCTCACGCCTCACAGCTGCACTGCTGCACCACTGCTACAATAAGTAGGACTGTCTGTCTGACCAGCCCACGCCTCACAACTGCACTGCTGCACCACTGCTAGAATAAGTAGGACTGTCTGTCTGACCAGCTCACGCCTCACAGCTGCACTGCTGCACCACTGCTACAATAAGTAGGACTGTCTGTCTGAACAGCTGCACTGCTGTACCACTGCTACAATAAGTAGGACTGTCTGTCTGACCAGCTCACGCCTCACAGCTGCACTGCTGCACCACTGCTACAATAAGTAGGACTGTCTGTCTGACCAGCTCACGCCTCACAACTGCACTGCTGCACCACTGCTACAATAAGTAGGACTGTCTGTCTGACCAGCTCACGCCTCACAGCTGCACTGCTGCACCACTGCTAGAATAAGTAGGACTGTCTGTCTGACCAGCTCACGCCTCACAACTGCACTGCTGCACCACTGCTAGAATAAGTAGACTGTCTGTCTGACCAGCTCACGCCTCACAGCTGCACTGCTGCACCACTGCTACAATAAGTAGGACTGTCTGTCTGACCAGCTCACGCCTCACAACTGCACTGCTGCACCACTGCTAGAATAAGTAGGACTGTCTGTCTGACCAGCTCACGCCTCACAGCTGCACTGCTGCACCACTGCTACAATAAGTAGGACTGTCTGTCTGAACAGCTGCACTGCTGTACCACTGCTACAATAAGTAGGACTGTCTGTCTGACCAGCTCACGCCTCACAGCTGCACTGCTGCACCACTGCTACAATAAGTAGGACTGTCTGTCTGACCAGCTCACGCCTCACAACTGCACTGCTGCACCACTGCTACAATAAGTAGGACTGTCTGTCTGACCAGCTCACGCATCACAGCTGCACTGCTGCATCACTGCTACAATAAGTAGGACTGTCTGTCTGACCAGCTCACGCCTCACAACTGCACTGCTGCACCACTGCTACAATAAGTAGGACTGTCTGTCTGACCAGCTCACGCCTCACAGCTGCACTGCTGCACCACTGCTAGAATAAGTAGGACTGTCTGTCTGACCAGCTCACGCCTCACAGCTGCACTGCTGCACCACTGCTACAATAAGTAGGACTGTCTGTCTGACCAGCTCACGCCTCAAAGCTGCACTGCTGCACCACTGCTAGAATAAGTAGGACTGTCTGTCTGACCAGCTCACGCCTCACAGCTGCACTGCTGCACCACTGCTAGAATAAGTAGGACTGTCTGTCTGACCAGCTCACGCCTCACAGCTGCACTGCTGCACCACTGCTACAATAAGTAGGACTGTCTGTCTGACCAGCTCACGCCTCACAGCTGCACTGCTGCACCACTGCTACAATAAGTAGGACTGTCTGTCTGACCAGCTCACGCCTCACAGCTGCACTGCTGCACCACTGCTACAATAAGTAGGACTGTCTGTCTGACCAGCCCACGCCTCACAACTGCACTGCTGCACCACTGCTAGAATAAGTAGGACTGTCTGTCTGACCAGCTCACGCCTCACAGCTGCACTGCTGCACCACTGCTACAATAAGTAGGACTGTCTGTCTGACCAGCTCACGCCTCACAGCTGCACTGCTGCACCACTGCTAAAATAAGTAGGACTGTCTGTCTGACCAGCTCACGCCTCACAGCTGCACTGCTGCATCACTGCTAGAATAAGTAGGACAGTCTGTCTGACCAGCTCACGCCTCACAACTGCACTGCTGCACCACTGCTAGAATAAGTAGGACTGTCTGTCTGACCAGCTCACGCCTCACAGCTGCACTGCTGCACCACTGCTACAATAAGTAGGACTGTCTGTCTGACCAGCTCACGCCTCACAGCTGCACTGCTGCACCACTGCTAGAATAAGTAGGACTGTCTGTCTGACCAGCTCACGCCTCACAGCTGCACTGCTGCACCACTGCTAGAATAAGTAGGACTGTCTGTCTGACCAGCTCACGCCTCACAGCTGCACTGCTGCACCACTGCTACAATAAGTAGGACTGTCTGTCTGACCAGCTCACGCCTCACAGCTGCACTGCTGCACCACTGCTACAATAAGTAGGACTGTCTGTCTGACCAGCTCACGCCTCACAGCTGCACTGCTGCACCACTGCTACAATAAGTAGGACTGTCTGTCTGACCAGCTCACGCCTCACAGCTGCACTGCTGTACCACTGCTACAATAAGTAGGACTGTCTGTCTGACCAGCTCACGCCTCACAGCTGCACTGCTGCACCACTGCTACAATAAGTAGGACTGTCTGTCTGACCAGCTCACGCCTCACAGCTGCACTGCTGCATCAATGCTACAATAAGTAGGACTGTCTGTCTGACCAGCTCACGCCTCACAGCTGCACTGCTGCATCACTGCTACAATAAGTAGGACTGTCTGTCTGACCAGCTCACGCCTCACAGCTGCACTGCTGCACCACTGCTAGAATAAGTAGGACTGTCTGTCTGACCAGCTCACGCCTCACAACTGCACTGCTGCACCACTGCTAGAATAAGTAAGACTGTCTGTCTGACCAGCTCACGCCTCACAGCTGCACTGCTGCACCACTGCTAGAATAAGTAGGACTGTCTGTCTGACCAGCTCACGCCTCACAGCTGCACTGCTGCACCACTGCTAGAATAAGTAGGACTGTCTGTCTGACCAGCTCACGCCTCACAGCTGCACTGCTGCACCACTGCTAGAATAAGTAAGACTGTCTGTCTGACCAGCTCACGCCTCACAGCTGCACTGCTGCATTACTGCTACAATAAGTAGGACTGTCTGTCTGACCAGCTCACGCCTCACAGCTGCACTGCTGCATTACTGCTACAATAAGTAAGACTGTCTGTCTGACCAGCTCACGCCTCACAGCTGCACTGCTGCATCACTGCTTGAATAAGTAGGACTGTCTGTCTGACCAGCTCACGCCTCACAGCTGCACTGCTGCACCACTGCTTGAATAAGTAGGACTGTCTGTCTGACCAGCTCACGCCTCACAGCTGCACTGCTGCACCACTGCTACAATAAGTAGGACTGTCTGTCTGACCAGCTGCAATATAATTGTCCACTTTCTGGTAGAAACTCTGCAAACGAGCAGTCAAGCACACGATTGGGGGCAGTAATTACGTAATTTAGGGGCTGTTGATGCGTATTTAGGGTAGTTGCTGCATGGTTGGGCATGAGCATGTGCTAGCTAGCAACGGAAATCTATTGTCAGTGCCAGCTAATGATCAGTTCAGAGTTCATGATGGCTATAGAGGACAGCTAGTCATAGTTAGTAAGTCAGTACAGCTAACTATAGAGGACAGCTAGTCATAGTTAGTAAGTCAGTACAGCTAACTATAGAGGACAGCTAGTGGTAACTGGTCATAGTTAGTAAGTCAGTACAGCTAACTATAGAGGACAGCTAGTGGTAGCTAGTGATAGTTAATAAGTCAGTACAGCTAACTAAAGAGGACAGCTAGTGGTAGCTAGTGATAGTTAGTAAGTCAGTACAGCTAGTAGTACAGTACAGCTAACTATAGAGGACAGCTAGTGGTAGCTAGTGATAGTTAATAAGTCAGTACAGCTAACTATAGAGGACAGCTAATGGTAGCTAGTCATAGTTAGTAAGTTAGTACAGCTAACTATAGAGGACAGCTAGTGGTAGCTAGTCATAGTTAGTAAGTCAGTACAACTAACTATAGAGGACAGCTAGTGGTAGCTAGTCATAGTTAGTAAGTCAGTACAGCTAACTATAGAGGACAGCTAGTGGTAACTGGTCATAGTTAGTAAGTCAGTACAGCTAACTATAGAGGACAGCTAGTGGTAACTGGTTATAGTTAGTAAGTCAGTACAGCTAACTATAGAGGACAGCTAGTGGTAGCTAGTCATAGTTAGTAAGTCAGTACAGCTAACCATAGAGGACAGCTAGTGGTAGCTAGTCATAGTTAGTAAGTCAGTACAGCTAACTGTAGAGGACAGCTAGTGGTAGCTAGTCATAGTTAGTAAGTCAGTACAGCTAACTGTAGAGGACAGCTAGTGGTAGCTAGTCATAGTTAGTAAGTCAGTACAGCTAACTGTAGAGGACAGCTAGTGGTAGCTAGTCATAGTTAGTAAGTCAGTACAGCTAACTGTAGAGGACAGCTAGTGGTAGCTAGTCATAGTTAGTAAGTCAGTACAGCTAACTGTAGAGGACAGCTAGTGGTAGCTAGTCATAGTTAGTAAGTCAGTACAGCTAACTGTAGAGGACAGCTAGTGGTAGCTAGTCATAGTTAGTAAGTTAGTACAGCTAACTGTAGAGGACAGTCCGGCAGTTTTCATTTTCAAGAGCTGAAATTCAAAAGTGAAGCTAAAAGTGAAATGTTTTCACCATTATACTATTTTTAGGCATATGCTATGCATATTATAGAACAAATGTATATAATATTCTGTAATCGTTTAGGGTTGGTGTGTTTCTTAATAACCAGACTTGAGACCTTTTTATATTATGTTAACATAATATAGTATTAAAGTCACTAATCATGTTGAAATCACGATGTTGTCGGACCCAGCTCAATAGAACATAAAAGGTGGAGCTCTCTGTTTATTTCATGGGACATGTTCCCAATTGCCAAAGAGCCCATTATTACTTTATTATAACGAAGAGTTTATTGCGACATCCATCAGTCAGGGACGTGAGGTAAGCATGAAATATCAATTAGTTTACATTATCTTCACCGTGCACGCGTCACATCACGAATACTCCAGATTCAATGGTGGCCTGTGGTTACTGGTTCTGTGCATTATTGTAAAATCTAAGGTTTGTGACTCAATGTTAAATGTAGTTAATAAATTATGTTAAAGAATGTTAAAGAATGTTAAAGAATGTTAAATGTAGTTAATAAATTATGTTAAAGAATGTTAAAAAATTTGTTTGGTATTTCCGATCAGGTAAATGATTGCCATTAATTGATAAAATCAAGTTAAATTCCTTGTTCTCAGTAGGTATGCGTTAGAACGTCTCATGCTCAACAAATAAAGATATATTTATAAAATTATATATTTCTAATTTATCAAATTAGTAATTAATTAATTAATTAAAACCAACCAACTTACCAGATCAATATCACGATCGTTTCTTTTGCAGTTTGTACAATGTAAGCAATTAGCGTTATGCTGTATTTCTGGCTCTCTTACTCTGAGGAAATATTTCTCGGTAATAGTAATTTTATTTTAAATCATGCTTCAATGGATAGTACTAAGAAATTAGCATATTCGCCATTAACGATATCATAAAGTATAAATGTGTTCAAGATGAATTTCATGTCACTTATTCTTGATTTATGAACATGTTGCCAACAATTCTAGTAAATTAGTACAGTGAACAGTCTCGTGAAGCATTTGTCAAGCTGATAGATTAAAAAGTGCATGTCAACCAAACAAATACTGTGCTAGCTTTAACACGGATCTACTCGACATAGTTTAAACTTTCACCTCCAACTCTAGTAGCTGTAATACTTTTTATTTTGAGTTCTTTCTCTTTTTTATAAACAGGGATGTACCACCGATTCCATTCCCAAAAGAAAGATTCATACAACTTTTGAGCTTTTGCTTCTATTCTAGTATCATAGAATCAGTTGTGGATAGCATGATGGTAAGCTCATGTCTGTATTCAGAATAACAAAAGCAGACACAGATGCACATTGCACGTGAATGCTTTTGTTAAAACGCCACAATATCATGACACATAAAATCACCAGTAATATCAACAAAAGAATATATCTAAATATGGCAGCTGCCCCTTTGTTAAACTATTAACTGTGGTTTATTTTAGATTTTCACATGTTAAAGAACAGAACTCTGGACGACAAGTACGCCAGTCATATTATGAAAGTTTAAAGCTATTGCAGAGTTTTTCTATGATTATTCAATAATTGAATGGGCGAGTTTATGTAATAATGTTGTTCGATTAAAATAGAAATTACAAAACACAAAACTCACCTTTCAGGTTTTTCTTTCACTTGATTCTCAGCAACATGTTTTAAGGAGTACTGAAAATTAATAACGGTTAAACTTTCACAAGTACTGCTCTCTAAATATACAATAAATAACACTTGAACTGTAGGTGGTTCCGTACAATATACTCGTGTGAAGATGATTACCGTGGTCAGCTGCTGGTAGTGAAGTGGAGTGGAATGTGGAAGAGTGGTACGGAGTGATAGTGTGATATGTGAGCTAACCTGGAGCTCAAGCAAGGTTTTCTGAATATCCCTTATCTCGGAGTTAGTCGTGCTATCAGTCTCACGCGGCTGAATGATGACGTCACGTGGCCTATCACGTGATGCGTCCCTCTCACGTGACGTGATCGCCTCACGCAGTACCTCCTGTAGATTGTGGAGACTGCGGTTGTGGTCTCGGATAGTGTCTCCTAGACCGTCTATCTCTGGAGAAGGAGTGTCATTAAAAAGGAGAAGCAAGGAAAATAGCGGCCAAATTATCTCCAAGAGAAAAGTCGCCAACAGAATCGTACTCTACACTACTAATACACTCTCTAAATCTGGGCCTGAGACGACCCTGAGTTTATCCCATATTCTGAGTACTTTCACAACATCATCGGTAATATTATGGGGGGTCACAACATCAAAGTTTTCTTGGAAAGAGCCAATTATTCGCTAGCATTTTTCTATTAAGCTTAGGTCAAAGTCCCCATGATATTTACCTCACATACATTAAGTATAATATTACCTCATTATGAAGTAATACCATTAAGGCCCCCCCCCCCCCCCCCCCCCCCATGATATTTACCTCACATACATTAAGTATAATATTACCTCATTATGAAGTAATACCATTAAGGCCCCCCCCCCCCCCCCCCCCCCCCCCCCCTTAACCATCCAGAGCATTAATGTGGGGAAAAAGGATGTAATGGCTTGCTGAGTACAATTCTCTGGAGACTTACTCGTTCTTATGACATGCTGGCCCTTTTGCCGAGCAGCAGCCATCTTTCTCAGTTGACAACTAACAAAATTCCTATCGCTGCAAACAAACTTTTAGATATACACATTCAAACGAATAAAAGCATTATCTTTGAAACAAGCTTTTGAGAGATCAAACAAACAATGCGCAGAACAGAAAGTTAGAGAGTCAGAAAATCTCACAACGGTCATTAGCCATGTATTGCTTGTCAATAAGAACTCTGATAAGGGCCACAAATATAAGAGCACCAGATGGATTAATGAAATGGAAACTTAGTATAAACTCCAATATATTGCTATCTAGCAACCTAACCAACACGTCTTGTATTTCACTAGATCTAAGGGTGATAATCATGCACTAGGTTCTACACAATACAAGAGCAAGAAGAAGGGAGAGCTGATGCGCATAATGTACCACAGCCCGGTAACAAGCACACATTACAACAACAGCTCCTCTAGTACATTACACCTCATCCTACTAATCAACAGAATAAGAACACATTACAGGTCTCTACACAACATATTATTATTATGTCGCACTCTCTACACAACACAGTATTATGTAGCACTCTCTCTCTCTCTCTCTCTCTCTCTCTCTCTCTCTCTCTCTCTCTCTCTCTCTCTCTCTCTCTCTCTCTCTCTCTCTCTCTCTCGAAGAGTCTCTACACAAAATACATTGCACCTTAATGGATCAGCACGCCACCAGCTAATCATTCGCCAATTAGGTCGCATCTTTGCAACATATACAAGCAGGCAAAGTGCCGACAAAGAGCAGCTTATCTTGGGAGAAATAAAAGAGGTAGTAATACGGGTATCGACAGAGTTGCACAACTTATTGCTAAACAGATCCCGCCCAGTATTTGAACAGAATTACTGGATGAAAACCAAGGGATCGAGTTGCAAAGCATGACGTGAATCAAATCAACCAACGGACAATGCATCATGTATCAGAGATGGGGTAATAATGCTGGGGATGAAATTAAAACGTGAGACAACATGTCAGAGTTCACAGTTTCCATGGCAACGGGCTCCATTAATGGGGCATGTGAGGTCAGGCGCGTTACAAACAGTACTGTGTATAATTTGTACTGGAGTATCACCTTACTATTACACTATTATATACAAAATATACTGATGGCTTGCTAAATGTCACTCTGCAAATGGCTTGAAGTAATGGAGTTGGATACTTTTCTGTAAGAGAATAATATCATAACCAGTTTCTAAATAGTTTTAATATAATATAGAATTTTATTACAGCAAAGATAGCACCTGGTACGCAGAAATACAAAGCAAAATACAATCTATTCAGAAAACATCAGACTAAAGTTAACACCCAACCATCGAATTCAAGGCTCTCCAGTCTCCATAACTGATTAAAACCAGAACATAGCGCGTTACTACAGCAACGATCTAATTTACGATTTTAAATCAAATGTAGATTAAATCCTTTCATAGAAAGGTAAAGTGGCTAAAAACGGAAGGTATTCGGGGAATTTGGTATGACGAGACAGTGGCTAATTGACCAAACTGTTAAATAACAGAGTCACAGTCACCATCAGGTGTTTAGTATTTGCAGAATATATTGGGAGCTTGCAAATCCAGCAGGTATTATACAGAATAGTCCAAAATTTAGATGAATGTCAACAAATCTTTGAGATTCAGGTCTATAACCGAAAATGTCCATAGTGGACTCTGAATGTTCCAAAATTGTAACAAATGACGACAACTATTGAGCAGATCGATACTACTACTACTGTACTACTACTGTTCTACTAACTGTACTACTACTGTACTACTACTGTACTACTACTGTACTACTACTGCAGTACTACTACTGTACTACTACTGTACTACTACTACTAACTGTACTACTACTGCAGTACTACTACTGTACTACTACTGTACTACTACTACTAACTGTACTACTAACTGTACTACTACTGTACTACTAATACTGACTGTATTCAGTGAGAGCGTTTTCCTGGTCGAGGTCTCTGTCTCGGATCACATCACGCAGCATGTCAATCTCACGCTCAGCAGCGGTGACACCTGATCTCAGGTGAGCTATCAGGTCCTCGTGACCACATGACGCCTGAACATAGAATATTGAACTTTATAGAACTTTATAGAACTTTATAGAACTTTATAGAACTTTATAGATCTTTATAGAACTTTATAGAACTTTATAGAACTTTATAGAACTTTATAGAACTTTATAGAACTTTATAGAACTTTATAGAACTTTATAGAACTTTATAGAACTTTATAGAACTTTATAGAACTTTATAGAACTTTATAGAACTTTATAGAACTTTATAGAACTTTATAGAACTTTATAGAACTTTATAGAACTTTATAGAACTTTATAGAACTTTATAGAACTTTATAGAACTTTATAGAACTTTATAGAACTTTATAGAACTTTATAGAACTTTATAGAACTTTATAGAACTTTATAGAACTTTATAGAACTTTATAGAACTTTATAGAACTTTATAGAACTTTATAGAACTTTATAGAACTTTATAGAACTTTATAGAACTTTATAGATCTTTATAGAACTTTATAGAACTTTATAGAACTTTATAGAACTTTATAGAACTTTATAGAACTTTATAGAACTTTATAGAACTTTATAGAACTTTATAGAACTTTATAGAACTTTATAGAACTTTATAGAACTTTATAGAACTTTATAGAATTTTATAGAACTGTTTAGAACTTAATAGAACTTTATAGATATTTATAGAACTTTATCAACGAAAAACAGTACAAAAAAGAGAGAATGTAGTTCAGGGAAACGGGAAAGGTCACAGTCAGTGACCCATAATAATACGACACTCTTGCATCACTTGCGTCACTCTTACGTCACTCTTACGTCACTGTCACACACAGAACACGCATCTTACCAAGCTATTAGTTCGAGTGAGAGCCTCATCCAGTTTCCTCTGAACAGAGTCCAGCACCACATCGGTAGTCTGGGTAGCTGCTTCTCTTATACCCTGTCTTATTGACGCCACTTCGTCTGCAACAGTTCATGTTCAGTAACTTCCTTTTTATAGTATAAGTACCGGAGTTTGAGCTAAAAATAATGCCATTTTCAACTTTGAAATGCGAATGTATGTGAGGGTTTTAACCAAGGATATTATATAAGTTTGACAGCTCTTCAACATTAGAAGTTATACTGATCGTGACACACAACTGGTCGCACCAGTTAAGTGGTGACCAAAAGCGTTTATTTATATCATTGCTGCATCCCAACGTCATTCCTTTAATCATCGTATAATTGTCTCTAGATTTTCAAATATTCACCAAGGTATAGGTTCATTATATTATGTAAAAATACAAATGTACAGAACAATGCAAATCTGACAGTAACTCAGAAGAGGCAGCAAATACGCTTAGAAATTGCATTGTAAATAGTAGTGTGGTAGCGTGCACTGTGGTATTTACCGATAAGTCTGTCTATTTTCACCTTCTCCTTCTCCGTTTCTCTTCTTCTCTTTCCCTATCGTCCCTCATTTGGGTGGACTTTTCTGAAACAATTCTGTAAGAACATTCGATCGAAAACAAAGCCAAGGTGCGGCTCAAATTGTTAGAAATTCTCTTTATTTATTTACCACATTTATTTTACTTTAGCGATACGAAAAAAAGAAGGTATAATTAAGATGGAATTCTCACAGGGCGGACTGGTATCATGATCTACAAACTTCAACGAAATTCTCAAATCGTCATATTTTGTGGGTGTGTGCTCTTTTGTGCTTTTTTTTGCTCTTTTGTGTTCCTTTGTGAGTTGATTAGCCGGTGTCTGCGCTAGCCGGTTACAAAGATCTGGTATTTTGTATATTCATACTATCGGTTAAGCACGTAAGGCATCTTAGGATTGCAACGCAAATTATTTACTGACTTACTGACTTGCTTTAATTTTAAAGTCGGTTGGTTTATTGCTTATGAGATTTTCGAAGCTGCTTTATTTCGGACAGAGATCAGTATTGAATATCGATGTTCCGTGAGATCTTTTTATTTGCTCTATTGTTGGGTTCCAGTGCACTTGGGAAAGGTAATTTATCCTGTCTAGTTTACCTAGGTTACCTAGACAATCGATATCAACCTGAACTGAAGGTTATACAGGACTGAATACGGTCCACATTTTCATCTTAATCAGCTGGTGTCGATAATTTACTACATCGTTTAGGACGAGCTGGTCATAGATTTATAATTTGCAGGTAGAAACAAACCTGGAGATCTATTAACGCATTACGCTGAAGGGGTCCTTAAAACACGTAGCACTAAAGTGATAAAATTACAAGGTAAGAAAAATATGCAACTGATGAATTTTCAGGATTTATTGTTGTTCTTGATCAGATAATCTATGATCATAATGTCATAATGTGTATTCCATGTAGCACAATTTTTGTTGAAAAACTATTCCTTGAGTCGAATGTTTTGATTGAAGTACTGTCATTGCAGCGAAAGCCGGTTCATGTGAGTATAAAGTACGGCGAGGCTTCATAAAAGAAGTCTGCATTGAGCGGCAACACGAACTAGAAATCAACAAATGCCCAAACTCCCACCAATACTACTTCCCAAACAGGAGACTAGTCGAACTAACCGCACCCCCGGACTCAATCTACTTTGATGCTGCCTGTAAGAAGGACCCCAGGTTCTACCAGGCCTGCGGAGCGGGACAGGACACCGAGGTCATCACCAACAACCAGCATGTTCTCTGTGGGTACTTTGTGTGCAGGGTAAAGACCAAGACACAGGCTCTCAGTATTCTTAGTAAACCGCTCGGGAAGATGGGATGGTTCTGTAATGGTAGACAGGATTGCACCAACACGGACCTGGATGAGTATCTGGGTTGTGGAGAGGTTGTAACGTTACCCAGTGATAGAGTACGGGGGTTACCCACTGGGAATGATGCTTCGTGTGGGGACTCATGTGTTGAGGTGACAAGGCACTGCACTGTACACAAACACAAGGTGTGTGACGGTGTGGGGGACTGCGCGGATGAGGGGGACGAGATGGTACCTCTTTGTAGGAGGATGACCCAGAGAACTACTTGCATCCGTAGAGAATCAGCAGGGGGCCCCATAGCAGGGGGCCCCGCAGCACCCTTCCCAATGTCCTGGATTATGGATGGGGTTCAGGACTGTGCTGATGGTGTTGATGAGGATGTTGATATGTGGACAGTTTGCGGAACTGGAGTCTTGATGAGATATGTAGAAAGAGGGGATGTTTGTGAGAATGGTATGATTTGTCCACGTCAGTATCCAGGGTATATCTCGTATGGAAATATTTGTACTGATGACATGGCTTGTGGAAATGAACTGGAAGTCTGTCGAGTCTCTCGAACTATCCCGACATTGTCTAATTTGGTAATTCCGGTTTCCAAAATAATATATCAGAAATCAAGTGAAAAGATATTATTGATGTCGTATTGCACAAAAGGGCTTGAGAACATACAGAACCATCGTCCATCCTGTAAGAAGGATAAATTCATCTTCCCGGCTCACAATTACTACGGGGTAACCCCAGGAACAAACATCTTTCTACCATCAGGAACAATGAACTGTGATGGTTCCTTCGGTGAGCAGTACCTGTACAGAAGTTGTCTAGGAAGATGTCCCAACTCTCCCTGTCCTCTCCAAACTGCCCCGAGGTATGAGCACTGTCCAATTCAGTTCGCAGATAGAGTGGGGACTCTTGCTAATAATGATTATCTCACCTTCTTTGTGAAATCTTATTCGGGAGAATTTGAGAATAACTTTTTTGTTTGTAAAGACGGCCGAAGGTGTGTTGAACACTCCAGGGTGTGCGATTTACAGGAGGATTGTGAGGATGGTTCTGACGAGGAAATGTGTACCAATAACTTTAAATGCTCATCAGGACAGTCACCAAAATACATTCCTATCTCCGGAAAATGTGACAGTCATATTGACTGCTCGGACCATTCTGATGAGTGTAATGCTGATTGCACGAAGAGGATTATAGAAAACCCGAACCAACAAAAACTGTTATGGACTCTCGGTATACTTGCAGTAGCAGCAAATCTTATGGTCATAACGAAAATTACAATATCTTTACGAAGGTGTAAAGCAGCTGCAAAGTGTTCGAAAAAAATATTAATTGCTTTGATAAGCATAGGAAATTTACTAATAGGTATTTATCTCATCTTGATCTCAATGGTAAACACTGTTTGGTACGGAGACGACTACTGTCCCCAACAAACAAAATGGCTGACCAGTAGGTTGTGCTTAACACTTGGTGTTTTGAGCACCTTCGGGTTTCAAGTCTCTCTGTTTGCCATGACATGGCTCAGTTTATTGCAAGTTAAGGGAGTTTCTAGAATGCTGAGAATGCACGGAGAGGTCACGAGAAGGAGTGTTTTATTCACGGTTGCGATGGTCTGGTTTATTGTGTTAAGCGCGATACTTGTTGCCATGACTCCGATTCTGGGATCATTTGAAGATTATTTTGTTCTGGCATTGAAATATGCACCACAAATAAAACTTTTTGTCGGTTTCACAGACAAGCCAAAACATGTGAAAGTAGTGAACGCTTACTATGGGAGAATACGGGGGAGTAAGGACAACCAGTTTAGTTGGAGGACTATCAATAACCTGGTTCATGGTATGTTCACCCATGACATTAACAGTGCAGATTATGTTAGAGACAAAGCTCAGAGACATTTCTATGGCACCAATGAAATTTGTTTGTTTAAATACATGATTGCTGCCAATGATCCTCACAGATTTTTCATTTGGTCCGTTCTGAGCTTAAACCTCTTTTGTGTATTGGTTATATTACTCTCCTTCTTGGTTATCACATGTGTTGCAAGACAGTCATCTAATAGGTTGAGAAAAAATGCGGTCAGCTGTGGAAAAGAAAACCCAGAAATTCAGCAAAGGAGCTACAAGACGCATAAAATAATAGCCATCATAATCATAACGGATCTTTTTTGCTGGGTGCCATTTATTCTTGCCGCTGCTCTTCACTCGATGGGATTTATGGTCGTCCAGACATTTTATTTATCATTTTCAATTATTGTCTTGTCCATCAATTCGTTGATAAATCCCATGGTCTATGGCGAAGTGCTCTCAAAACCTCTATCGATAATCTCTGAGCGTTTAACAAAAGTAAAAACAGCGCTGATGAAAAGGCTGCCCTTTTTCAAGAAATCCAGGAAAACGACATCATCTTCAGATTCATCAGAATCGGAAGAAGAGTCTGAAACCGAATCAGGTCTTCCAATGAACACTCTGTCAATATCAGATAACGTATTCGATTCAACGCTTGAAGATAACGGCATCATCAACACTGATAATTACTTTGAAAATGGTATAATATCTCCCATTAGGACTGATAACGATGTTATTGACTCGGATACCGGCATTATTCACACTAACAATGTGATATGGTATAAAAATGGTGTAAGAATGGTTTAATGTTTTATTTTGTTCATAATATTATCATGTGCGAGGATTGGCAATGAAATGAGTTAATTACAGTTTGCACCACGTTACCATGGTTACTTTGCAGCTTTATCTCAAGATAAGATCCGTGCTTTCAGTTTAAAGTTTAAAAATTACGAGTCGATGTAATTAATTATTAATTAATCAATTAATTGTAATCGCGCTAGATCTGTTATCCAATACCTCTAAAACGTCCGACCAACATGATCAAACTCACCAAATCACCTCCGACCAACATGATCAAACTCACCAAATTTGTTAAGCATCTCCTCAGCAAGAACATGAACGTTAGTATTGGTAGCTTTGTCCCTTCGCTTGTCCAGCACAAGAACATCAGGAACATCATCCACACTACTCTCCGACTGTGGTTCAAATTAGTTGATAGATCATAAATTACTTTGTTATTGCGAACAATTTGGAGTTTTGTGATGATTTTAGTGAAAATTGATTTCTCAAGATTCAAAAGTTCGAAGATGGGGCCCTATTCAGTATTTATGTTATTTACATTATGTTATTTTATTATGTAAAATATTTGAATACATTCAAATATTTTAATTTGTTTACGTACATCATTAGTTATGACAACTCGCTTCCGCTTATTTTTCTTTTCTTTGATATTAATATTTATTGTCTCATTTTGTCCATCTGTTTGTCTGTCCGTCTGAGCGCGACGGGAGATGAGATGAATAACTTCTGGATCGTACTCCACTTCTTCTCGAATGTACCTGCAATTGTTTTAGAGTTAAGTGAACTGACAGATACCCCAGAAGACACGAGTTATGGGTCAGGATTCATGAGTCACGTGTCACGAGTTACTTGTCACGTGTTACTTGTCACGTGTTACTTGTCAAGTGTTACTTGTCACGAGTAACTTGTCACGTGTTACTTGTCACCTGTTACCTGTCACGTGTTGAATGGTCACGTGTTAGGAGTGACAAGGCACGTGTCATGTGTTTACTTACACTTTAGTGGGACCAGGAGTGGAGGCTCTCAGAGGACTGCTGGCTCTCAGGTACCTCTCACTTAGTATTGTGTCGTCAGCACTTCGCCTCGGTGAACTCTGCAATATCAGGTTGGTAGTTGTGAGTTCTGTACTAGGGTACTAGGTTCAAGTGAACTGTCAGATATCCCAGAAGCCACGTGTTACGACACGTGTTAAGTTCTGTACTAGGGTACTAGGTTCAAGCGGTGCAACTTGTGCGAACACCTACCATTGCATGTTATGCTTGTTTTGCGGAGCGTAACTGTGGCATTATGAGCCGCGCACAAACAAAGGTTTAGAATTCAGAACCTGCACCTCTAATTGAATACGACTTCAGATGAGAGCAAAGCCAGTCAGAAACGTATTCAGACTTCAGGTTCAAGAGGCTCAAGGAAGCAAAAACGTTGCAAGGCTCAAGGACGCAAAAACGTTGCAAGGCTCAAGGACGCAAAAACGTTGCGGCTCCGGAGTTCCAGAGATATTTGGAAACGGTAATGTTTTTATGTGTGTTTGTGTTTATTGCATTATAACGATTTAGGTAGAATAGTGGGATTCGGGATTGGTTGGTGGAATAATGTGACTTAAACTGAAATGTTAAATTTATTGAATGTTTGTGGTCAGCTTTTGTTTAAATTAACAGACAATTTTGTTTCTCTTATACTGTGGCCTTTCCATTCTCTGTCAAGTGAATAAAATCTTAGTGTATGGCAAAAGTCTCAGCCAGCCAGTTTTATGTCAGCATATTTCATGACATGAGCTATTTACCATTTTCACTTTTGAAACATTTTCGTACAATCATTGTATCACTCCATGTTTCCCCAGATCGTGATTACTATATATATTATTAGCTGCCATTCATTTTTGGTATTGATATTACACTTTTGATGGTATCAATTAATTCTTAGTTTTTGGAAGAGAAGGAGACGATGAATACATCATGATCAGATGCTAATTATAAGATTCTAATCATTTATAGACAATATTATATTAAATTTATCATTTTAGTTATTTTGTGTAAAATTCTGAAAATTATTTTTTAAATTTAAAGAAAGGGAAACTGAATTTTCCTTTCATAATCAATCAAAAATAATCATCTCCAAAATCATACTCATTCAACTTCAACATACTATATGAATTTATATATCGCCTTATTCTATTATGTAAATGAAGTCCACTGAACACAAATTCAGTATATCAGCCAAGGTTAATTTCAAGTCCACTCATATATATTATATATCAACAGTTCAGTTCCTTAAGCACCCAGGGATTCGCATTCTTCATTCCTCTCCCCATACACGTTCGTCTGGTCTTTACAGAAGCCATCAAGGTCCATCATGGCCAGGTACTTGTTGACCGCGCTGTTCAAGTTTGGAACTTTTTCCTCCGAGAAAAGACCCCACATGTTCCTGAAAAGCTTCTGGTAGTTCTTCCTCATAGGCTTGGACAGTGTCACCTCTATGGAATGTTTAACACAACACGAGTAGAAACTATCCATCACTTCGGCAGCACAGCTCGGATCACACAGAGATTTCCTTTGCATGTCGCTGTACACATCCATGAATTGGTTTGCCACCGACTTGACTGTGTCCGTGGTCATGTTGAAGGAAAAAGCAGTTTCCATGTACACAGTAAACTCCTCTTCAAGTCTGATCAAGGACTGACAGCTGTCTTCTCCTTTAAAGGTGTTGTCCAACCAACGGCCAGAAATAGAGAACATATCGGAGAGCTCTGCAACGCAGTCTTTTCCGTTCTTCTCGCCACAACCTCCCTTAACCCAGCCGTGAAGTATCGTTTTCAATGCCTTCCAGTCAATTTCTTCAACCACACTGTCGAATTGAGCTCTATCCATTCGTGTAAACGTGAACAATGTGCCATCGTAGTTCCTCGCGCAGTTTGTTGAAGCTCCGATCATACCCGGACATTCACAGAGAGCACGGGAGATAGGATCAAACACGTACTTCATGATAATCTGGTACCTTTCTTCATAAGACTCAGAGTTGAGGAAGCTGTTGAGGGCAGCAGGTCCGCTCTCCCGATAGTGCCTGAAGAGTTGACACGGCTTTGCTTTGCAATCTCCGAGTGCTCGGAACTCCTTCACACATTTGCATCCAAAAAGCCAATTCTCACCGGACGAACACTGGTTTGATTGCACGGGGCAGATCTGAGGTTCCACCATGACCAGCATGCCGTTTACCATCGGGTTGAAAGAGGTACCGTCCTCACTCAACACATTTTCTTTTATAAAGGATGTTACCCATTCCATACCCATGGCCATAGACTGCTCCAACACTTCAAATGCATTGCCTTCGAGGTCCCCATACTGGGCCAGAGAGAGGGCAAAGCATGAGACAAGAAGAAAAAGAACTTTCATCCTGCGCAATAAATTGTATATTTAAACAGCAGCAATTCGTTGATAAAAAAGTCTACAATATAGAGATATAAAAAGATGGCCATGAGTAAGGTAATGATTAAGATCTAACACAGAGCTTCAAGGGAATTTCTGGTGGCATGAGTAAGGTAATGATTAAGATCTAACACAGAGCTTCAGGTGAATATCTGGTGGCATGAGTTACAGTAGGTAATGATTAAGATCTAACACAGAGCTTCAAGGGAATATCTGGTGGCATGAGTAAGGTAATGATTAAGATCTAAGGTAATGATTAAGATCTAACACAGAGCTTCAAGGGGATATCTGGTGGCATGAGTAAGGTAATGATTAAGATCTAACACAGAGCTTCAAGGGGAATATCTGGTGGCATGAAAGTTAGTATAAAAGTGAGTTACTAAAAGTACAGAAGGTCGAGAAGGAGACTCGTATGCTAGGAAACAGCAGGACTGAATGCTATTCAACACATAGGTAGCCTCTTTAAAGGTGGAGATCCAATTAATTACATAGAATCCACCAAACATCCGGACAGAAAATTTGAAGATAAGAAATTTCAGCTGATTAAATTTATATATTAGTTAAAACTGAATCTGGACGAATTTGGCCAGGTCCAATTTCAGCAGACAAGATAAAGAAGGTCAAACGGCTTGAAATTTAATGCTTAACACGAATTTGTGCGATTTAGCCAACACCTAGTAACACCTTGTACCAACACCCTAAAACTGTAACAGGGACAGAACCTTGCCAAGGAGAGCAGGAGCTAGCTAACCACTTACAGCCTTATCTCAAATCGTACTCCAAATTACAACCGAGACGGTCAAACCTAATGAAATAATATATTCCGAGTAAAAATATGGAACCTATGAAGTAATAAGAAAGTGGTGCATGATTCCTGCAAAGGATAAATTAAACTGTGGAGAAGTGATGCAAGTAGTTGTTCTGCAGCGTTATGAACTTGACATACGCTAACACTCAGAATTACCATACCTATTATCAGTAAATTATTGCAAGGTGTAACATACGTTATCTACTGTCAAACATACGTTACCATTTCATAAAGCTCATTAATTACATAATTAATTACATAAAGCTAATTAATTTAGATATTTTTACCTGTTCAGGCACGTTAACGTTGATGATGGGCAGTTGCTGAGGTTGGGGAGACTGTCTGGTCCTGTCCTTGATCAGGTCCTCTAACAGTCTGATAAGGTCCTGAGAATACTGGGAGATAAGACAGTTAGTTTATAGGTAGAAACTTGGTCGCTTTACCTAATACCGTATCGAGACTTCGTCTTATAATAAGTCTGTAGCATGACACTTGACAGTTATTTCACTAGCTTCTCACCCACACTAACTTTCTACCTAATTTATGCCGGATTATTCTGATCGGACCTTTAATGCGAGAAACAGACCGTATGATTTAGCACAATCTATAACCAGTATATTGATAAGGAAAGTAGGGGGTTAACCTGTGGGTTCTGATTGTTGATTACCGGCTCCCTCCTCTTATCTCTTTCCTCTAACAACAACTGCAGGATAACGTATTATATTATATTAGCGCTGCTCTAGAAAGCTATAACTGATGTTCTATCGTATTAGGCCGCGGACGCAAGATGAAGTTTTAAGATTACTACATAATAGCCGGATTGGGCATGATGCCAAGTTTACTGGGCAGTAAGGGAGCCCAGTATGTGACCAGTACAAATATGTGACCAGTACAAATATGTGACCAGTACAAATATGTGACCAGTAGACCGGTTCATAAAACAAAAATGTTCTTGAATAATTACCAATATGTTCTTATCTGTTGATCCCTAGGTTCAAATACCACCAAAAAAAAGTTCCAACTCTTCCATCTTAGTCCCGCTCCGGCCACGCCCATATTTTATTGGTTTCTTATACAGGTAAAATATCTAGAATCGGCTTTTTTAGTATGAAGGAGTAATGTTGGCTGTTTAAGATTCGTTATTCAAATATAAATGTCATAAAGGCATTTCGTTTAATGTGGGTTTTAAGTTCTGATGCTCGTTGTGGAATCACATTGCCGAAAGTATTCCTTGAAGACTAAAGAAGATCTGAAGAAGCTGTATTAAACAGTGATATATGTTGTGTGATATATGTTGTGTGATATATGTTGTTTGCTATTATATAATTTTGATTCTTTTCAAAAAATCAGTATCTTTCATTCATAGAGGGTTATACATCAAAACCATTAAATAAAACTAAAAAAATACGGTTTTCCGAAATTTGTATGACTTATTTTTCTAAAATGGGCGTGGTCACCAAAGGGCGTGGTTCCCATCATCACCAGAACTTAAAACCCACATTAAACGAAATGCCTTTATGACATTTATATTTGAATAACGAATCTTAAACAGCCAACATTACTCCTTCATACTAAAAAAGCCGATTCTAGATATTTTACCTGTATAAGAAACCAATAAAATATGGAAGAGTTGGAACTTGAAATTTTTTTTGGTGGTATTTGAACCTAGGGATCAACAGATAAGAACATATTGGTAATTATTCAAGAACATTTTTGTTTTATGAACCGGTCTAGTGACCAGTACACATATGGGACCAGTACAAATATGTGACCAATATAAATATGTGACCAGTACAAATATGTGACCAGTACAAATATGCCAGGCTGTTAAATTCGCCAAATTTTCGTCAAAAAGTAAGGCGTTCTCAAAAAGTACGCGAATAATTCGCCAATTTACAACTTCAAGTTTTAATTTTTAGGGCTGTTGAATTCGCCAAAAAATGCGCGAAAAATTCGGTAAAAATGCGGCTGTGGGAACTCGCAGCATTCTCGAGACTATTATCTAGTTGAATTATATGTGAATTCTGACGTTATACTTCACATCTCAAACTTACAAATCTCGAAAAATAGACTTGACTGTGGAGGAAATTAAGTAATTTCAAGTTTATTTTAGGAGAAGTTAGTTTACTCCATTGCATAACGTCTTCGGGTATGACCTAAATTTAACCCCTTGCGATCTTGGTCAGTACCCACGCTAGTCACTAACCAGTAAGCACGCACGTGTTGCGGGAAGCATATGTTTTGGCAATATTCCACCATACAAAGCCAACTTTCGTGAACATTTTGATGCGGGCACGTGATTTCTTGTTTCCGTATTTGGTATATTTTTTTAAATGCGGCAATTTTCAGAAAAAAAATCGTACGCGAATTTAATTCGAATAATACGTTTAGTGCGAATTTAACAGCATTGCAAATATGCACATAATATTATTTTGAAGGTGGCAGCTCTGTCATGTAATTGTCTCATTTAACCAGTTTTACAGAGCAACATTATTCTGTCTAATTTTAGCTAATCTCTCCCGAACGTTGCTTGCTAGCTTGAACATGATAATATGGAATCCAGTTTAACATGACAGATATCCTCAATTACAACTGACAATTTAAACCAATCAGATATCAACTGTGGAGTGCAGTGTACGTTACCAAGGTAACGGTGATTGAAATATTATCTTTAACACCTGCTGCCACTGCTAGGTACTAGTCCGTCTACTAAATAACTCAGGCTTATAGTGGGGACATTTGAAGATCATCAGTTTATAGCCTGGATAACAATAGATTCTATGCTTAAGGTGATAAATGATAATTAGTCAGAGAAAATCAGCAGTATCTGAAGCTAACATCGAGTTTAATCAATTAAAAATACTCTTTTCCGACTAACTTTGATGATAGGAAGAAGATCTAGACTCTCTTTGACAGGTTGAGAATCAGTATATTTAGGAAGTCTACCCTCTAGGAATCCTAGCACTCTGCGGGCCAGATCCTCTGGATCCAGTGTGTTCCCGTGTGTTCCCCTCAATATGTCACGTAATTCTGCATTCTCGTCCTGCCATTAGAGTTAATGGTAAATCCAAATCACTTATTTCAATTTGAAATCCGAATATAATATGAGTCCACTTAGATTCGAACTTCAATAAGTTAACATAAATTCGAATCAAATATGAGCAGATCACACCTTTATTTAATTGTGATGTGCTCATATGAACTTCAATAAGGCAAGACAAATTCACCAAGTTCTACAAGAATCACACTGAGAATGTACCTCGAGATCTGCAACCCTGTCTCTGCTGAGTCTGAGAGCTTCTCGAGCCAGGTTTGGGGAGGATCCTCTGCGCTCTCTCATGAGTCGTGCATTCTCTGCCTGAGCTTTCTCAAGCTCATCAAGAGTGCGGTGTAATATCTCGTTTTCTGGGCGAAGACTTTCGGATAGTGCCTGTATCGCTTGATCCTGTTGAATTGTGGTTGTTCAGAAAATTAAATGAAAGGAAACGATTCAGTCCTCTATAAGGCTGTAGTGGAAAAGGGCAGGACACTTATCATGAAAAGTCTAAAGTTTAAATTCTAACTTTGAGTTCTCTATTTTCGTCCTGGAGAGCGTTGACAACATCCCTAGTCCTGTCCAGCTCTCCTACCAGCACCTCAGTCTCCGTCTCTTTGTCCTCAAACATCTGTGATATCATAGTTAGCACAATTCTCCTACCCCACAACGGTACACAAGGTGAACAGAGGGTACGAAAGCTAAACGTAGCAAAACACGGTAAACTCTGTACTGTAGGATCTACAATCTATAATATCTTAATAATAATTAAGTTTTGCGAGCCTCTCTGGAGATTTCGCCCGCCCGAGAGATTGCATGTTAAGTTCTACTAAGCCTTGATATCAATACTAATTTCAATAAAGAGACGTAAGAATTTGTCTACCTTATGAACGAAGCTAGCATCCCGTCTCAACTTGTTCTGATCCCTCTTCACCCTGTCCAGCTCCCCCTCCAAGTCGGCCCGCTCCTCGTCCCCTTCACGGAGCTGTCCCTGCAGATCATCCAACTTGTCGAGCAGAGCATCCCGTTCTGCTCGTAACATGTCCGCTTCACTGGCAGATCTATGGGGGTGGTGTTAGTGGGGTATTTAGTGGGGTAATTAGTGGGGTAATTAGTGGGGTAATTAGTGGGGTAATTCCAACTTATGGTGGGTACTGAAAACTGCGTTGAAATAAGCAGACTGACATTCGCTCAAATGATTGTCAGCTATTTTAGCAAAAAGCCCAAATAACGTCCTTCGTTCTGTCATATTATTACTCATTACTACACACTTGCTCAGTTGGGACGCTCTGCGCTGTAGTTCGCGCTGTTTCTCTTGGAACCCTCGCCGTGCCTCTTCGTGAGCTGCTCTCTCCTTCTCCAACTCTTCTTCCTTCTTCTTCAGACGTGCTTTCATATGCTCCTAAAGAGAAATAGGATTAAATTTGTCATATGAACATCTGGGACAGTTCGGACTTGAAATAACGGTCGAAAGATCCACAAAAATACAGATTCGTCGTAAGGTAATTAACAACTTCAGTAGCAAAATGTGGAGTGTTTCAACACATACCAGCTCCATGCCAGTAGCGTTGGTCATCGTCAGAGCGTTTCTGAGATCCTTGACGTCTCTAGCTTTACTATTCAATGAGGCGTGCAAATCATCCACCTGATAATTACAACTCTTAGACTCATGACTCCTACATAGACAACACCAAGTTATGCAATTTATGAATCATAATTATTTATGCATGTAGTTTAGCTATGCTATGATGGCAGATGGATATTTCGACTTTACGTTATCTGTAAGTCAATAACGAAAGAATTTGTAAAATGGCTTACTAGTTTTTATCAAAAATAACAAACACAATTTAAGCTAAGTAGTACTATTACAATGTAATTACAATGTACTGTACTATATAAAGACTGACCTCTGCCTCTGCATCCTTGAGTCGTTTCTCAACATCTCTCAAGTGCTCCAACTCCTCGTTCTTTAGTTCCATTTCTATATCCATCTCGTCTCTCAATTTCTTTTCTTCAGCCAGCTGCAAATGGGATATTACATTCATAACATTTTCCGATCATACTGCACCTTTTTTTGATGGATTAATTAAGATAGAAGTATTGAGAAAATATTAAAACCAATAGTTCGAAAGCCCACCTGTTTCTCAATTTCATCTAAACGTTTCTGTGTTTCATCAAGACTCTGCTGCTTGTCTTGCAGCTCTTTTTCCAATTCTGCTAACCTCTTCTCCACTGAAATGGAACGGAATATTTTTATGTTTGAATTTAGACCTTAATATTTCATCCAAGTTTATGACAAAACACTAAACCATAGGAATTGTAACAAATGTTAACAAATTCTAACGAATCCTAACAAAATCTAGCAAATTCTAGCAAATTCTAACAAATTCTAACAAATTCTAACAAATTCTAACAAATTCTAACAAATTCTAACAAATTCTAACAAATTCTAACAAATTCTAACGAATTGTAAAAAATGTTAACAAATTCTAACGAATCCAAACAAAATCTAGCAAATTCTAGCAAATTCTAACAAATTCTAACAAATTCTAGCAAATTCTAACAAATTCTAACAAATTCTAACAAGTTCTAACAAATTCTAACAAATTCTAACAAATTCTAACAAATTCTAACAAACTAACATTTGCGTTTATCCCGCTCTTTATCTCTAATCTGCTGTTCCAGCAAGTCTGTCCTCCCATCATCAGGTATTGGTTCTGTGTAGTCATTATCCTTGTAATGCTCTATATTCTCGCTGTGTCCTGACAAAAGGGTTATAATTAACAAATACACAAATACACGAACATTAACAAGAAAACTGATAAAGATTTCAGATGGAAACACGGAGTTTTCCCCCGGAAATCAGGAAAGAATAACAGTGAAAGTGGAAGTGAAAGTAAAAGTGAAAGTGTGAATGAAAGTGAAAGTGAAAGTGAAAGTGTGAATGAAAGTGAACGTACCCGGTATCCTCATGTCGTATTGCACAGGATAAAGAGGAGCTTTACTGACGTAGCCACTTTCCTCTACGTACTCATTCAGTGCCTGCCACATGGTTTATATTCAACACTCTACATAGCTTAATTATATTCACATAACGCTTTTGGAAACGAAGGGAAAAACATACGTAAGACTAAAGCTTGAAATCTTCGTAAAACTACATCATTAGAGCCTCACATTATTTGTTATATAGTAGTGTTGAAAGTATTAAAATAGTTTATATTCAACACCCTACCTAGCTTAAAAACGTAGACTCAGGTCACCGTTAAATTGTTACCACCATCTCATCAACAAACAGCAATAGCAAACGAGACAACGAGAAAATATGGAATTCTGAATATCATTAACATAGAAATAAGCCATAAGGTGAGTGGTGGCCACCACTGTTAAAGCTGGATGACAGGTGTTCTGAGCTCTCAATGTTTTAGGGTACTAATATTCAGCCTTCTGTACAGGGATAACAGACCATGTAATAAGGGAAAAGGTGCAACTTTCATGATCAGCTGCCTAATCTCCTTGTCATTAGTAACCAAGAACGTAATTATCACATGAATATTGAATATCGACACAGCTGCATCCCCTTTTGTCAAGTATTGCTATTCAAGGTATCTTTCTGTTGAACCCAGAAAATCACCATCCACTAAAAGACTCATTTAACTTACAATACAATGTTGATCAGACAATAATTTGTCTGGAACTTTTGTAAAAAACATATTATATAATAAGTACATTATAATAATATATAATAAGTACAACATCCAGTATCATTTCCAGGAGATAACTCACAGTATCCATAACATCTGGGGGAAGACCAATATCTCTGAACCTAGCGTCCACCTTGTACATGGACAGTTCCTGTTCCAGTGCGTAGTGCTTGAAGCAAGCTGCTGTTAGCTCGTTAGTGCGCTGTTCCAGCTGGTAGCGAGATTAGACTGGGGTTAACTTAAATAAGGTTTTTGTATCTTTTGCTTCATGCTCAGTGTTATTAATTATTATGTATCACGTTATTACTTATTAAGCTGGAAACTTTGGCTTAGTGTTACTGGATAGTGATAAATCGAAGTCTAAAGCAAACATTGATTCCCGATAAAAACTATTATGAAGAGAGTTCCGAACTTGAAAATATACGATTTACTTGAAATTACATTAACATACTCACGATCTTCTTGGTGTTTGACAGTTCTTCCTCCAACCCTGAGATCCTAAGCATGCTGGTGTTGCCAGATCTTCTCAGCTTCTGTTCGATACTATTCTTTTCTTCCAAAGCTTTCACCACTTCTTCTCGTTCTTTCGAGACGGCATCAATCATTCTTGTTTTGCCCAGTATTACGTCTTGAAGTGCATTGACTTCATCTGAAAAACATTAGAGATCAGATTTGAAATCCTACTTTCTTGCTTAGTAATAACGACTCGATTTCATACATTACAGAAGGATAACATCTCTTGAATTCTAATCACGACATCACAAGTAATTCTACAGTACACAACAACACACGCAGTGCCACTAACCCTGTTGATAGCGGTTATCTGCAGCTGCTCGCATGTCGGCTGTAACCGGGGACCCGTTCAACAGCTGGAGATGGCGCAGATAAAAAACCGCTGTGTCCATTGCGTGCGGATTTTCTGTTAGAACGGGGTTGTCGTTAAAGCTGAAGTCCTGCAGGTTTCCAAGCAGCCTCAGGTCTCGAATCTGCTTGATCTGGGTTGAAAACTACTACGCTTTAGAAGGCGATAGCTGCATGCACTGTATTATTTACATTATATAAATAATTATTTTCATAACTGTGCTGCACAAGTTCTGGTGCTTCAAAAGTTGTCGTTGAATGTACTTTTGCTGAATTCTGCTGGCAAATGAGTTGCTTTTCGTGGTAGCATTCAAAGAGGGCATCTATTTGATCATGCTTAAACCATGGCGTGTATTAAAGCTTTTCAGTAAATATCGTGAAAAATAATTAGCATGATTCAAGAACAGCAACAAACCCCAAATCTTTCTTTATTGTAAACTTAAAGGAGATGGTGTAAACTGTAAAGGTTAGCTGTGACAAACAATACACTTACCACGCGGTATCAACTACATTGTATAACTGAATTGGAGAGCATGGAATGATTCAATGATTCTATAACAATTAGATCCGTCAAGTGGTATTCATTTTGCTACACCTCGTGAGTGCATATTTAATTGGTGTCAAAGTTCATTCAGCAACAGGTGTAACACAGTTGCAACAAAGGCTCAACCTGGATGATTTTGTTGATGCAGGTCTATTGATCTGCATATCTTTCAAGCTCAATATTGTAAGGATAAAAAAGTATGTTACTCTTAACTTCACGGTCACAAGCGGCTTAGTGCTTACCTCAGCGATGTCATTGTGAGAAACATCTAGCTTCTTGATACGCTGGAGTTGTTTGAAGAGTCTGTACGGCAGTTGGGAGATGTTGTTGTGACTCAGGTTCAGGGTTTCTAGGTTCTACAAACAATTATGGTTAGCTTCAAGAGTAGTCAATAACTATGGTATCAATACCGTAATAATAAATCAGAGAATGTTTTGTCGTCCAAGCAATCTAAGAGTATTTCCAATGTGGAAACTGTAATTGCATAGGGTAAAGATACAGTTAAACTGCGAAGGCACAACACCAAACCAACCCTACTCTATCTCCCAAAAACAACTTTCTCCTGGTCGGCCATGTCCCTCATCCTGCACTTGACCCCCACAGAGGTCACAAGCCCATCGGAGCACAAATGAGCGAGAAACGGGGAAGCCTTAGCTACCGGGCCAAGGACTGCATCACTAGCAGCGAAATACGGATATACCCTCCCTTTTACATGCGTTCAACCGGCACCCGAACCACACGCTGTTTCTTAGACATAACTTCCCACTTACATCAGTGTCTTCTCGCATCAACTGGCATCGGCAAGTGGCGACACTGTGTAGACTCAACCCTGAGCTTGATCAGAATCTTCAGTCACAAACCTGACACCGTTTCGGGGCTTTCATTGCGATACGGTTTTCTGTCAGGTGCCCCAGCAGTCTCTCTTGGACCACCATCTGATCTGACAATCACCCGAGGATACCTGCTAGAGCTCGCGATTTACGACGAGTTAGCTTATGGCACCTCTGGCTGTTAGGTGAAGTCATAAAGCTCAAACAGCTCTCATCTCCCACTCTCTTTTCCTAGACAGCAGATAAATCCATCTTGAACAATGGGCTGCATCCTTCCCACAATCTCTGACCAACTTCTTGAGGGCTCTCCCAGTCAGACCAATCTTCCTTGATGCACACTCCAAACTTGCTGCGACCACACCTCTAGCACCAACCTCAACAGCAAAGCTGAAACATGACCACCCATTAGCTTGTATTTCCGCTTGTAGACTGTTATACCGATCAAGCTTCAGCTCATGGGATGCAGCTATTCTCTCTTTCGACGGTACTGTAAGCTCCCACCAGATTACTCTCTTGGAAGCTTTCGAGAAAAGAACCAAATCTGGTCTTAATCTGGTCGTTGCTATATCCGACGGAAATTTCAGCTGCTTATCCAAGTCTGCTAATACTATCCAATCAGTGGCCCCACTCAGAATCCCAAACTCACTGACTTTCGACCTCTTCACCTCCTTAAACCTCCCTCCTGCTGGAACAAACTCAATGGCTTTCCGAGTGACAGAAGAACTCTTCCTCTTGTTGACTCTCCGCTCACAATGGAATTTAACTTGGTCTGCTATTTGTTTAAGCACCTTATCGTGGCGCCATCGGTATCTCCCTTGACTTAGTGCCACAGGACAACCAGCCAGGATATGCGGCACAGTTCCCAACTTGTCACCACACAGCTTGCACATCCCATCCTCATCCTCGCTCCACTTGGATGCTAAAGCTGGTGTAACAAGCGTGCCATACACAGCACTAAGCAGAAAACCGATTAATGAGTCCCCATACTTGAAGAGCGTGTGCCAGCTCATGTCAGTCCTTGTCACAAGCTCTCTCCAATTACCCCACCTGGACTGCATCTCCAACGTACCCAACTGCACCTCTCTTTCCTTCCTGATGTTCTCCTTAACCCTATCCAACACCTCCCTCTGCTGCTCCTTTTCTGACATCTTCTCCCAGGGCTTTTTCCAATCACCGAAACCAATTCCCGCTCTACTAAGAGGTTGCACCATACCTCGCACTGACTCACACACCAAGTCTCTTTCAGCTTCGTGGTGTGTTATAATTTGCTCAATCTTACCGTGAGAGATGATATGCTTTCGATCTTCTGAATCGAGTTGTAACTCAGATTGAGAACACGAAGACATTTTAGGTGACTGACATTCTCAATCTTCTCAATGACATTGTGACTTAGAGACAGCTGTTCAAGTTGCACCAGTCCGTCAAGGTTCTCGATGCGCTGAAATATTACATTTTATTATCATCATAACGTTATGCTAATTATTATAAGTATATAATTATTATGCTCATTATTCATAGTCAACATGGTACCCATTATCTTATCATTTGTGTCATATCAAGGGCCTCAGTTGACCGACGCTTTTGCCTCATACAAATTTCACCTTAAGATGTGGTACCTGTACCTAACATAATGATTTTGCACTTGACTACTCCAGTACTCCTGCCACATTTTTTTTCAATGAAACTAATAAATCAAGTACACACGATACAGTATTCCCACTATGTAATGTGGTCCTGTACAATGTAGTCCCCCTGTGCAACACAGTCATTCAGGGCAAACTTTTCATCTCGTTCATTTAGGGTTAGGTGAACATTTTCATTCTTCTTCTCATGCTTATCAGTCGGAAAATGAAATAAAAAATTTTGTTCAATTGGTGCTCTCAGCTTCAAGATCACCTAATGGCTAATTTGTTTGCAATTTCTCTATCATTTCTGAGATGCATAATAGCTTCCACGTGTATGTTTGGCTCACATCAAATTGATAAATTTCAGCAGACAACAAATTAATAACACAAACCCCCTGTATACCGCAGTTTTTTAAAAATCTTTCATCCCAAAAACCATGTTCACGTTATAGAGAAGTAAAACTGTACTATTGCCTATAAATTCTTCTGCTCAGTTATGTCAATAATTCATCTTACCGAAAAAGAAATACTTTCAACATGACCAATCTTCACTTCATGCTAAGATCCAAAAGCAGTTCATGACGATCAAAAACAGTGTAAAGCTGCGATACAAATATTTAAAAACCTTTATTTTTTTGATGTAACTTCCTTTTTCACTCAAAGTTAGATCCAACTTTTTTATCATCCATAAGTTATCTTGGCGAGTTATCTTCTTGATAAGACGCTCTGTTATGTATTGGTGTGTCATTGATGAATTAAGGTTGTCTCCATTGTGACTTTCTCCATCATTTGAAGCTGAAATAAAAGTAAAATCATTTGGGAAAAAGTTATTTGCTTTGGCTTTTCCAATTTTCAATTCTTAAGACATAGCAAGTTTTATTAAATGTTTAATCTTTTCATAAAATTGTAATCTTTACCGATGGTGCTATTCAGTAGAGGGGTAGATAAAAAGCTGAGATCTTTGTTCTCTTCCAACTCATCAGACATTCTTTCTAGGAAGTATTGGAATGAAGGTCAAAATAAAAACAGTTGGCTTGGATCATTTGTTTGAAAAATAAATATGCACCAATCTCATTTGAAGAGTAGGTACCAGTGGCGTAACTTTGCCTTTTGGCGCCCCCCCGCTCAGTGACGAAAAGCGCCCCCCTTAAATTTTTTGTGTCCCTAAAAAAATTTAAAAAAAAAAAAAAAAAGGTCGGGTACTTTTTTTCTCGCCCCCTACAGCTTTTTGCGCCCCCTGAAGCTAAAAAGGGTACCCCAAATATTTTTTTCGCAACGACCAAACGCTAAATTGGGCAGGGAAATACACAAACAAGGCGTTTTTTCAGTGAAAGGGCCTAAAATTCAGGAAAATTGCGCCCCCCTTATACGGCGCCCCCCCACACAGCGGGGTCTGCGGGGCCCTAAGTTACGCCACTGGTAGGTACCTCATCCAAGTTTGAACAATCTTTATATCAACAATAGTTCATACAAACTGTCACTTACAAATTAAATAAAACTAGATAATAATTTCGGACAAAGCAAATGTATGCTTTTCTCGGGAAGTGTACTTGCTCTTAATATTTACATAACTAAATTATTTAACTAAATTATTGGGACTCCCTGTAATAAGTGGGAGCATTGGAAATTTCAACATTCAAACGACGATTTGGCGCCCCCCTAAGACGGCGACCCCTGCACAGCTGGGTCAGCAGGGCCTTTCGTTACGCCACTGAGTAACATAGATAAGTAGCTTTGTCTTGGACGGCCTTGCTGTGCTCTACCATGCATAGGTTCCCATAAGACTAAATATTTTTGTATATTCGAATTTCGATACACTTAACATGTAACAGTTTGTGAAAACTGGCCACGGGCCTAAATATTACATATCAATCAATTACAATTCATTAATATTACCAATATTAAAAACTATCGAAAATATTCAAGAAAGTATTCTCTAGCCAAAGGGCTCAATATTTAAATCTAAATCTTCAATATTGTCTGGTTTATATCGCTTGTAACAGTTTTGAATTTTTTTAATTTAATTTGAGAATGAAGTATAAAGAAATTTTTAATTAGCACTGTATAGTTTAAGATATTTATAGCTTATTATAACCATTGATACAAAGGCCATAATCTTTCGCCAGCTCTCCAATATCCACCTTGCAGCTGCATTCTATATCCTTGAACTACAAAATATAAACTAAAGCATGTTTTAGTGTGGACTTTTTGTCACAACAAGACTGCAACCTATAGTAACAACTATAAACACACCCCCTAATGTCGGCTAACAATTTTTCTTCTAGTCCTAATGTGAGCCTTGTCTCGAAAACTTAACAGAACTAGCGTTTCGGTGTGTGCAAAAGGTTCCAGGCACCCACATTCCTTGCCCCGTTAGTTACCTGTCCTTCCAAAACCAAACTAGCAGTCGCCAGTCAAGGACAAAAAGTCATACACCAAATGAGCATTATAATTTATAAATTGTTTTATATCTTTTTATTCTGTAAAATGTGCTAAAATTAAATTTCTTGTTTCGTTGGTTTCTTATTTCATTAAGTAAATTCTAAATGTTCATGTTTTATTAAAGATCAGCGAGATGCGAAGGATTGACATCGTGAATCAAAGCAGTGAGCAGCAGTGAGTAGCAGTGAGCAGCAGTAAGCTTGATTGACGATGTCAATCCGTCAAGATCGTTGCTCTGCGAAGCAGAGCGAAGCAAGAATGCTAGTTTGCGCGGCGCATCGAAGCGGCGAAGTCCTCCAACAGTGCGCAGCAGTTTCTTTGACGGATGTTACTCGTCTAAATTTTTTCGAAGTAGTAGCGCGAGCGCGCGCTGCTTTCTTCTCGAAATGGCAAGTGCTACGAAGTAGCGCGCTCCGGGCCAAATCATTAACAATGGTCAACAGTTTCTTTACACTATAGTCCTCCTGTGATATATGCAAATCTGCAACGCAACCACGTATGCAGATCGGCGAAATGCGAATAGAAAGATTGACATTGTGAATCAATTTTAGAACAATATCGTTGACCATTGTTAATTGTTTATGGTCTGGCCCGGCGCGCGCTACTTTGTAGCACTTGCCATCTTACTGGGCCGCGCTCAGCCTGTCATTCCGCCAAATCTTTATTCGGGCTGAGTGATTTACGACCTCCATCGCCTCAGAAAAAATGGCAGTACGCTCATTGGAAGTTGATGTGCGCGTGACCAGCATTCACGTGATCATTTAGAACCAATTGGGGCCTCCGAAAAGACACGTGCACGCAAACTGCCAATTGGAGAAAAGTAACGTATTAGCTAGAGGAGCCGCGCGCTGAGTTAGATTGTAAAATTTGATTATTGGATTGTAAAATCGAGCGATATGAGTGTCATCAGTGATGTGCTGCTCACTGCACCTCGTGTTATTACACTGCACAGTAACATCGGTACCTCCTTCATGTTTATGTTGTTCCTGTAGTTAAGATATATTCTGATGACCTTTTCGATTGCTCGTACGACATTTTTTAAAATCGTCCAGTTGTCTACACTTGTTTATATTTAGCTGCCCGACATTTACTTCGTTTAAAGACCCTAGCGAAAGATGTCAGCTTTACTTAATATCAAAGTAACATTGTCCTGTCATGACTACCACTCTGATGAGGGATGGTTTAGTTTGTCAATCAGTTTGCAGTTATCTGAAGATTTTCTTTTATATACTCATGCTATGCATTTGAATTAAATTTCCGAACTAAGATCGTGTTACTTAAATCCAAATCAAGAGGTTCAGGGTACTAGAAGAACAAAATATGTCAGATTGATGTTGACCATTATACTGTCTGTTTGTAGTTTTTATTTCTTTCGGACTGCCTGTTCGGGCCCGGCTACTTTTTGTCGTTTTCAAAGAAGGCCTGTGATCGAAAGAAATCTCTTAGATGTGATCTATAGATTTATAGTTCTGCCCTGCACCTTTTTCCTTTACAGTTAGTGTCAAAATTCTGAATTGGATCGTAGAAAAACACTTTAATGGTCTGATATTCATACTGTACAATCTTTGATGATGGATTAAGATATTTAATCCTAGTTATTACTTATTTAATAGATTGCATTGTGATGGAAATCGTGTGTTCTCGTACTCTATATTAGTCACTTTGTCCTTAATCCTAGATGTTGTAAAATATTTAGTTTGTTTTAACATTTTTGCAAGAATAGATTAGTCTCCCTGAATTGAAATCGGGAGTTAATCTATATAAATTATCCTTTATTGTGAAATGCTTTGAGAGCGTCATAATTTGCTGTGTCTGATCTTACATATCAGTAGTGTGGATCGAACCAAACGTTTGATTTGTTTCTGTTAGTATCTGTGCTTTGTTTAACCACAGGATACTTTTTTTCCCAAATTTTACAGTCATCCTCCCAGACAATTATATTCTATATTATGTTATCTTTTACAGAGTATTGTATAGCTCATCTAAATGGGCCAAGTTGTGTAAAAATCTCAAATTTAATAAATAACATATTTTTCTAATTGATGTATAGCCAAGACGAGTTCGTTAGTGTTCTCCTTGGTAATTTCATGTTTAATTCCTGTTTAATTCCTCTTTAATTCCTCTTTAATTCCTCTTTAATTCCTCTTTAATTCCGTGTGTTATTGTCTGTCTCTCTTGACCCCACCTTAAAGAAACACCGGTTACTGCTAGTGTCAGTAATTTCACACAATGGGAGTCAAGAGGCTTATTTCATCAACCATCTAGTCTGTTAGCACTTGTTTTGGTCAACGGAACAACACAAGTGAAATATGATTCTTTGTTTCTGTTATCAGTGCTTGCTTTTACCTGAGGACCCCAGGCTATTATGTTCATTAATAGAGATTAGGCGGAATGACAGGCTGAGCGCGGCCCAGTTAGTGCGATTCTTTCAATTTTGCCTAGCTGTCTAACTTCCATATCAGTTCATATCGCCTTTGTGTGTTGTGCACTTGTGCCGTTCTTTTATGATATTCAACGAGCATTCTGTGGTCTATAGTTCATAATTCGTTCTTTATCTATCCGCGTCTGCCAATCAAATATTTTTGTAGTTTGTACAGTGTTGGTGGACAAGTTTTTAGCGTAGGTGTAAAATGATTTGAACGTTTAATATATCTGTTATTGCATCCGGATCACGTATACTTTCAACTTTTACTTTTATGACGAAGCCTCTTGTAGTGAAGGTTTGATCTCAGAGTCAACTAATAACCATAAACAGTCTTCTAAGAATAATTAGTTAAAATATAGCTTCACTTATTTGTACTGGTTCCGGCTATCTCGTGTGTTTTAAGTTTCAAATCCCCGTGTTCTGTTCTCAGGAAGCTGCCGTTAAATATTTTGTCTCGGAATTTAATAAACTTCATCTTTCAGTCGTACAATCCACAATATATTTCGATAGTGATACTGACTCTGAGATATATGCTGAGAGCTCGCATTATTTCTTACTATCTAGTACCTGATTATATATTGATATTTACCTGGGATAGGACTGAGGACAGGCTTATGTGATCACTGACACAATTTATATCGTGTAATATCATAACTTTAGAAATCCTTGTATATCCCCTTGCCTGTTCTTTGTCACAAATTTTAGGCAAACAACTGTTTAATCCAAATTTATTGTTTCGAATTCGAATTTGCCACTCTTGCAACTCCTGTAACTCATAAATTTAATGAGGGACACCTGCCAATTTATCAATATCGATAAAAAAATATAACATTTGTTTGCTCGCATTATTTCTTAAGTTCTTTATCTTACTATCTCATGCCTGATTATAGACTTTGCCACCTAATAGTCCTGTTTTTTACACCTGTTGTTTTTGTACGGCGCCACCGTAAAGTTTTCCACCGTAGAGTCTTACGCCATAGATTCCCAGACCCACTTACATTCACCGTGTAGATCTCCTGTAAGACTAAGACTAAGAGTAAGACCATTTTAAACTCTGTTACCATTGAGACAGTTTCAAGTAGAACGAGTCACCGTGTAAAATAAACCGTACTATTATAGCT